TGCGGCACGCTACTTCGTCATCATCAGAGGAGATTAGAGAGAAAGAGAGAATAGATGGCATCTCTTTTCGCTCTTGTCATCACTCATCTTTTCTCTCTTCTCTTTTGGCTTGCTATATAATTGGCATGTGTCAAGCAACGGTGTATGTATACTTGCTTGGAGGTCCCAAGCATGATCATCATTTATCACACACACAAATCTCTTCTCTCCGTCTCTTTCCCCTACGCTTGACAGTCGAACAGAGAAAAATGAGAACATAAAGAAGAAAAAGACAGAGAAATAGAGAGAGGGAAGCATCTAGAAAGAAGCTTTTATTCATTTATTCATTGACTTTGTAGATATAGATTACAAACAATAATTACAATAACAACAACAATAAACGAGCTCATCATCGAAAACGAAACATGTCTTCCACAACTGCTAGCAGCGCTTATTTAAAGCCGGATTATTTACAGCCGTTAAATACAACATCGCTTTCTTCTTCTACTAGTTCGGTAAATAGAAATGATTTACTTATTTTTCTCTTAAATATTCAACACATAAATTTGAATAGTACGATTCCAGTCAAAGTCCGCTGGCTCTTCTTGCTCAAACATGTTCTAGTATTGGAAAAGACTCACCATCACCACCGTCATCATCATCTTCATCATTCTCGCTAAACACATCATCACTGCTACCGAGTACCGCTCCGCCCATTATCACATCTCTCGTCACGAAGTCTTCGTCCATTCTATCATCAACATCTAATAGTGACAAATCGTTATCATCTACTAGACGCTCATCGCCCTCACAGACAAATAGTACAATCACAAATAAAAAGTCAACACTTCCAGTGAAACCTAGCACTATTAACCCATCCTCGTCTTTCGTCGAGTCGAATCCATTATCAACTCATTTACCACCCTTATTCGATCCGACATCCACCGCTGCTGCGCTTCTTCTTCGCTCTTCGCTAGCGTACTTAGCTGCTCAACAACAACAACAACAGCAACAACAACAACATCATTCACTTACATCACCATGTACAGTTCCAGGTTGTTTACAATGTGAAACCGTTCGACATATTCTCGCTGCTTCCGTCAATAATCAACCGTATGCATGCCATTGGTTTTCGTGTACTGCTAGATTCTCATCTGCCGATGAACTCATTGACCATTTACGACATACTCATACGTCGGCAGGAAAAACGACTTCTCTAAGTTCTCATCAGCCACAACATCATAGTCATCATCGTTTTCATCCATATTTCAAACCACCCGTTATGTTAAACAACAATGATCAGTTACCATTCTTTTATCCTCACTTATCTTTGTCACCGATGACAGGAACAACACGACGCTCGAACAATAATACAAACAATAATAATTAATCTTCATCTCTACTTCTCTCTTTTTCTTTATCTTAAAATCAAGGTCACATCTATCATGTGTTTTTTCACTGTGTAGATTAAATAATAGATGGAATAATACCTTTCGCCTGACGCATGTGTGTGTGTGTATATATATAGATGTGTGCGTTTCATCACCAATTACAGAAATTAACGCGTGTCTTATTGTGAAGGCACTCACACGCTTGGACATTTGTATAAACAAAACTATCATGATTGACATAACGAGTGATGATAGCATGTCTGTCATCATGAATATGATCAGAAAATCAAGCCATTCATTCTTTTCCTTTTCTTTTGTATGTTGATCTAATATATATGTGTATGTAATCGAGTTTATTTATTGATACAATCCTGTATCGTTTGATCTTAATTCTTCTTAATCATCAGAGATTTCTTTCTTTCACGCTCGTTCGCTCTCTCTCTCCCTTTACTCTAATCAAGGTTAGATCACATGTGTTTAACAGATGATTAGATAGATTCAAGGCGTTTTTGTTGGAGTAGAAATATCTTCCACATATCAAAGTGTAAAAGTTCGTAGAGTAATTTACTTAATTAACAAGGCAATGTTTCGCGTGATGTGATTATCGGAAAATTATTCTTTTGTTTATGCATATGACACAGAAGTAGTTTTCTTTTGACATTGATTTAGTACGAAAGACAAGAAAGATGGAATTGATAGATCAACACGCGTCGTTCTCATTATTCAATGAATGGATAAGTTTTATTTGTAATGAGTGTTTAAAAACAAAAAATTCCGAAACTCAAACTGAGTTAGTTGATTAAAAGAAGTCGAAGCAAGAACAATATGATGAAGCTTTTCCTTTGCTTGTCACACTTATTGCACAGGGGGAATAAAACAAGGTGCCGATGTATTCGTATGGATAAGCCATAGATGATTTTTGTCTTTGTAGTAAACAGCGTACTGAACATGTTCCAAATTGGCAATAAAAGAAAGTTGTTGAGGAGAATACACAGTTGTTATCGTACCTCGTTGAAAAGATGCATTCAGGTTACCTTGAATTGTTCGATTGGTGTCATCGCCTGATAATTGAAGAATTAATTGGCCGGAGTTGACGAGTTTATTCAAATTAACAATGGAAATGGTGATTTCATTATCCATGTCAGTATAATCGATTAGAATTCGAGAATTCAAATTGAAATAATAACTTGTATCGACTACTGAACGGTGATCATGGGTAACCATACATTCCAAACTATCGCAGGCGTTTTGATCTTGAAAAATAAGTGTGATATCTGAGGTATCCAGTTGATTCAAATCCAGTTGTGTTTCAATTAAAAACTCTTGTTGCGAACTGTATTTACCACGTTCTGTGCGTAGATCAGCATAAACACCTTGAAAATCGAATTTGCCTATCGTATCGAAGATATTTTCAAAGTCACTTTGAGACTCAAACATATTTCCCGGGTCAATCGTCCACTGAATGTTTTCGATTGCTAATATAGATTCTAGCTCTATGCGGAAGATGACGGGCACAGGGCATATTGATTGATTGTTGTTCGATTGAGAAAGATTTGCTCGACCAAGATTTTCATCACGATATTGTGCTAAGGTTAATGGGCGAAAGTAAAAACGGACATAATCTTTCACTTCCGAACGTGTTTCGTCTTGAATATCGTTCGGTGACAGGTGACTTCGACATTCGATAAGTCCATTGCGAAGGATTGAAACGGCGTTTTCTAAATGCGTGTAATAGTAGACAAATCCTGAGTGTGATGAGTTTTGTGCTTCAAGTCCACGAAGAAGAAGTTCAGCAGGAGTGGTTTCGTCGTTGATTTTTAATTGACTAAATAGCTGTTGGTTGTCGCGCTCGATGCTGATAGCGAGTTTTTGGCGTGTTCCTTGCGCAGCAGGTAAATCTAGTGTCGAATCAAACGAAGGAAGCATTGTGGAAGGTGCACCCTGTTCTTCTCGTAACAATAATTGCAGAATTTGCGATCCAAAATTCGATGGCAATTGAAATTCTTGACAAAGAACCTCTGATAGTTTCGTTAGCGTTTTATGCGATGCCCACGGACGTGTGATGTACACTCGGTTATTGACAATGTGAATGTCTTTCTGTAGAACAGGAATCGTTTCATTGTAGAATAACTCCAGTCGATCAACTTCGTAGACTTCTAAATCATAATCAATTCGATGATGAGTAATGTCCTGAGTTTGTGCTAAATCAAGGAGTGAAGCTTGAACGTCGCGTAACTTGGCTCGTAGGGCAAGTGATGGTAGTGCAGGAATAGTCGTTGGTAGAGTTAAATCACGAATTCCAATAGTTCTAATATTGAAAAAGTCAAGTAAATGTCCTAGACGTGTATCTCGAGCATTGCCAGTGCTTAGTTTCAATTGAGGAATCTGATTAGGTAGATGTAAATCTTTAGTTGAGGATATAACAAGACTCGTATTTGGAAGGAATTCATTGCTGTTTGTACTCAGCAGATAAAATGGTGCACTAGGCCGATATTGATCTAAAACGTTTCTGTTTTCGCTCTGAAGACAACTGATCAAACTGCTATAAAGACGCTGAATACAATTTTCATTCTCGTCATTCAGAGAAGACTGTTTTGAACTTTCATAGAAGGAATTTAACAGGTGAATATGATCATAAATGGAAAATTGCGTTTTGAATTGAAAAAACTGTTGCCATGCAGGTGGAAATGGACTCACGACTTTACATGCGAATACCGGTAAGAAATTACCTGCAATTGCTCGCAAATCACTGGAAAAGACATCCATACTTTTCAATAGTTGTCTCGTCGTCGTCGGTATGCAGGTCTGGGATCGAACGAACCAAGTAGGTAGATTATCAACCTTGAAGGTCTGCTGTTGAGGAGATACCAGAGTTTCTTTTTCGTTGATTTCATGAGATTGAACAACTTGTATGATATGCTGCCAAAAGAAAACTGAGAAATCGTAATTGTATTGCGTGATTTCGAGAAATGGAAACGTTCGACGAGAATGAAATTGCATTAGACCATAGCGATAAAGATTTTCTGTTTGTTTAAATCGATAAGCAGCGACTAGTTGATTGTGCTGTTCTTCATCGAATGAAATCCATCTGATATCTTCTTGAACACCGATGGCAAGAAACAGTGACTTTAAAGTATTGTTCGCATTTGGAATTTCCTTTAGATATACCGGAGAAAGAAATTTGCTGCTGTCCAGATGGAAATTGTCCAATCGTAAACGAGGAAAATACGCATCTGTAAAATACAGTTCATCAGCAGACACGAGTTTATCTTCCATGGATAATAGTTTCAATTTTTTCAAGTGGAATAACACATCATTTGGTAAAAAACCATGCTGGAAGTTATCGAGAAGTTTCTTCACTGTTCCTATTGTGTTTTCTCGATTGGCATACTTACGGACATTAGGTATAATCTTTCGACGTATATACATTTCGTCTGTTTTCTCTGCGACACCGAGAGATTTCAGCCAATTAAGAACTGGAACTTGAGTTTTCAACCAAATCATAACATTTTCATGCACATATGGGTCAGTATCATTCGCTGTTGACCAATCTGTACTGATAAAATGCGATGGAATATAAATCTGATCCATAGTTCGTAGTATTCCTTTATGATCCATAAGAAATGGCAATTGTCGTAGACGACATTGAATATGTGCAAGATTTTGATGCATGAAAAGATAAGAGATAAACTGAATGTCTTGTTCTGGGGTAAAACTAATAAAAAATTCCATCGATTTCAACATAGTCAAGCAATGTTCCCACTCAAAGCTCGTAATTTTATATCGACGTAGTCGTTTGTTGTTGGCCACAAAAGGATGTTCAGCCATACTTGGCATTGGAGGAAATGCATTAACGATATAATCACGAATAAGTTTATCACCGAGACAATCTGGTTTGGAAAAACCAGTTATATCAATAATTGCTTCTCTAACTTTCAATAACTGTTTGAAATCATTGGGTATAAAAGACATATCTGATTCAGCTTTTAAATAATTGTCATTATAACTTTTCGACAGAGCATCTTGACCGAGTATTGGCTTTGGTAAGAGATCGAATGCTTTCTCTTTCCATTTCTCTTGTTTCATAAGTTGACTTATCCAATGAATGGTTTCATACGGAAGACGGGAGAAAATAAATTGGTTCCACGGAGAATCCGTATGAATATGTTCTCGACTGGCGTTGATCGAAAATTGAGCATTGACTACTATCGGTAAGTCGTATGTTGTTATTTTTGTTGGAAGATAAGCAAACAGTGGATTGTAACGTCCTTGAAGACTTTCGATGTTATCATTTTTATCTATCTTAACTGCGAGACTAACTTCGATAGTACTTACAACACGAAGTTTATCTGGCAAACGAGGATCAATACGTGCATCGCTGGGAATAGACATATTAGATCGGTGCAACAGCCAATGTGATTTAGCCTGGCCATCGTAAATAATTTGTGTCGAGCCATCCCGTAGTTGATTGATCGATAAAGTTGTTTCTTTGGAAGAATTGAACGAAAAACGAATAGTTCGAATGTTTCGAAGAAACATAAAAACATGTGGTTCTTTTGTTATTTCTTCAAGAGCGTGTACTATTTCATTTGGATCTCTTAAGTGCACAATAGTTCCAACAGCATCGACTTTTCCGATCAACCATTCTCGAATGGATCTAGGCACTTCATTCTTTTCCGTCCAAATCGGACAGATTTGCCAAGGGTATTCAAACGTTTTACCATTTTTTTCTTCCCAAGTTGCTCGACTCGTACCCCATGCTAAATTCCATTTCGTTTTGAATACTTCTGCTTTGGCATCAAATCGAAAAAATTCACCGTTCGATACAATCAGTACATAATCCGATTGGCCAAAGACAGATTTAAAACCTAAACCTTTGTAACCAGTTTTTTGTTCATCACGTCCTTTTGTACTACATCCTACATCACATAAGCCGGAAATATCGTCCCTATCAAATGGTTTTCCATCATGACAAACAATCAAATATCGATGTTCGACGATTGCAATACGAAGTATTGAATTCGTTTGACAGGAATCATCACAGTTTTGAATAAGTTCATATACAAATCGTATAGGATCCGTGTATAAATCACTCGATAATGATTTCAATGAATTAGCCTGATTAAGTACTTGCTGGGCGTGTGCATAGTTTGTATTATCATCGAAGATTTGATTGATCCGACTTTTTAACGTCATCGTTTGTTAATCTATTGTTAAAAACATATTTGTCCTCATAGTATCTGATTTCTGAATGCTAAAGTGAATATAAAATCTGCAATGTCATAGAGAACAAGTTACATTAAGTCTCTGCTAAAATCAACAAATAATGTTGTCGTCGTCGAATGTTGTTACTAGAAGTGAATCACAAGACGCCGCGCATACTTCTGTGAATATTTTTTTCTTTTCTTTCTCATATTATGAGACTTGCACGTTGTTGATCAGCCATAATGTAGAAGAAGAACATTTTTCTTCTTTCTATTCTATGCTTCCGACCAATTTTATACTCGTTGCGAGAAGAAGATTTCATGTTTATTGCTCCTTGGTATTGCCATAAGATTTCTTCTTTTTAGTACGTATATGAAATCTCTTGTTCTATTTTTTTTTATTATTTTTCAAGAGATTTAGAACTAGGCATGAGAAAAAAAGAATAGAACGCCTAGATGAGATACAAAAGTATATACACTATATAGATAACAAATAGAAAAAAGAAATTACTGGAAGAACGTGACTATTCGTTAACAATGGATCAATGTGAGGAATGAGATGTCTATTATTCGTCGATTTTTGGAATAAGACTGGTATCCGCCGTATCCAAATTCGATGAATGGTTATTCGCAAACAGTTCCGAGATAAATTCATCATTTTGACAACCTTGAACAAACTGCGCCATTGTTAAACAATGACGACGATTGTACGAGACATTATCAAATATTCTCATCATAGATCGTTTTGCTGAAGTAACTAATTCTTCGATATTGCCATTTTCTCCATTAGCTTGTTGACAATAATTGAACCGCACAATTGCATCGATAACTTCTGAACATTCTTCGCGCGTTAATAAGCCATTACCATCGATATCGAACACTTGAAAGAGCCATTCGAGTTTCGTTTGCAGCGAACTTGTTGTCGATGTGATGGACAAGCCAACAAGAAATTCTCGAAAGTCAACTGTATTCGATCTGTCTAAGTCAAACGCACGAAATATATGCCGCGCGAAACGTTCGGCATCAACTTTCGGACACAAACTTCTATACATGGATATGAACTGCCGGCGTGTCATGTAGCCATGTGGACAATCAGCAAGGAACTTTTCGTGCCTTAAAGTAGAAAGATGATGTTTAATTCTGTTTCGAATAAGCTTTACCATTGAAGAACTTCTTCTCGATTGAAATTTGTCATTGTGGATAGGATTTGAATTTCCAGATCCGTTAGAGACTTATGTGTGCGTGAAAAACGACGAATCACTGTCTGAACACCTAGACCTATTCTATTTAGAATTCCTTGCCGACGTCGAGTACTTCTCATACTGTACAATGTCGTCACTGATGATCGATGAGAATTCACTGTCGTATTCGATTGTAAAGAAGCATGGGATTCTGTCCGATTCAATGAATCGATGTTTAACTGCTCTGTGACGCAATCAGCCATTAGTTCATCTTCAAAAAAAGAAAGAGAAATCTCGAAATTTTATTTGTTTTGTTTCGTTTCTTTGCACTAGAGAAAATAAATTCTGTCACAGGAAAAAAAACAGAAGAAAAGTATCTGATTTATCATTATGTAAGTGTAACACCAGCCAAAGCACAATATTTTTGGATATGAGATAAATGTTCTGTCGATAGTCCATTTCTCATTACACTTAAAAACTAGAAACATACGAAAACGACAGGGTCAAAGTAATCACGAAAACAAAGTCAACTAACTTGATTAGGATGAGCGGCTGTTAATGTTTGTAAACATTTCGCTAAATGACAGCGAGCATCTGGTATTCCTGACCCGAATATATCCGTATGGGGCTTTTTCGCAAAAGCCAAACACGAAAAAGCTGGCGTATAGTCTAAAATACAAAAACGTTATTGATAGAAACACGTAGGTGTAAGTAGTGACGAAATCGCGCTTTATTCGTCTTTCCTTTCGGATGACTCGTGCATTCAAGTATGAAAAGTATTTCTTACCTGGCGTATCATCCAATCCGACGAGTAGCTCTTCCTCGGCCTCTTCTTGTAGTTGCTTTTTCCTCTCGGCAGCTGACATTGTTTGTAATTCGTTACTTGACTCGAATAACTGCAGTAGAGCTTGCAATAATGGTAACCATAAATGATTGAAATAGACACCGGTAATCATAGGTAATGGATCGCAGAGAATATGTGTGACACCGACTGCGCATAGTTTCTTATCACTTTCGTCGATCTTCGCCAATTCGGGAAGGAACAAACGTTCGATTACCATTTGAAACATACTGAAACATAAACACGCGAAAGTATGAGTCAACATAGCGAGAATGTTATTTACTTCGCTTGAATATTATCGACCTGCGTAATAAGTTCTTGAGCACCACATTTAACCACAAAATAACAAAAGAAAACAATGATAGATTTGATTAGTTTTTGTGTTTTCGCTTTTGTTAAACGTGTGAATATGACAACGAAGATATCTTTCAAATAGTTTTCCAGATGAATGCGTGGCAAATGAGTTACTAACGAATTTAGAATAGCAAATCCTTCGTGATCATGGACTTTCGATTGAGAAACAAGACGTTGAAATATACCGAGCACCGTAGTCTAAATGTCAGTCGATTTGTTCAGTTTCAAATCTGAAATTTACTTACGAGTTTTTCCAAGACAATGGTTTCACTAGCTTTTTCGATATAAGCTTGGAGAAGTCTTGACAATGCAGGTATATTTCCACTTCGATCCCAAAATGTGGGAGTGAGAATTGATTGAAACAGCATGCGATATGCTTCAGGTAATGGAGTTGAACCTGCACGATGTGATTCAAGTAAAAACCCAAGGATTTGTAATACATATGGAACAAATTCTAGAAGTAACAATTTCAATGAAATTCAAAACGAGAAAGACGAATCTTTTTCTCTACCGGCAACATCATCGGTAAATATGGGTGTAAATACTGGAAAGAGAACTTGTTCAAATTGACTAAGTACATCGGGATTTTGGAAAACACTAGTACGAATTAGGACAGTGATTGTTTCGAATAGATAATGATTGAAGTTTGGTTTATTTGGATTCTAAAATGAATTTTCAGCGTATTAATTCTAGTTACACACGAAATTTTGAACTTACCCGACTTGATCGACGTAGGATGAGTACTAATTTATCCATCAATCCATTCAAATATGGCAAAACACATTCGTGAAGTGATGATGATAATCTCATAACTGCTCGCATGACATATTCGTTCTCATAGGATTTCTCCGATGTTAATATTCGAAAAAGATTATCATACATTGATTGAGCATGAGGTGCCAAATCATTCTTTGTGATTCTTCAAAAGAGAGATCAAATTCAAATTCAAAGAAACTAGAACCTACGCCGTATGTTTCTGGTCAGCTGGGTATCGAACGAGTAGTAAACGTTCGATGGCATGTGCTGCATATGTCTGAACCACAATGTTCGTTGAAGCCAAATATCGTGCACATTCAGGTAATGACTTCACTAATGTGTCACGATCAAGTTGATTTCGAACGTGAATTAAAAATTTCAAACAATCTGCCTTGATCAAAGGAAGATTATTCACTAATGAAAACGAAACTATTAGAAATTCAATCAAACATCAAGATTTTAGATACCATCAGAATTTTGAAGCTCCGGTAATATACTATTGGAATAGAAGGCCGGAATGCTAATGAATGAACTTGTTTTAGTAATGCCAAACTAAAAAGAACGATTTTAATTTGACGAAGGACTATCTTTCAGTACCTTACCTTCTGTGTTTCACCTTTGGAAGCCAACGCTAACACAAGAAAAATACACGTATCCTTTTTCGACCAATTTTGCGTTGGATTTTGTACGTATTCCTATACGATTCACGTTCGTGATAAAAGAAATGCTTCACCTATGCGAACTGACCTTTTGCATAAGCTCAATATATTGACTATAGATAGCAATAACTTGAGATTCGAAAAAGATACAGAGTGCTTGAAGAAAATCACATGCAGCTCGACGTCTTGTTGCCGAGTCTACCAAAATAAAACGAAATAACTTACAGCAATTCCATCACTCTATCCTTACCAGATTTTTCGATGTCCTTTCGAATGTATTCCTCTGCGTTATCTTCAAATTCTTCGAAATCCGTTTCTACAACCAGATAGAAAACTTTGCTAGTCTGAAATATTTCTCATCATTCTTACCTCGCAGGGATAGATTCGGTAAGATCACTTGTTCACAAACAATCTTCAATGTATCACCGCCTTCGAACATACTACAATGATGACTTCGAGCAGCTAATGTCGACAGGAACTTCATTGCTGTGCCCACGAGCTAAACAACAACAACAACAACAACGAATACTCAAAAAAAAACTCTTCAAGTCAATAGCTTCACTTCATCAAATGCTGGCGAAAGATTTAACTGGGTTAACAATGACCAGATAGCTAATGCAAATTGTTGTGCGAATGGTTTGAATTCATCACTATAGTTATCAGCATAGAGTGCAACGGCTCGACAGATTTCAGTTTTGACCTGATCTAATATACCGGGATCATGTCTCTAAATGGAAAAGCTCGATGACTTCCGAAAGATTCCAATCATCAATTACATCCGAATGCAGTTTGGAATGATCATATGCCAATAGTGTCATGAAATGCGTCATGTAAAGTGTGATATTATCTTCGAAATGTTCTGGCAGCTCCTGAGCGAAGAAAGAACGTTTTCAATGGAATAAATGAAACCTTCGAAATGGAATACTTGAGCATTGAGATCATAGAAGATCTTGATTGATACGTGTAATGAATCAAAAATATTTTTCATTTCTACAAAATCTAATTCTCTTTGGGGATAATATGCCATTAATGACTAAGAAGAAATGGTGGTGACAGAAATTTTCAGGATAGTCTCTTACTTTGAATAATTCAGTAAAAGCTGGTGCGAACTTTTCGAGAACTAATTTGATTTCTAACCACAATTCATCGGATTTCTGCTCATATCGGTATCGTTCGAAAAGCGAATGAGCCGTTTTCAAAATACCATTTATAGCTTGAAATGAGTTCTGTGTTGCTGGCTGTTGAAATAATCGAACCATTGTATCAAGTAACGTTGGCCATTGGTCAGGGAAATCACATTTACCGATGACTGTGATCGCATCAGATAATTGCTGTTGAATGTGCTCAGGCGATCGAGTCATTAATTCAATGATATGTTCTTTGATATGATTTCGATCACGAATTGAGATGGGATTTGTTGTTGAGGATGTCGGATCTAGTGACGGCCAATTGCGTTTAACGAAATTTTTAAATGTTATTACAGATGCTCGGCGAATGTCATCGGGAATTGTCGGACGTTCACAGAGGGCGAGAAGAAGAGACGAGTAATTCTCGTTTCGTTCGATTTGTTTCAAAGTTCTTTCAGCTAAATCAACGGTTTCACATGTAGAAAACCAAATATCCATTTCTTTTACCTTCAGCTCGCTCATCACCATTAGGTGATAAAGTTTTACGTAGATGAGTTGCCAACGCCTCGAGATTTTGCTCGTTGATCTCCATTTGAATTCTTTGAGTAATGTTCTGATATCTAAAATCGAGGAAATTTTACTTTGGAATATCATAGAAATAAATCAGATAAGAAATGAAGCCCAAGTGCTGAATCATCTGTTGAATTTTGAAAATTAAACTAATTAATTACCACTTGTATCTCTTTCTCTCTATCGTTACTCGAATTATTCGATCTAGGGATGTAGATCGTCCAATATCCTTTTACCATTTGTTCTTCTTTCTTTAAAGACGCAAAACTATTTGATTTATAGAGGGCGTTAATCAACACAATCAGATTTCGGCTTGGAAACAAAGCCAATGCGTGTATGTTTGTTTAATATTATTAACAAAAAAAAACATTAGCACAAATCACAGGACAGTGGAAGCTGAATCTTATCCCGGTTGCTCCGCCCTGTTGCAGGCGACAAGTTTAGATTTCAAGAATTTTGTGAATGTTTTCTTGCGTGATGGTAAAATACAAATTGTAATCAAGTATGTGTTGAAATATGAGTTTCACAGATAGTCCAACTAGCTGCAGGTAGTACTGAGAACGTAGAAGCTGTACAATGGGACAGTCAAACATCATAAACGACTGCTGTTATGAATCAAAGTGAAAATTTCATGTAGTTAATAAACAATCGTTTATTCACATAATACTGTCGAGATGGGTGACGCTCGTTATACAAAAGTATATTCTGCGATTGTACCTTACACGCCAGACTCATTTAATTAAAGATTCAAGTCGTAGATATCGGTTTCTTCAGTTGGTTGGCACATATGAGAGAAAAACTAGCAACGGTATATAGATGCCGTTCAGATTTTTTAAGTAAAAATGAAGATTTTGGTTACGAGTGACCGTTCAGAATAGAACCTGTTGTATTCCATAGATGCGATCAATTAATACATCATGAAACGAAACGAAAAGTATCCTTTGCTTACGATTGGTTTAAGGTTCATCCAATGAGAAAATGCATTTTCAGTCAAGTAAAGGAAACATTGCTTTGTTCGGATTGGCTGTTGATCATCCTTCAATATAATTCATATGATGGATCCAGCCTCATTCACTCAAAACACAACGAACAAAATGAGTGATTGTGTCCAAGTTAATTTACGAATTACTACAAATAGTAATCAAGGTATGGCCATTTCGCTAATTTTTCTTTCTTATTTCTCATTGTCTTCTCTTTTTCTCGTAGGTGGCCGAAAATATATGGGTAACGTCAAAGAATTCTTTTGTTCATGCTAATGAGTAAACTTGATTTGTGACATTTCTAGAGGACACTTATGCTATTGCTCTTCAACGTCTGAACCCATCCGATAAAGAAAGTCCAATATCTTTAGCATATTTCGGGATATTCGATGGCCATGGTGGCAAAGAAGCAGCGGAATTTGCGCGGCAGCATTTATGCCAACACATTCTTGAACAAGATGATTTTTGGTCAGATTCTTCCGATGACAATCAGATTCTCTCAGCTATTCGGAAAGGCTTTCTTTCATGTCATAATGATATGTGGAATCATGTCGAAAAATGGGCGAAAACATCATCTGGTCTTACTAGTACATCAGGTATACTCAACGAAATATTGTTGATCTTTTATCATTGCAAAATTTTCTCATTGTCCTATAGGATGCACAGCAAGTGTTATATTTGTTCGTGGAAATAAATTGTATATTGGGCATGTTGGAGATTCGTCAATAGTAATTGGCGAAGGCAATACATTGTATAAATGTTGGTCAGCAAATCGTATTACGCGTGATCATAAACCAGAAGATCCATCAGAATTGAAACGTATTCGTGACAGCGGCGGCAATGTGCTTTGCAAAGCGGGTGTTCATCGTGTTGTTTGGAATCGACAAAAAATCATATCATCGTCGAATTATTATCGTAGTGAACAAGTGCGAGCAACGGTTGAATATGAACAAATACCATTTCTAGCTGTTTCACGTGCGCTCGGCGATCTCTGGAGTCTGAATAGACATACGAATTTATATTCTGTATCACCAGAACCAGAATTAGCGGTCGTAGAAATCGATCCGAATAAACATCGTTGTTTAATATTAGCAAGTGATGGTCTATGGAATATGATAACGCCAGAAGTTGCAGTAGAAACTGTTCGAAATTGTGATGTTAAAACTGAAGAAATGATTTTGAACTCTGAGGTTTGGATTGAAGTTTTAGGATAATTTCATTTTCAAACAAATCTTATTCCATAGGACGAAGACGATCGTCCATTTCGTAATCCGTCACATGAATTAGTTCAAAAAGCATTAGTTTTATGGCGAGAACGAATGTTACGTGCAGATAATATAACTTGCATTACAGTTATGCTCGATCCTCCAGGTCCACCATTCAGTGAATGTATTCTTAACAAGAAAAAACAAATGTTATTATCGAATTGTAAGTTCTACAGCTAATTTCTGCATAGAAACCTTCGAACTTTCCCTTTTCTATAGCATCTGGTTGTGTAGAAGATACAAATGAAGGTGATCAATCATCAGCAATGATGATTACGGGTGAAACACCGCAAAGACCAAAGATTGGTACAGAACGTAAAGTGCATATTCTTACCCCAATTTCTAACGGTTCAACGCCAATACGAGTATGTCTTTTTGTTTCATCTATTGTTCCTTCAGAGATGAAATTGTTCCGTCTTTAGACACCAAAACGTCCTGCATCGGATGACATGACCGATTTATCCGAGGACACGCCACGTCGTAAATTAATTAAAACCAATCAACAAAAAGAAAACGATACATCACCTCAGTTACCAAGTGAATCAGTTCCGGCCACGAGTTCAGATGAGGATGAACAAGATTGTTCACCATTAACTCAACAATTACCCAAGCCGTCAACATGTGACGATGATTTAGCTCGAAAAGTTGAAGAATGTTTTCGTACTCAACCTCATGATCAGCAATCTGATGTCGAAATGATGGAAACAGATGATGCAAATCAACAGAAGGGCAAAGCGTCTACACGTCGTCGTTCTCGTTTTCGCTTCTCGTTTTCAAATAACCATCATTCACCTGAAATCGAACAAGACGAGCAAACAAAACAATCTCGCTTATGTCGAACGCATTCAGCTTCGATTATCAATCATGAGAATGAGAATCAAATAAATCCATCAAGACGACGAAAATCTTACAGTACAACTGGTTTAGCAAACGAACTGAAAAATCTTCCAAATCCGATCGAACCAGCAACTGCAATAGCGACAGCACTTGACAAGGTATAAAGAAGTCGTCTTCGAAAGTGATATAAGAAAAGCTTATTTCATATTTAGAAGCCCAATAAAACGAAACCATCATTGGCTAATCGTGTTAAACGAGCCTTTTTCCGTCCACATCGTAGTACGATAACCTCTTCATAATCTCTCTTCTATTCTGTGCACATCCGCTAATACATTGTCAAATGAATTCTCCGACATAGTCAGATTTAATGTAACTTCAATGAAGATGTTATATTGTATAGCTATATGTATGTAATATGAATTTGTTCTTTGTTATATGTACAGTAGTTAATCATGGAAATTTCTATAATATAAATTGTTTTCGTTTTTTTTTCGGATTATTAAATACCTTGTGAAATATAGAACGAAACTATTTGTTTTCTTTTGATGGATTTCTAGATTGATTGACTTACAGCATGTGGAATGTTCATTCGAGATTTTTGGCACGAACTGTCTGGGTTCGAAATGGCGAAGTAGATTTAGCATATCGAGCATTGAATCGGTAAGACATTTGCTTGTGGAAAATCATGTGAAACAAAAGTTTTTTCTTTCCTCGTTTTCCAGTGTTCTCAATAATGAAGATGTGTTTAAAACTGCTCGTCTATGGGAACGATATGAAAAGCCGTTTCGCAAACGTGGTCGACTTTGTTATGAAAAGTAAGTTTGAATTTGATTTCTCTTTGTGTAAACTATGTCCGATGTAATTTTCAGAGCACACGAAATTTATAACTATGAAATGGAACGAAAGATTAAACTACTCATGCGCAAAAATCGAACGAATCCATGGCCATGGAATTAGATTTTCTAGAAAAAGAACAGTCATCGTTTTGCTTTCCGCTCGATCCTTTTGATTGTACCGATAGCATAATGTTTTTTTTTTTCGTTTTGTAGATAAGAAGGTACATTCTGATTCAGCAATGGGATTTTTCCAAGGAATCAAAGGTAAGGGAGTTTTTATATTAGTGAATTTATACACGGTTCTTTTTCTATTTCTTAAGGGCAAGTATTTCTAAAAACAAAATTCATTCATTGGATATCCCTGCATTTTTAGCGTTGTTCTTTTGGCTTTTTTGGCCTCGATTGGCCTTACTCTTTTGATCTTAGGCTGTGCATTGGCTCAATAGTATGTAGTGAATATCTATACTAAGTTTTGTCTTATCCAACTCTTCTCGATTTTAAGTAATTGGTGGCCAACATTCGTCATTATATTTTACGTTCTTTGTCCCATACCATTGGCCATTGGACGTCGCTGCACATCAGATAGTGGCTATGGCATGCGTGATTCAAGTCCATGTGCAGATTTAATGTGGTTTATAACAAGTGTCATTGTTATATCTTCATTTGGTTTACCAGCCGTCATGTGTCGAGCAGCAGTTGTAAGTATCACCATGCTAATCACGTATTTCAACAGTGAAATGATTTCCAATCAATTTAGATTCATGCTGGCTCGATGGGTTTTATTATGGCGGCAAATGTAGTTATTTTTACAACAATTACGATCTATTTCATGACATTCGGTTCAGATGATAGTTTACCTAGTTTTTGAAATCAAACGAAATACTCATTTGACATGAAAATCATGTACATCAATTTGTACATTGACTTCATCGGCTTTTTCTCATTCTTTTGTCAGCATCATTGTACATAAATCTTTGAGCGAAACAATGATTTTCTCCTTCCATAGAGATATCCCTCACCTATCATTTTTTTTTCATTGTTGTTCGTGTGTATGCTTGTATCTTCAGTTAATAAATGTACGAAAAAATTGCAAGTCAAACTTGAGGGTAAAGATGTGTTAGAAGAAAACAACACTTTTGCAGACAGTTCAATCGTGTACAACATATAATGGGATCACAGAGACAGCAGTATACTACGGAAGCGTGTTATATAACAATTTTCGTGACCATGAAGCACATCAGTCTTAATATACTCAACTGGACAAATGGATTTTATTCAAAAGGTTGAGTAGTCATATGCGTTTTGGGCTCATGTTGGTAAATCACACTGTTAGATAAATTACTTCCTATGATGATCGTAGTTTAAACCAAAGATATTTTGTTGATTTAAGGGCTTCTTTTTCCAAGGTTGTTTTGTTGATCCCGTGGATCATGTGTCCGAAGCGACTTGTTCTATATTATGTATTTTTTTCATAGTTGCACCCTCAGATAAAATCGTATCGACTGTCGAAATAGAAAACATGGTCTTCCATAACCGTTGGCGAACTGTGTTAGACTTAGAATATAGCTCATTGATCGTAAAAGTACAAAGATACACCTCTTGCTATGGCAGAATAATATATTGCCTGTAGTGTTTAGGTTTTTAAGACAAGTGTAAGTTTACTTTGTTTGTCACTTAAGCGATACATTATGTGACACGCTAAAAAAATGATACATTTGACATCGTAACAAGTTACTTTGCGTCCATCAGCAGATCCTGGATTCCTGAGAATTTGTTTAGTAATGTGTATTTCAAAGTAACAGTCTTAAAGTGGCAGATTCGTCTCGAAATCCTATCTTATCACTTGATAGAAGTTAGCTTTATATACAACTGTAAAGAATCTGATGCTGGAAATATGCACGAACCCTATAAGAATGCTGATTTGTGCATACAAACGAAATGATAAAAAGTAATCGTATAAATGAATTGTGTTGTGTACTATCGGTTTGCATCTTCCAACTCATGTTACCTGCCTTATTACTAATTGGTATGCTCTCAAGGGTTTACTCGTTATTCATCCCTTGAAGCGATTTGCAGACGTTACTCTCGTTTTCAAATTGGGATGTCCTATAAGACTTGAAAAAAATGCCTAGTAGTCTCCCATGCTGTCTACTTTTCAATACGAACCACTTATTTTGCCAAGTTCATAACTAATCAGAATATTTTCAGAGATAGGAATTAGTAAAATACATTCATGTGTAGTGAAAGGCAAAAACAGAACTCGGTGCTCCTATATGACAGTCATTCACATAGAATAGTTCAGAAAAAGCATAGAGAAAGGAGAGCAATTGTTCTTTTGAATCTATATTTATAATGTAAATACAAGCAACAAACGACGTTTGACTGATTGTTTGTGTAGATATAATTACCGAAAAGAAAATATATCTAATCAATTTTAACTCTCTTACGAAGTGTATTTTCTGTGGACGTAGCACGTTTCGTTTCATTGATTAAAAACGAATCAAGAAAAGTCGAGTCATCAAGTGATTATTAATCTGCAGCATAAAATATTCTAATGAGAAATTAAGCAAACATAATCATATTCACATTGAATGTTTTTTTAATGAGTCTATTCAAATTGATTTGCATACATCATGATTTCAGTTCATCCAATATGTACAAAAAGCATTGTCTTCAATTTGTTAATTGAATTATACTTCGAAGAAAGAAGAAAAAAAAACAACATACAATAACTTAGTTGTTCATTGCTATTCGATGACAAGCACTTATCAAATACAGTATAATAGTCTATGAACTTTGTTTCGTTGCATTGTCAAGTGAACAAGCAGAAAGTAATATACTTTGTCTTCATTTTGATTATATAAAACACACAAAAATCTGTTATCAATTCAAACACGATCGTATGCAAACTCTAGTTCAATATCACTTTCATTCAATCTTAAATGTTCTTATTCATTTTTCATTTTCACTTACACAATTAATTAGTATACTTGCCATATTAGGAATACAAATTGCGTTAACAATCACACAAACATGTCCCTATCAGTTTGGCATCGGTTTTTGGTCATTTCCGTTTTTGCTCATGTCACCGCTGAGCATCTGGTTCGTCCTTTGGCGGCGCAATTCTATTGCATGTTTCATCGCTATTCTCTTACAGTTTTGTTCAACATTATTTGCAACAGCTATTCTAATTGTTAGTTTTCTTGTATTAATCAATCGCACGAGTTTCATCTGTTCCCTATCGTCATTAAATTCATTTTATATTATATTAAATGGTTCATTAATTGGTATAGTATTACTTTTTAAATTATTTAGTTATGGTGAAGTTTTGTTACTCTATTTCGTCCTTCGAAATATGGATGATTCATCATCGATATTTTTTCAAGACAATTATGAAAATAATGAGCCAAATTGCATTCATGTGAATGTTTGGCGTTCATGGTCAGCTGTTATTGATGAAAATCAAAGAAACTCAGAAATCTTTTTTGCTTAAATGAAAATAAATAAAACATGCAGATTCATCCGAATTTGAAGAGAAAACAATGAACAAGCAAGGTCATGGCTAATTGATCATTAGACATAGTTTGGAGAAGAGAAGAAAAAAAACATTGTCATGGCAACTGTTCTACTTCCATCATAGAGAATTCAATATCAAAAAAAGGATAAATATTGATCTTTTTGACATCCTTCTTTTTCTTTTTTATATAATACGATGATAAGATAAAACAAGTCGAGTATTGCGATATAATCAAACCATATTGTTCTTATATGTTGTATATCACATATCATTTGAGTACTACTTCGACTTCTGAGAAGACTTGTGCACAATCGCCAGAAAAGATTAGAATTGTAAAGTATGATAAAAGTCTTTTAAACTCATTTTTCTCTTTCAAACTTAAGCATTTTAATGAGCGAGGTAAAAGTACATTTTGAAATGCGACGATTTTCGTATGTTAGTTTTAAAGTCACGTCAAGTAGAAGATACTGCATGTTGCTTTTTTTGTTCCTATTTAAACTTATAAAATCATCTCGATACACATTTATTTGCTCTTGAACAAGTCGATTTCTTTTTTTTCTTCTCCTTCGTATCTTCAGTCGTTCAAAGTAAAAGAAAGAAGATAAACAATAATTTCTTGTGCACACCCATGTAGCTCATACTATTCATCTCACCTTGCTGCAGTTTTTCTTCTTCCTATCGACTCCAGCCTTTTTTTTCTTCTCGTTCTTCTTCAGATATTTGACGACATCGACAACGACTGTAGAGATCGAGAGAATGCGAGCAGAGAAAGAGAATCTGCGAAGTGTTTTTTCATTTTGACTAGAATTTCTTTCACTCTTTCTTACAGATTCATATACATAAACTCATTTTTTACATCTATACTGCCGTACATATACATATTTGGAATCATCATTATTGTAAGAACAACAAATTCGAAGTCGCTGATTGTAATTCGCCTATATTATATACCGAAATAACCTAAAGAACAGACACTTTTGAAAAAGAAAAACGAGAAAAAGAACAGCTGTTCTGTTCATCGTATGATGAAGGTAAACTCACTTCTTTTTCCTATATTTTCTATTGAATAACATGCATTCTCTCGCACACACACATAAGTATTTCTTAAGAGAAGAAACGAGGAATTCGATATCTAATTAGGAGTACGCCGAACCCCTCGATTTTCCATACGCGTTGCAAGGCAACAATAAAAATTCTGCGTTGATTTCTTTTTCTTCTTCTTTCATACTCATTTTTTAACCCTGTTTTTTTCCCTTTACGAATGCATTTTGAAGGATTGCTTTTCTCTATGTCTATATGAAAATTGATGCAAGTAAACACACACACTCTCAGATATTCGCACCCCGAAATCAATCTTAAACAATCAATGGTACAATAATAAATAAATATTATTCTTCCATTTTATTCTTAGTCAGACAGATATAACTCATCGAATTCATTAGAGCTATTAGAGTAACTGAAGAAAAATCAAGATAATGGTTTCCGTAGACATCAACTAAAGCGTCAGTTTGTTTTATAGAACGACATCGTACTTATTCAACAGCAACATCAATCGACTTCAACAAATACTCTAGTCAAATCGTCTATGTCAAGAACATTAGTGTATCAAACCAATAAAGAATTCGATAAATGTGCCGAACTCTTACGTAACATTCTAAGTGTTCAAGGTAAGATAAACAAATCTTTTGTTTTCTTTCTATTTCCATAAGCAAGCAAGAAAAAGTCATATAAATTTAAGAATCGCGTCGAAACTCGAAATCGTCAGCTATCGTCGAAATAAATCGAAAAAACCAACAGCAACAATCTCAAGCAAGTAGTCGATTGAAAAAATCCAACACAAAACCAATTGTTACAAAGTTGTCTTTCAACAAATCAAGTCGGTTTCAATCTTTGATAGAATACGTTCTCAATATTATCGAGTGTTTAGATACCAATAACAATAACAACACAGAAATTGGAGAACGTCGATCATCTTATTCACCGACGAAATCTCTTCTATCCTCGGCAGGTGTACCACCGACAGAGGTGAGTCCAGTCGAGTCAATATTGATCGATAGCTTTCATTTTATGTTCAGGAACAAGCATTACTAAAAGCTCGTCTCAGTCCAAATAAATCTCGTAAACATCAAACGCGTTCTCCATCTCCCACGCAACTTATTCATCAACGTCATACATCTCCCATCAAAACTTCTCCTTCGACGACTAATAAATTTCGACAGAAATCTCCGACATCACCCGTTCGCCGTCGTCGACGTACTCAAGACCAGCAAGATCTCGTTCGAAGCTCGTCCTGTGGCGATTTACCATCCGGTAGTTTCATGCCCAAACAACAAACGCGATGCATTGTCGAGCAATTCGTTGCGCATCTGACACGAATTCGAGCAATTTCGAAACAGATTCGAGCAAGAAATGCCAGCACTGTCAATGGTAAAGTCTACTCATTCATGTCCTTGCCAACATCGATATGTCTATTTAGATGCTGAATATTATCATCTATGGAACGAACTGGAAAGTTCACTTTCGTCAGCGTTATCTTATGCAAATGATGATATACAATTTCAATTATCGTTAGAACCATTGAGAGATGAAATCTTCCAACTGCGAAAGTAATTCATTGTTCAGGAATTAGTTTTCTCAGCTATTGTTCATTTAATCTAGACAATTACAATCAACCAATGTTCATCTACGCGAATTTGATAATCGTCGTAGTGAAGATCAATGTATACCATTTCGTCTGTTATTTACATTGAATATATTCTTGAATTTAGACGTTCATATGCCAAAAAAATTCGATACAAATCATAACCTTCAATACGCTCAATTACTATTAGAAAATCAAGAACTTCGAACACAATGTGATTTATTACAAGAAAAAATCGATAATTTAGAACGAACTAACATTCGTCTTATACAACGTTTAACTCAACAAGTAAGAAATCAGAGTTGATCTGTCGAACGAGCTATTCTATGTTTTTATTTAAAGGATCTTCGTGCACTTGCCGAAAGAACTGAATGGGTATCGACTGATAATCGATTTCTTCTTCGAGAAGAAATTCTGTTGTTGAAACAAAAGTTATATCATGTTTACGATGACTTCGCGACCGTTCTCAATCGAAATCATACACTAGAAATGGCCTATGGAGAACAAAAACAACAATTGTCAGGTTATAAGCAACAATTCAGGTATGACGGCATGACAGGAACTAATCAAGTAATAGAACGTCCATGTTTAGCGACTTAAAACAATCAGCAAAATGCCTTCTGTTTGACTTGGATAAACGAGCGACAGAGGAGAAAGTCAAACGGTTTTTAAATAACATCGTGATCGGTCATCAGCATCCAGGAATATCAACTAGGTAGGACTAAACTTGATTTTGTACGAACAGATCTGATCTGGCTCATCTTCTAGTCATAGTACATTTCATCAAACACATATAACACCAACAAAAACGAATCCATCAGTTGTAAATTCCTGTTCATTCCTCTTCGAAACGCCTCATAAGGCTGCCGCACCTCCACCAACACAACCGGCAACGAATCGTGCTCATGTATCGCCGATTGCTCCAACAAATAAACTTCGTCCCAAGTCGCTTTTTGTTACTCCGACGGTGCTCAATGATGCCGCAGCACTTTCCAAACTTCAACAAAACCGAAGTCCAACATGTGATATCACAACTCATACGCCTAGTTCTTCGTCGACCATTTGTGATGCGGAATCCATTCTAACAACATCTTCATCCTTACAACAACAAAAGAAACGTACGACTCTCTACAATAGCTTGCCGTCATTGAATGTACCTCAAACAAATGATACGATAGGGGACACTCATGATGCACAAGGTTTCAATGAAGACCGTACGAATACCAATAACAACAATAATAATAATGAAAGCGGACCTGAGCTCGATCAAATCTCGGATTTAACATCGAAAATGTTCAGTTCAGGTGAAGAAGAAGAAGAAGATGTTGGCCTTGGTGTCAGCGGAACTTCCACATCCGAATCGTCAAGTATACCTTCCGAAGCGGAATGAGTGACTTATACAAAATGTAAATAATATTTATTTATTTAATTATATATATATACACATTGAAGTCAAATAAGAATAAGTTCATGATAAATATCTGCTTTCTTCCTGCGGTCACAAACAATTTTGTCTTTTCATATCCGATACAGAGTCATGAAAGAGACAAAAACACCGTCAATATCAATTATATCGCACTACTTACTGGTATTAATTCATTTTATTGAGATGACAGGTCGATTGTTAGCCGTGATTACTGGCGACATCTATAAAGAGTTGATTAAACTAACAGAACTAATTAGTATTAATTTTCTTTTTAAAATATATTCACGTTCGATCTTAATAATCAAACATTTCATTTGGATATTTATCGATTATATAATTAATTCGAAAATCTCAATCAGTCATCGATCGTAAATAAAATGTGTCTGAGTAACACGTTCTTCTGCGTACTTTGTTGTTATTTATAGTTTTTAGCCTTTGCTTTGTCATTGAATTGATGAGCGATTCGGAAATGCGGCAATTAGGTACTGAAGAAAAGGCTGCACTTCTTCTCACAGCTGCTGACGATGATGACCATTTCACGAACGAACGTGATGACATTCCAGTGATTCCAAAACGTCCGAAAACGTATCAACGGCGTCATTCGAATAGTACTCCTTCGGTATGCTTCTTCTTCTTGATTCTAAGTGCATTTATCATTGGATCTATCAGCGGAGTTGTCATTATGCTTTACCGGATATCTCAAGATCCGGAACAGGCGTATTTATCGTCAGTTTCATCACATCTGACTAGAGTCGATCTCACGATAAGAACAAAACTATCCCAATCGTTTACGAAATCGGACTTCATGAATCTCACTCGTCAAGTTAAGTCCGAATCAGATACTGCAAGTAAATTAGAACAACTTTGGCAATCATCGAAATTATTCACACGTGTCAGTAAATTGTCGTATGATTTAACGCTTTCGATTTATTCTCCTCTACCACAATGGACTGGCGTTCAATTGCTCGACAAGAACACAAACGTTGAAATTAAGAAATGCAATGTTTTGACAACAAATGATTATTTAACATTTTCATCATTGGTGAAATCCGGACGAGTCCAAGCCAGTTATATTTTTTATGTTAACTATGGTCGAAAAGAAGACTTTGCTTATTTAATTCAGAAAAATCAAATTCAATCGGAAAACTATGACAAAACAGTAGTATTTATGCGGAGAAATTTCAATGTCATCACCCAAACCGAACAAATTCGGCAGGCGAGTCGATACGGATTTGCTGGTCTAGTTCTATTCGATGATCCAGAAAAAGATCCACAGCTGACAACAACCAAAGATCGACAAACATTTCTGGACGAATGGGAAAGACATCCAGTAGGAAAAGGTAAGCCAAACAAATTCGACGAGAACTATTCGTCAACATTAAATTTCCTTTAGAACGACAACAATTCCTAGATGGTAATCTCAATGAAGACGATCGTCCGATCTCTGTCGTCTTACTTTCCTATACTGATGTTCAAAATCTATTTTCATACGACTCAAACGATTGGTTTCCATGCCCGCCGGAATGGCATAATGCGAGTTCACATCTGAAACTAGGCGGTTTGCTTCAAACGATTAAACTAAATATGATTACATTCATGCAAGAAGTACCCGTGCATTTGCCCGTTGTACTTGGTTACATTCCTGGAACAAGCGATAGCGATCGAGTTGTTATGATTGGATATCAACTAGAGAGAAAACAACAGGAGAAAATCGTTAATGAAATCATTCGAGCATATGCAAATCAAATTAAAAACGGTTGGCAACCAAGGTTAGAAATTTCATTAAATATTGTAATTTCGTTGATAATCAATTTGTTTTTAGACGTTCCATTCTCTTCAGTGCTTGGTCTGGTTCAGCCTACGATCATCATACAAGTAAGACCGTATTAAAGAGAGGCATTGCATCTATCTAGTGTTTTTCTTCTACTTGCTAGCTCGACAATGGATTTTGAACAATTACCGTTTACTCGATCGAAATTTAGTCGCGTACATTGATCTCGGTCATGGCATTAGCGGAAATTCGACCCTTAATCTTCATGGTTCGCCACTATTTCAACAAATAGCTCAACGTGCTGCTGATTTTGTTGCCAGTCCACTTATTCATGATCATGCTTGTCACCATCGTCAGGGAGCAATGCCTGTGGCACATGCACATGTTCATCGACGACGAAGACACGGGGACGAACATGGACACCAAGTACAAATGAATCAACATGAAGAACAAACTGAATGTGAGCCACATAAATTATTTGATGAATGGTTACGCGCTAGTAAAAACCGTATCAATGCCAACCAAACAACAAATATCGTTCAAATGATTGATAACGATTCATCTGCTGCATTATTTCAATTAAAATATGGCATTCCTTCATTAATTATCGAAATGTCAGAAGAACAGGTAGATGAAAAACAGATCTTCTATCTCGAGATACAAATCAGATAAGAGACACAACTGATAAATGAGTTCTCGAAAACAAATATACGCTTGCATATTCATTCAGACATTGCTATGTACTCATGACGTGAATCTTCTCATTTAATACATCGGTAAGGTTAGAATACAACAAGTACTGCGTTCGTTTGTTTCTCTTCTTCGATTGAAATTACCGCAGTGCGATGAGACAATATGATAAAATAACGAGAAAATTTTTTTTTCTAATTGATATGCATCAGTAATATTAACGCTTTCGTTTGTCCTTCTCGACTAACTTATACTTTTCGTTTTCATTGTCTACAAAATTTTTCGATCAATTGCTTCATTGCGCACATCATGTTTTCTCTCTTAGTATATCTACACATTGACAAGTATCATTTTCAACACCATTCATACTGTTCGAGAAAAACAGTTAGGTGCAATGATGTAAAACGTTTTCCTTTCGTTCCTTTCAGGCATTGACAAACGATACATTTTACGCACGAAAGTTACCGCCCACCTTCAATGCTGAGATTCAACCACAGGTTTGTCGCATCTCGCTGCTGTCATCCGGTGATTAATTGATGTTGATTCGAATGTAGGTCATTGTTGCTTATACACAATTTGTCTCCGAAATCGTTCGTCAATTAGCTGATGAACCATTGATCCCATACAATGTGACAGATTACGCGATTTTACTTGAAAAACAAACAGCTGATTATTTGACACACTATGACAAACAATACCACTTGTTAGCTGCTCAACTTGGCGACTCGAGTAAGACAGTGAGAGTAAGTTGTAAAAAGATACAACTGAATACTTTCAGGTGAACTGACAAAACTTAACAATGATTTAATAAAAGCAATACGACAAGTGCAATCACGTATTGATCAAATCTCGAAGAATAAGTATGACAATGATTGTTTCGTACGAAAACGACCGTCATGTTGTCGTGTTTTGTAGTTACATGGATCTGCAATTACTAAACAACAAATTAATTGAATTCGAACGTTTATTTATCGTCAGTGATTCGTCGGAAACATACAAGTAACAAAAACGTTCGACACATATGTTTCGATTGTAAAGACATGCTCTTTCTAGACATTTTTTCCTTGGACCAGCGGTTGGTTTAACGAATACAGTTGTACCATATCCAATGTTATCGAATCTTCTCTTCGGTCTTACGAAAGAGCCTCCAACTGAAATAGGTGATGCATCGAAATTGTATTGGTCAAAAGTTAAACAGCAGATTCAATTGATGACAAGAACACTCAACGGTGTCGAAGATCTTCTCTCAAATCCATGAACAAATCAAGCAGTACAAAGTGAACATAGATGAGTTTCTTTTTTTTTTCGGTGCTTAATTTAACAGTATTATTCGCTTTTATCTCGTTCATTGTACATTGTCAGATTAATCTTTCAGTTTCTCTTTATCTCATACATCTTGTCGAACTAGTGACGCGAATTTGTAGTACAACATTGAAGTCTCTTTCATTTTAACATAACTCTTCGTTTTCTCTTTTCATTTTAGATCATTCTACCTTTCTCTTTCTTTCTTCAATAAGCTCTCTTGTTCGTCCCAGACTGAATCATCATGGTAAAAGACACGAAATATTACGATATTCTTGGTGTTCAACCCAGTGCCAGTGTTGATGAAATTAAAAAAGCATATCGTAAGTTAGCTTTGAAACTACATCCAGATAAGAATCCTGATAACGATCCGGAACAATTTAAACAGTTATCACAAGCCTGTAAGTGAGAAAATTGATGAGGATTTTAGAGAAAAAGACTTCTTATTTAGATGAAGTTTTATCTGATGAAAAGAAGCGTTCGTTATATGATCAAGTTGGTGAACAAGGTATGAAAGAAGGTGGAGGTAGTGGTGGATTTCATGGTTCGGATCCATTTGATATTTTCAACATGTTCTTTGGCGGTGGTGGTGGTGGTGCAAGTCCATTTGGCTCACGACAAGAACATCGAGGCAAAAATCTTGTTCATCAATTGGCGGTTTCATTAGAAGAACTCTACAATGGTGCTGTGAGAAAGTTAGCATTACAAAAGAATGTTGTTTGTGATAAGTGTGAAGGTAATTCGTAGGATATCGTTTTTTCCTTGCGAAAGGAAGTTCTTATTTAGGCCGTGGAGGAAAGAAAGGTGCTGTTTCGAAATGTACAACTTGTAATGGAAGTGGTTTCGTTGTGCGCATTAATCAAATTGCACCGGGCATGATTCAACAAATTCGTTCACATTGTTCCGATTGTGACGGACAGGGCGAGAAAATCAATGCTAAAGATAAATGTAAAACGTGCGACGGAAAGAAGATTGTCCGCGAAAGAAAGATTATCGAAGTACATATCGATAAAGGTCTGTTGATTTGATTATTCGTACGAAACGATTTCAATTTGTTTTGGTTTTGTTCACAGGTATGGAAGATGGAAAAAAGATTACATTTAGTGGTGAAGGCGATCAAGAACCTGGCCTTCAGCCAGGTGATATCGTAGTTGTTTTGGACGAAAAAGAACATGCAACATTTAAACGAGATAAAACCGATTTACACATAAAAATGCCTATAACTTTGACCGAAGCATTATGCGGCTTTCACAAGGTGATCAAAACGCTCGATAATCGACAATTAGTCGTTAGTACACTACCAGGTATGTACAAGTTAAAGGTACTTATATCTATTTCGATCATTTGCTTGTAGGTGAAGTAATTAAACCTGGAGATATCAAATGCATTTTAAATGAAGGCATGCCTGTCTATCGAAATCCTATGGAGAAAGGCCGTCTCGTTCTCCATTTTGACGTGAAATTTCCGGACAAGAATGAACTTCGTCCGGAGAATTTGGCTAAACTAGAAAATGTTTTACCATCGCGTACACCAGTTCAAATTCCAGCGAATGCGGAAGAATGCGTTCTCACGGAATTTGATCCACGTCAATCGCAACGTTCACATAGACAAGAAATGTATGACGATGATGACCCACATGGTCACGGTGGACCAACACAAGTCAACTGTGCTACACATTAACTGACGATTAATCTCGAAAATTGATCATTTTTGGTTTATTTTTCTTTTGCTTTATGAATGCGTAACAGTAATGCAAAATAAGTTGAAAAAGAAGAAGAAGACACGAATTTAATAAACAAGAGAGAGAAAATATACGATTGAATTTGAATAGCAACTGTGTAGAAAAAACGAAGCATGGAATAATTGAATCAGAGGCTCTGATTGATACTGCACGGTAATAAAAAAAAAACTATCGCGCTGTGTTGTTCTGTACTGCTGAAAGATGATTGGTCGAGAACAGCATACAATAATGGCTATCATTACCTTTTCCTATTCATTCAGTCATAAACTGTATATGCAAGTGCAAAAGATGATGGATAGTTCGTTGATTATTTATTCCTAGATTTCACTTTGTTTCAGATGTCGACGTTAACATCATTTTCTCAACTTCGTATTCTTCTTCATCCTCATTATTCCGTTAATATTTTCCTATCAGTCTTCTACCTTCTATTGAAACAGTTGACTCCCAAGTCTTTATCTCCATATATATTCGTTAACAATGAAGTTACCACTCAGGATACGCAAGTTCTCTTACTTCTGGCCACGATTATAACCATTCGTGGACGCAAAACTCTCACCTGGTTACATTACATTGATACTGTTTGTAAATATTCGAAAATGGCCAATTGTTTACTCTTTTATCGTGAACAAGCTTATGTTTCGCTGATACTCTATGCTTTACTTTGCCTGCTTCATTTCCTTTTCTTTGCCACACCTGAGCCAACAGGCAAAACGAATATATTATATTATCGTGCTAATAATTTAGACAATGAGATTCGTGCCGATTCACGTATAACCTGGTTCGTTTGTTTCTACGCGCCTTGGTCTCCGCCGTGTCAAAATTTTGCCAGTGTTTTTGTTGATTTGTCAACACGTTTCGGCGATTTGAAAAACTTCAAATTTGTTAAATTCGATGTTAGTCGTTATCAAGCTGAAGCGGAAAAGTTCAAAATTGACACATCAACATTCTCCAAACAACTGCCGACTGTAGTTCTTTTTCAAGATGGCAAAGAAGTCAAACGTCGACCACAAATCGACGTTAAAGGACGAGTTCTCGATGCTCAACGCTTACTAACAGCCGATTATCTAATCAATGAATTTGGTCTCGCAGAAATTTATACAAGAGAAGCGGATAAGCTAAAAGCAAACAATAAGAAAGAACAATAAACACCTCGGATCGTACCATTTTGTACTACTTTTGTTAGAAGATAGAATCATTTTTTTTTCTTTGTCACTAGCACAAAACTTGCAATCAATGTTTGTTAGGATATATTAGAAATAAATTCAAAAAATGATTATCAGTGGTTCATATGAGAGTGCACAGCGACGTCGAATCGGAATTTATCTTTTAGAATAGATCAACTAAAAATGATAGGCGACGAAAATTGTGAGTTTCGTTTGTCTCTCTTTTATTCTTAATAATCATCATCGACTGGCTCTTGAGCATCTGCTTTGAAAGGAAACCGTTCCATGCCGAGTTGTCTCGCACAATTTTGCATCAGTTTACGCCCACAATAATGCTTTGCGACATATTCAGGTACATCATTCAACTCACGAACACAACTTCTCATGATGTTTGCCAAGGCAACTAGAACCAAGATTTCAAGATTGAGGTTTTGTTTTTATCGAAAGAACATTTTTCACTTACAGATACATGACTTATTGAATTGCTTTGTCGCCTCATCGAAACATTTGCCGTGTTTTTGTACGCTCTGTTGGAGAGCATTGACAGTGTCAAAGCATACATTTACATATTGATCTCGCCGGGGATATTTTCTCAAACCCTAAAAGAATTTGAACACGTCTCGACAACGAACACGTCTGAACGAATACCACTTACATAATGAAACTGCTGACACGTTGCGGCTTTGCAGTGAAGAAAGTCGAATGCAATCGCATCAACAGCCAGAATTATTGTCAAGAAAAGTAATAATACAAAGAGTTTTGCCATCTTCGACCAAATACGTTTCTCGTCTAATGCTGAAATGTAGAATGAAAGAGAAAACATTACAAATAATCGAATGCATCTTTTTTTTTCTCGAACTGACAACAACCGAGCAGAAATTGTTGTATGATGTCTTAATGATAATAAAATACATGACATTAATGCATCGTTTGTTTTCGACTCACGCACTGCATTTAAGCAACAATTAAGTGAACGAGTTTTGGAATGAATATCAAAGATACTCGAATACAAAATGATATTGTCATACGGCAACCACAGCATTGATGAGAATATATTAGTTCAATAGAGAATATTTATTTCCGTTAAGAAAATAGAGTCTTAATCAAAAAAACGCATCAAGCATGAGAAAAAAACTTGACATAATTCAGTACAATGACAAACACATGTTTATTCTTGTTTATTTATATGTTCATATGAAAGTTGAAATAGACGATTATGCATAGAGATAAGCTTTACAATATTTCGTCATTATACGACCGCAGCAATGACGCGCTTTTTCTTTGGGAATATCGTGCAATTTTTCTACACAATTTTTTATAGTATTCGCCAATGCAACTAAATTATTCAAATCAACTAAATGCTACTCTAAAGAAATCAATCAACTTACTAATACAATCAGGATTTCGTTGGCGCGTTTTTGGATGAACACATCCACCAAAATAGCGTGATATATCTTGTAAAGTAAAAGCCGTATCGAAACATATTTGTTCGTAATCGTGCTGACGTGGATAATTGGCTAATGTCTATGATTATTGAAATCCATTGTATGTGCTTTTAGAAAATATTTTCAAATACTTTACATCAACAAAAGCCAGACACGCGTGCGTTGGACATGGATCATCGAGAAATATTGCACAGACGATCGAAGAGGTCGCAATGACTGAAATCAAGACTAACAAATACTTGCTCATTGTTGAATCGCTTTCAAGAATGATGTGTACACAATTGACGAACCTCGGGTCTATTGTCTTATTTTATATTCAAGATTGGTATGCAACAATGACGTGACTTGGAAGGTGGGAAAGTAGATAAGCATTTCTATGCGTAATTCCAACTTGGATCGAAAAGAGAAGGAAATGCTGACATGCGCAGATATTGGAACAAAGAATATCGATGAGGATGTAAGAAACATATTTGTCGTTCGGTGTTTTGCCTATTTTTGATATTAGCTGACGCGTTCTCAGTTTATGATTCGTAGTGAAAGTTAGTCATACTTTTGTACTCCAATGCACTGCGTATCGTGAGTGGTAGAAAACACACTGCTTGTCAGAAATGTATTGTAAACACATAGTAACTGTCGTACAAGTCCGATATTTGGCTAAGTGGATATTCATGAACGTTTCTAAAAAGTGTACATATACTACGTAGGTGCATTTGATTTCATGTGTGAAGGATTTGAAGTTTGCTCTACGTAAGTTAGAGACGTATGACTTTTAAATTCGGATTAGTTGCTGAATTTTCTTCAATTTCATTTCGTTGCCTATCTCTCGATACAGTAAATAAGGTGAACGTGATATTCAGTTATAAAATTAGTTTCTTCTTTTATATAGAAAATTTAGGTTAGTGGAAATGAAAGCGACAAGTAAATAATTCTCTAATGGAGTTCTTGAATGTTCGCATATGAACGAGAAATGCATTCTATTTGCAGTATTCAACAGGAAGCTACTCAAAGCTGGCGATTGTTTGACGTTTCTTTGCATTTGATAACTTAGAAGGTAAAATTTATTAAAAATCCGTCAGTGGGTTACGAATACAATCCTTGTAGAAAAAGAAACAAGTAGCTAACGGTCTATCTACGAACTGTTTGATATTTATCTTTTCTCTGAGTATCATCCTCGATGAATTTAAAAAACAATAGATAAATATGCGAAAAAACAACTATATTTTATGCTTAAAACGCTGTTCATAACCCTCAAGGCCGAGATGTACAGCACAATATTTCATCAATGTATAACCGCAGTAAAATCTCGCTGTATCTTCCGAAAGTTCATTCATACGTTCAATACACTTTTTGATCGAGGCAGCAAGTGCATCTAAAATGTCAGATGAGATTTTAGTGGAAGAAATGTAAAGTTCAGCTTACAGATACAAGGAGGATTCAATATACCAGTTTTAGGTTGAATACATTTGCCATGTGTACGTGGTATATCTTGCACAGCGAAAACTGTTTCGTAACACACATTTTCATAGTCTTTTTGACGTGGATGGTTTTTTAATCCCTAAAGTCATAATACATAGATCAATTTTTGATAGATAAGATAATTAACATTACAAAATAAACATCTCGGCATGTCGGGATCTTACAATGGAAATCATCGATGGCGATGCCATCAACTAACCAGACATTTGCCAATACGAATATAATAATGACTAATAAAACAATGTTCATAGTGAAATAATTATATCTAATAAATCACAACCGATAAATCTGTACTAGCATCAACGATATCACTTTAGTAAAACATATAATTCGTTCGAAGAGAGAATTCACAGAAGGCAGACGAACGCGATGATTATGGCTTTATTTGTCGTATACATAACAAACGCGTAAACAAAGAGGCTAAGAAGAACAGTTGTTTCTTCTCGTCCATGCGTACCATGAAATTATCAAGAACTTTATCGATGACACCATCGAGGTGTGAACATTCGACGAAAGTCGAGTCCGTGCAGCAGTTCGTATCAGCATACAAGAAATGTATCTGTGACCCTGGTTCATACTTTCATACATGTTTATCAATAACAAATTTTATTAACGAAATAAAGGAAAAAAGAAAGATATTTGCTAATACATTGAATGCGCTTGGTTGGAACGAGGCTTTTTGATTTTCTCGAGATTTTTCATTAGAAGATCGTGAACACTTGTCTACAATGAAATAGAAATTAGTTGATGAAATTCAAACTCCTATTCTTATTTACATAATGATTGCGAAGTTCTAGTGCAACAAATCGTAATGAAACGAATTGTTTCTCATCTAATGATTGCACACTGCGACGAAAATCTTCCACATGAGGATATTTCACTACTTTTTTAATTAGTTCCCCACGAGAAATGAGATACTTGCATGTCAAGTCAATATATTGTGCTACTTCGGTTTCCAGTGTGCGAACTTCAGCCAAGGAATCCTAGAAGAACCTCAGCTAAGCGAATACGCAAGAAAGTGTACGAAGAATTACTTCTTGAACGCTCACACCGAAATTGTTTCCATCTTCAACTTTTGGAATCATCAATTGAATCCATAGTTTAATGATTGCAACCTGAATAATACAAATAGACAACAGATCAAGCACGATCGAGTCCAACATACACTATCGAGAAAATGGAGAATGTAAGGTCGCAGTTTATCTTCGAGAATAGATATGAGTGGGTTCGACGGAACTGTACCATTGAAGACGTATGCCGTGGCGTTTTCCACGTGAGAACCGTTGTTATTCATGTTAGCGGCTGTTGTTGAATGAGGGTGATCTTTACTTCCATTGGCTAGATGTGCGACGATGTCATCGGCTGTTGGAAGTTGGATTTCTTCACGAATTTTTGTGACTTCATTGAATGATAAGACTTCGCTCTATGAGAGAACGCATTAGAACAAGAAAAATACGAAACGCGAATGAAACAAACCGAAACGAGCGTGTCAAGTTCGAGAGCTTTCTCGGGAAATTCATTTCGAATGAGATGTTCTGCGGAATTCTTAATCTTTGTGGAATAGTCATCCATTTTCTGAAATGAGAAATCATTGATTCTTGTAAACAAACAAACAAATCGTAATTGCGCAAATCAGTTTTATTTTCAAAATAGAAAACACATTAGTTCTGATTTATTCGTTAAGTTGTTTCTGTTTTCTTCGTTGTGCATTTTTCTTTTTCGTTTTCTTTCGTTTCTTCTTCTCTTGATTGGATTTCTGTTCTTGTTGAACCGTATTTCGGCGTTTTCGATAGGCAGGAATCGTTATATCAATATCATAACATCCTAAAATAAATTAAAGAAACCTTCATCATTTGAAATTCAAATGTTAAATACGTTTATGTCGTGGACAAAATGTCAATGGCACACGTTCAAAATCCAAATGGTATGGTAGGAGTAGAGTTGGTGTCAATGGATTCCACGGGACTGTAGTCCGATCAGATTCAACCAAAAGTTCATTTGTCTCAAATGGTTTCGAATGGAGTTCGAATTTTTGTCTAAAACAAATCAATGGAAATAGAATGAAGATCATGCAGTTCTTACTCTTCCGATTCGCTGGTTGTTCTATGGTATAGATGAAGTTTGTCATCATTTAATGGATATGATAGTAAGTAATTCTTTGCTTCTAAACTTTGTAAACCGTACAGTAGTCCATAGATTTTGGTCAATGGTTTTATTATACTATAATTGAAAGCGCATTGATACAGTTAGAAATGAGGATTTCCTTACTCAATTTGACATTCTTTTAAATTTCGATCGATATTTTCATACGTCATTTTCTCGACTTTGAGTAAATGCTGTGTAAAGGCATTGATTCGTCCTAAAATGAAATTTAAGATCATCAAATCTTTCATGGAGACTAAACTAACCGATTACGACGCTTGCGCCATGTCTCAGATAAGATTCGAACCAAATCGATCGATATTCTTGGTCAGTGATTTGTTCGCAACCAAATTGCGGCTGATATTCAAGTTTTGCAACACATGTGATGAATTCATCGTGAACGGTCGGAACAGTATGTCGACAAAATCCATGATAACTCGAGCGAATTAGGACTTGCAGTGTGCCCAATTGCCATAAACAATATTCATAATTTCCTTGGATAGGTGTAGCAAGTTTCACACGAGTCATAACAGGAACTGAAACGAAAACAAATTCTGTAAGAGCTCGAGAGAAGAAAATGCGTTTACCTTCAGAGTTAGCGGTAGCGTCTTCCGATTGTTCAGATTCTCGTTCTTGAAGAACAGGGGCAGATTGGATAATCTTTTGCTTAGATTTATGAAATAGCTTTTGCTGCTCTTCGTTATCACCGTCTAAAATGATCATGAAAATTCATTAGTTTTTAAGCACAGAATCCAATTTACCTGTACTGATAATCATGGCATTTTCTTCTTCGTCCTCGTCCTCATCTTCATCGTTGTCATTTTCATTTGAGATTGCTGGTGGGTTCTGTTTATCGGTAGATTTGTCCAACGTTTTATTTTTAATCTCTGTTATTTCAAATTCTGTTTTGTTATTAAAACTCGTATGATAAAATTGATTATCTGTGGCTTCTCGCTTTCCACCAGTGGTCGAAAGTAACAATGAACGAAGTGCTCGTTGAAAGAATTTGCTATTCAGTTCACGTTTTGTATAAGCCCGATGACGTAATGGTTTATCGATAAAAATCACTTTTTTATTCACTGGTGCGGGATTATCAATCACGTTGAATTGAAATTCACGGATCGAAACAGGCATCGTCGTTGGTGATGAAGATGAAGAGAATACTTCGATTAGATGACGAAAACTAGATTTTGAGAGCACAATGTCGATCGATGGATGCTGAGATAGTATAGCGAGAAGATTAGGATCATCGACTAAATTCTACAAGAGAGATCATTTGAGTTAGAGTAATAAGAATGACTTACTGTCAGTCGATATTTGGAATTAAAACGATTGGACACGATTTGATCGTGATTATCACTGCATTTCACATTCATCTGTTCGGGAACCGTCAACAATGGTATTGTACCCTAAATATAAGCAGGAAAAACGAACAATCGTTGATATTGGTGATGTTTCGAACTACGAACTAATCGTAAAACAGTTGATAGATTGGCAAACGTAATAGGCGTGAGAGAATCGTATGAATTCAATGGAATTGTCATTTTTTTAGCATAGAATTGTTCTAGTGCATTCGATCGTTTGAGTAATACATCCGTTTTACGCTGTAACCACGCCTAGAAGTTCTCAAAAGATTTGAGATTATTCGATTCTAAAGATTCTAATTTTGCATTCTACCTGCATGAACTGATTAACGGATGGTTTCATTGCTTCATAGTCTCTGTTCACATGTTTCGTCGCGTATTCTTTGGCACATTGGTTGAACATTCGATGTTCGTTTAATAATAAACCGTTCATCCTCTGAAGTGAACGGATTGAATTCATCTACGCATCCGTGGAAGTTTTGTCACTTACTTTCATGTTTTTACCTCGATTTGTTTTCTTGTTTGATTCCTTCTCGATATCATTGATCAAACATCCTTGATTAACATCGTAGAAAACATATAGACCCATTCGATGTTGTTCGAAATCGAGTGAGGAGAGTTTCTCCGAGAAATAATCCAAATGGAACGGATATATTCGATTGATATGTGAACGAAATTGAGTAGCCGAGTACAGTTTGATCTCACGAGGGGTTGATTCGTTCTCAGCGGTCGTATCATCTTTAGGTTTATTTGGTTCTGATGGAACGCTTAATAGTGCTAGAAAAGATAACGGTGATGTGAAGTACGATTAGTGATTGCAAAAGAATTACATGAAATATCTTGAGTAATCTGTCGGAAAACGATTGAGTTGTTCAGCCATTGTTCATGAAGTTGGGGCTGGACGGGTGTTTGACTGTGAAGAAAAACGAATGAGAAGAGGATGTGAGAGAAAAAGATTATAAGAATACCTTTGATTTTCTTCTTTGAAAACACGTAAGAGATTATCAATATGAGTCGATGATGCAGCCGTTTCTGCCATTTAGAAACGAACTGACTCGTTTTCACACTTAGTGACATAATATACGAAGACTTTGATGAAATATCTTTGTTCTAATGAAATTACTTATCCTATTCGTCATCAATCTTATTGGCTGATTGGAAGTTAACAAATAAAATTCGAAGACTAGTTGTCGCTTTCGATGAATGAACTGTAAGTGGAAAAAACATGAAATGTTTTCGAGCAATACTCGTTATAAGTCAGCATAGTTCCATTTAGTTCCTTTATTTTCAAAGAAGTGACACAGAGTACAAAAGAAAATTCTATTGCTAAGTCAGTCGATAATGGACAACAACTAAAGATCCCGTTTCTTATAATTTATCATTTGAACTTTGCTGCAGTCAAGAAATGAGCGCCCAGGATTTCAGAAATACTTCGTCGGTCTTCTATCAGTCTATTCTGTATACCGTTTTCGCCCGAAAATTGATCGACTAGATTCGTCAGATGCTTATAACCAAATAACAATAGCTGAAAATCAAGTTCATGGTGTAAGAATGGTACTCTGATTTTATTCCGGTAACGCCGAGTATTTTTCACACATTCGCCCTGCGAATTTAGATTGCCGTCGACCTCTTTCACTCTCCTTAGCGACGTTATTCGTCTCGAACATTAGTATGTTTAAACTGATGCTCGAGTAACATGATGTTCACAGTATATATCGTTCGTTGTTTGAACGTGTACAAATGCACTATCTACTACGACTATCATTACGATATAAGTTAATCTGCTCAAAAAGACGAAACTTTATGACAACTGCACATCACATGTATCGAGCAAAGGTAAACGGTGCACGATGTCGTCTTCACTTTTTTGAGCATGGCTGCTCTCATATGGACTAGAGAATGATGAAGAGTTTGAGAGCTCTTGTGTTCATGACGTGAGAAAGAAACACAATCAGAGCACAGAGTGAACATCAGTTTTCATTCTTGTCGCTTGATTTATGAATAAATGAATTCTAGCTCAAGAATACAAAGATTATAATCATCTATGTCATAACTTCGTATCTGTCATTAAGCACGAATTTGTCCTGCATCAGATCTTTTTTACATTGTATCACTACAAAAGGTACATCGTGTAAAACAAGAATTATTCCTGGTATCATATTACTACGTATTATGAAGGTGCTGCAATAAAAACTATTTCAACATGAAACATAATCTTATTCTGTTATCTCATATAATTATTGTTAAGCTATTGGACGAAGAATCAGACGTAAATAATGAAAGTCCGAAATCCTTATATTATCTTTCGTATTGATGATAATGTCCAAGAAACACAATATCATTAATTCAAGTCATTAGTTAGAAGCTAAGCAGATTTGATGTTCAACATCATTGTACCTACTGCTCTCAAAAAAATATATACAGGCTCGATTAAAAGAATCGACAGATTCCGTTGATATTTAATAAACGCTTATTTTACATAGAAATAGAATCATATAAGTACTTTTAGAAGGTAAAATTCTTAGTCTTCTTAAATAATGTACCGAAAAGTCGACTCATTGTCTTGACCATTATAGTAGTATTATTGATTCCATCTCTGCTGTGTTCATTCTACTTATTTCATAACTCATCGACAGGTTCGAACAAAGAGAGCAAACGTCTTTATCACCTACTTAATTATTGTTCGCTTTTTACAGACTTGTGTTTTCAATAACAGTACTATTCTATTTCCGTGTACGAATAATTTCATTTATCAGATTTTCTGCAGTGGTGCACTTTGTTAGGTGCTAATGCCATTCTTGAGCCATTGTCAATTCGATTATCGATCATGGTTTGCCAATGTGCATTATCATGATGATGGATTTTATTCTGGCAGTCAGAGTTGTTGCGCAGAAATATCACTGAGGAAAATATTGTAGTTTACGAATTGTACCAATTGTCACAAGTTGATATGAGCTTTTAAGCGACTCTAGAATGAACTGTTTCATGTTTTTTTTTATTTTGTCTAAATCGAATGTTCACATGAGAATAAAACAAAAGTATAAAAAAAACAAATATGTAGATTCTTAAGATTCTGGAAAGAGCGAGGAAATCGTTGTAGGTCGCGCCATATTTCGCGCGTTTTTATATTCTTGTAGGCCTTCACGAACAGCTGTATGAACGTTTAATTTTGCCTTGTAATCGTCTGTGAAGGGATTCACAGGTTTAGATACAATTTCACCACTACAGGAAAAAAATGAGAAAAAACAACGAAGGTCACGTTCCGAGACTTTCAACAACTCACATAACATCAATAGCCCAATCACGAAAGAAAGGTAGAAGTTGATCATCCATAGCTGGAAGAACGATTAAACGCTATAAAATAAAAACAAGTAGATCATGGAATCAAAATTAGGAGCAACAAACTTTTAACTCAGATCGGATTTTTGCCGAGAGAAAATCTTGCAGTAATGTGTAGGAATACTGTTTTTCACCATATGTCGGTGTGACTTTAATATTCAAGTCAGGCATCTCGGGACAACCCACCCTGAAAGACACTCATAGTTGGAACAAATCGATATGCAAGAAAATAGGTACCAAATTCGATCACTTGGTGGTGGTGGAATGTTCAGCTAAATTCCATTGATAAAAGAGAATATGATCGTTCGATGAGCATCAAATTACCGTCAGAACACCACTGAAACTAGTTACTTCCACATCCGCTCCTACTTCTTGTTCGGAAAATTTTTGGAATAAATTTTTCACGAATGGAATGTTGGCAAAGAACTGGAAATATTTGTTCAATGCCAAGTTTGTCAGGGCTGTGCCGAGTTTTCGCGTAACTGCCCTAGAAAACAAAAGACACTGTACGGTTTTGAATTTGAGAAAGTTTGGGTGGGTAGCGCACATTTCAGGAATTTCAGGTTCTTTAGCCAGAAGTTTTTGCCGTTGAATCAGATCATTGTCATCATCTTTACGAACATTTTGAGCAGATTGATGTTGAGCAAATATTGGTTTGTCCTTTTTCGGATCATAATTGATCAATTTTTGCAGAACAACACGAGTTCTCACCGATAGCCTAGATTTCATCAAAGAAAACAAATAGGTTGAAAAGACTCGTTTGGAAGAACGCGATCGCGTTCATCGATATGCTAAGATGAAATCAATTTCTTGAATGCACTCACTTAAAACTACCGCGATAATATAAAAATAGATTAAACCAGATGCCTTGCGTATTCCATTGCATTGGTTCGATTTTGAGTATAATTGGAAATGTATTACCGAGATCGATTGATACCACACGAAGATTTTCCAAAATCGATACCTAAACGACAGTTGAACGAATTCGAACAGTTATCCGAGAGAACTTACAGCGAGTTCTCTCAGTTTCATTTCGATTTTCTCCTTTAGTAAGTCTTTCAAAATTGAAGTATCAAACATATCACAGAGAAGTCGACGAGTGAGAAAATTAATTGTTATCGCTGCTTCATCGAGACACTCAGGTGTTTGAAGAACTTTTGTTAAACAAGTTTCATTCGGAATAGATTCTGCAGATTTACGAGCAATAGTTCGATGAGTGCCAGTATTATCTTTATCCGCGTCGTTTTTCTAGAAAAAAATCACTAATTGTGGAACGGATACTCGACAAATCGTACTTTGGTTTTCTGTTGTAGCTCATCGGCAATTATTTGAGCATCGATCACAGAATTCGATGGAAGCTCAGGTTCGGACTCAGTTTGAGTGTATCGACGATTCAGTGACGACTGGGATCCACTACTGCTTGCAAGGAGATGATTCGTTCGTTGAATATCTTCTTTCCCTTTTCGTAGTACTAATGAAAGTCTAAAATAAATTCGAATGAAACTCGAATTCGACCAGATTCCAGCAGAACTACTGACTTATGAAACCATTCTTCCTTCTGTGGACCTGTTTCAAACCAAATGGAGATAATCGTCGCGTTATTAGTAAAAAAATCATTGACAAGCCCTTTGGCTTTTTCGATTTGTTGTTTGTTAAAGATTTGTTTATCGAGTATCTGTAAATTTCGTATGACTATCGGATAATCATTCATCCAATACTTCGCACGTGTCAATGTCAATTCTGGTACAAGAATCATTCGAGCCTCTAAGATTTCCAACCGAAAAAATTTCTTTTGGAAAATAGATTATTTATCAATATTCTCACCTTTAACAAGATATTCTCGATATCCAAGAAATTTCGTTTCTTTCTCGGATTTCTTCTCATCCGTCCATTGTTTGCTTGCTAGTTGAATGATCAGACGATATCCATCGAGACGAACATCACATGGGTAGCGAACGAAGTCTTCATCACGATCAGCGTTGTAACTTTGAAAGCTCATGTAAGCACCAGTCACCTAGAAGAAAACAATGCCCGTAAACTCTTTCATAACTAATGATTATGTTTAACCGGAATCAATTCGCCGGTTCGGATATCCTTTATTTTCTTTAGATCATCGCTTCTGGCTTGATCTATCATGAAACAGATGATTTGACTTACTCGAATGTTCGTGTTTTTATCTTCCTTGTCGATTTTCGCCAGTAGAGAATCGAGTGTAGGAAAATCGATCCATTCTTCGACAACAATTTCTTTAACCTTGGACTTGATTATCATTCGAATCCGTATGTACACAAGTGCGAGAGCAAATAGGCAACCAACAATAAAACCGGATAGATACGAGGAGATCGGTTTCCATAATGTGATCACAAGAGAGATGATACCAACGGTGATCTAACAGAAAATATACAAAGATCGATCATGATTGCTATTGAAACATACTGGCACGGAGAAAGTCATATTACTATGAATGATCGACTTGTTCTTTGGAAGTTCTTTACTATTAACACGAAATTTCGGTCCACCGAGATGCAGTGCTGATCGTTTCACAGAATCCTGTGGGACGAGGATATTTATTTGTTTCGTCGTCATTTCATTTGGATCTGTTTTGTTACTTGACTCGTCTGTTGGAGTGGAAACATCTTCAATTGATGCGAGCTTCTGCTGTGAATGTCGAAGCGTGCTGAACAAAGATGGAATGCTCGCGTTCGAGTTAATTAGTTGTGATGAATTGGCGGGCGATAAACTGAACGAACTGAGAGGGCTTGGTTTAACACCAGTAGAACTTTTATGGGATGGTGATTGATCATTCAACTGACGGGTCGATGGGCCAAGTGATAATGATGATCCAGCGTTGCCTAACAAAAAACAAAAAGGCAAATCATTTTCGCATATGCAATGCAATTCGAGAATGAGAAAAAAAAACTTAATTTCTTCGAATAAAATATCTGTATGCAATTACTACTATTCCTCTTGTTTCAAGCTTCTCTAATATCTCGCCATGATCATGTTAGTCTCCAGAGTGTTTTTCTTCTTCTCGGTGCGTTTTAAACGTCTAGAGCATTGTGTTATTTGTCATACTTTCATCGTTCGCAAATTGAATCTAATTCGATTTGTCGTTTTCGCAAAATGATCCTTATGACAATTGAATTCCAGCAAGCATCAATATAGGACATTCCACCGAGTGACTAATACATACCTGAAGTTTTCAATAGATGTGTCATCCGTTTTGGTGTTGGTGTTGATTCATCTTGACACGATGAATCCGCATTGGCCATACTTGAGAGATGCCGATCGAACGATATCGACCGACTTCGTTCTTTCACAGCACCAGCGATGTCATCTTTGATCGCCGTAATTTTATGCGATATTTTATCTAACATATGATGTGGTGTCTTGTGCGTAGTCATTAGTTTTCTGGTATCATTGAATTGTTGCAAGAGAATAAGGCTGAGTCCAAAGAGAAAAGAGAAAATTACCAACTAGCCTGTTTTTTACGCTTGTGATGAATGTTGTGCTCGTGATGAGTTGTTGTCGTCTAATGAAGTAAAGCAGAATAAGACGAAGAAGATAGAAACAAGGAGCAGAAGAAAAAAAAAGAATTATACCATAGTACGAGCGAGACGTTTCAAAGCAAGAAACGATCAAACTAGTGGTGGAAAGAATGAAAAAAATTGCCGTCCGAAGAGCTAGATCGGGTACATATTACAAAAAAAGAAAACGAAGAAGAAAAAAGAAACAGAACAACTCGAGACGCTTAATAATAGGAAAAAAGTGAGGAAACAACAAAATGGTCAGTGAACAACCAGCAATGACTATAAACGACAAACATGTGAGGAAAATATGTTGAAGCAGAGCTTTGATTTAGTATCGTTCTTCCTTAGAATAAGAGTACTGCTGTTTGAGATAGTGCTTTTTCTATTCATTTGAGTTAATTAATGTGATGAAAGGAGTTTTGTTGTTGTTATCATACATTTAGAAATTATTGATGTATGCTTAAATGTGTCTTTTTTTCTAATCGAATCTATTTCTTCGACGATCGTGTTGGTGTCCTATATGTAAATGCGCAAAATATTCAATAGAAGTCTTTTTCATTCTTATCGGGATAATACTGGCGACTGTTCTTGTTTTTGCGAAAGTGTGCTGATGAATGATTGAGTAAATATCATTATAAAGGTCGTGTTTTATCTACAAGACGAATGAATTCACCTGTTTCGATTGCCATCTCATTTCGAAGTATTTCAGTAAGAACAAAGTACAATAAATATGACCGATTCAAAGCACGGAAGTGTTTGCGCTTGGAATTGACATAAATAAAACCATCAATACTTGACACAATAAAACAACAGGAAATTGCAAAGCTGCCAATTGGACATTTCTATCATTTTGAGAGATGAATAATAGATCGAATGAGGTTTTATAGAGACATGAGCATAAGTATACTTCATGATTCAATTGGAAACTAATCAGATCGTTCTCGACAATGGCACAGGGTACATACAACTGATGATATACCTCTTTTCTGTTCATGGTCACAGTTGATTTATTGAAATCCATCAACATCGCAGAAGAGTCAATGATAATCATTGCGAAATCAAAATGTTAATAGGCTCGATATTAATGCATATACATTCTGATAGAAAGTGATGAAATATCGTCAGTTCGAAGGTTGAACTCGTCAGGGCACGCACTATTGCACGTTTATTTCAAGCAAATATTCTCAGACATTGCTTAACTTGTACCGACTAACTATCCATATTTGTTCGAATGTAATATGGATACACTTTGTGAACTTGTCACTGCATAGACCTATTTATACTTATAATAATTATTATCACCGACTCCAACGAGTAATCTATGCAGACAAATAAACTTCCGTCGCGTGAAAGCTCATACTTTGTGTTGACATCTTGGTGGCTAATTCATAGGTTTCTGTATAAACATTGCTCATAGTCATTTTGTTTTAGAAGTATAAGACGAGAACAACAACAAAAATTCACATACACACACACATATATATATATATATATAAGCATACAGAGAGAATTTGCAATGATGATTTATCGATGGAGATTTTTATTTGTATACAAAGCATATGATGATGTGCGATACGGTTGATCATTTGGACAGCATGAAAGTGCACGTGGTTTTAATTTCGTTTCGTTTAATTGAATTTCGATTTTTGGTCGAGACTTTTTCCGTGCTGCTCGTTCGGCTTCGCTTCGATCGTATAATTCTCTCCATTGACACCGTAAGATATAAGCGAGTTCATTTCGAAAAGCTTTTCCACTAACACAATAGAGAAGAAAATTAATACAGAAATTCGTTAACATGAATAACTCCGTGATTTCTTTCACTGATTTCAAAGTTGCATTACCAAATTTTTCCAGATAATTTGCGATCCAAACGACACAATAGGGCGTATTTAGTAGAACGAATGAACATGAGACAAGTAATAAAGTTGCTGTAACACGATGCGTTCGGGATTGTATGTAAGCTTTAATTGAGCTCACGGATTGCTTCTTTGTTTGATTAGAAAAATTTGTGGATAAGGTCGACGGCGATCGAGGTGGTGGCCGATTTAGCAGTTCATCGTTGATTAAATGTCCATTAATCTAGTTAAAATAAATAATTAAGCAAAAATTCAATTTCCGTTATGTCGTGTCTTCGAAAAGTATCGTGTTAAAATCCTCTTAAACATAAGCAATATACTCAACCCACTGAAGGATGATTGAATCAACTAGATATGTCAACCGGAAATGACCTATTTTTTTAAATCACATTATGTGTTCGGTACTATTGAGAAAAACCTAATCTTAGGAAAAAAACGAGATATGTAATTTTATCATCATTGCAATCTCAGGACAAACATCTCAGATAGCCTTCGACAAAACTGTTGACAATAGACGAAACTAACTTGTGCGTCTGTGTTTAGCAACGGGCCGATTGATTGATATTGACTGAGTGATGAAGTTCGGCCATGTAGAGATTGTTTCGTAACGATGGATGACGTTGAAGAGCGTCGAGATAGATGTAAACATGCTAAAAATCTCCACAAAGACGAAAAGGTTTGCCGGGAGAAAAAACGATGTCTAATAAAACAGAATTTGTGAGAATCGGAAACTTCAGAAAGATCTTACTTGTCCTTTGCAGCTAAACTCGCATCATCTTCGTCCATGAATAAACTTTTTCTCCAAAGTTTACAACAAATTAACATGTTCACAAAGCCAATGATACACATCGGTGCTAAATAAACACTGATCATGGTAGTAATAGCGAATCTCATATAGATCGAACGATATTTCGGTATGATATCACAAATTGTATCATTTTCCATGGGAGTTGAGGATGAAATGACTCCGTAGTGAAATGGGACATTGAGATTACTGACAAAACTCAAGCAGAACAAGAACAAAACAACGAGTCGTGCAATTTTTCGTCGACAGATAGTCGCACGTTTCAACGGATAGAATACGACGAGCAGACGTTCAATCGTAAATGAAACAATAATCCATGACGATAACGAGCGCGTGAGATTTCTTGCGTATTGCACAAGTATGCATATGGAAGTTGAACTGCGGTCAAGAAAATTCAAATGCGAGTGATACAATTGATTGTGATTACGAAATGTATCTTCCAGTAAGTTTATAATAAGAAAACAAAGATCGGACAGTGCGAGCGATAGTAAGTAAAAGTGCGATGACTGTCGGCGATATCTCGGCGAGAGAAAGATTAAAATTGAAAGAACATTTCCGACAATACCAAGTGTAGTTAAAATGAATGGTCCATAAATTGACATGTACTGTTCAATGGCTACTAAGGTCGACATGGCAGGATATTGTTTCTCTTTTGTTTTCTTATATCATTAATTATCTCAAATAGAAAATAGAACTTTCTATTAGAATAAGCCGACAATATTCGTCTCTCATATACATCAATGTCATTTGAAGAAATAGACGTTCTGTCTTTTTTTCCCTCTTTAATAGCAAGTAGATTTACCAACTAGCCCAACTTTTCTTTCGAGAAAAGAGAGAAAAAAGATATTGCAGTGATTTTTGACTACGCTTCTCTTTTTTCTCGTCGCCTGCGTTTTTTGTACGTTTCTGATAAAGGATAACGCGACATGACAATACATTTCCGCTGACTAATACATATTTTCTAAATTTCTGACGTAAATATAGAACGACTCGTTAGAAAAAACAAACATGCGAATCGACAAATTTAATCTACTAAAATGTGCAGTTCCGGTAAGAACAATAAGATAAATATCGCATTGTGTTACATCTCTCATCACTAATTTACACAAGCTTCAGCGAGGAAACACGAATGAATGTTTGCAGGCGTGTTAAGAACTAAATCTCCATTCTAATGTAAACCTTTTCTAAGAAAGAAAAACAAAACGAAAGATTGCCTCGTATTTATTTTAACTTTAACGCATTCACCTGTTAAGGAAACAAGAAAAGACAAATTCCGTCTCTTGTCTCTAATGATTATTAGACATATTATTGCTCATTCTGTTATTTGATGTAATATATATCTGTCAAAAGAGTTGACCTTACACATATGTCACTGTCTATCATCATCAATTCTGATAATTCTTTTGTTTTGACAAAGACAATAAGAGATGTTTATATCATCAATATATAAATCATCAGCAAGAAAGAAACGAAAAAGAAGAGTATCATATAGACTTATCTAAAATAATAGAAATACTCTACACATTACTATTGGCTACTTGATAAGGAAGATCCACTTCATAACGATTGATTGAAATGACAAGAACAACAGCATTCTTTCTGTCTGCCGCTTTCTTTACTTTACTTTGATGAAGAAAAAAAAAAAGAAACAACTTTTATCTAGGGGCAGGTATCATCCGATGCTCCAGACTAATTACATCGACGACGCCAGTATCGTTCCTAATCAAACATCTAATAATTACCGACAAAAATATGAAAATGCCTCGAAGTATGTTATTTGTCAATTTGTCGAACAGAATCAGACTATATTCATCAAAAATAACGTAAACAAACACATTCGAGTAGAATACGGAACACGATAAACGATAGAACAATAGACTCGTTCAAAGGCAGTGAACTACGTATATAGACGATTCATTTGACAATCATATAGAAACTCCTATTCATAGTAATTCGTATAATGTATGCATCGTTAAAAATTGATAAGGTTTATTATTGTTGAGTGTTGACGAATTCCATCTAGTTAATTATCGAACACTCACTTACGTTTGATTAACGTTGTCTCAGTTCCGATCGAATATCTTGTATCTTATAACGTCTATGAAACATTTAATCGTATACTTATGAATAGAATTCTGCTAGTAGCGAAGGACGCTAACTTACTCAGCTATCATGATTATTTAGTGATGTGTTGATTAAACTAAATGAGACAAACTGTTCTAATCTACTTTATGCATATAATCGTGTTTCAGTCTATCAAACAGTAATTATTCTCATACCGTTGATGCTCATCATGTTACATAAATATTGCGAGTTAGTTGTTGAACTACAATGATCATGTCTCTGCGGAAATTTATCGAGTAATATGATGATCTATGTGAAGGTGTCTGGAACATATTCGAAAGAAAATGATGTGTGTGAACAAGAAAAACAAGACATTAACATTTTGACATGAGAAGGAAAATTGATATATTGATCAGTTGACTAAATTAAGAATCCGCGGAGAATTCAATATTTATATGTTCAAGGCTAAGGACCTACGCTGACAAGAGTAATACATCTATTTATAGCCAGTAGATCTGTTCGAGTCGATGAACATCGAGAGAATTAGCGAACACAATACTTTCAAATAAGTAATATTATATCCTAGTTTTACCTTGTGATGACATGTTCCCTGTACGTCCTTTTCTCAGTTTTTTGCTTGAATAATCTGTTGTTTGATTACTCACGCGTGAGGAAATAATGAAACACGCGAATACATAATGTCTGCTTTGAGTAAAGTATTCGACACAACTTCATTTCATGTATGTATATGTCACAAACATTTTCTACTGAGAGTTCGCATTCTACTGAAGTGACATTAACTCAGCAAGTACACATATTTGAGTCAGTTAACCTCTTTTGATGATACCGATGATAATTGAAACGTCTGTTACCTCCGATAGTTTTTTTTTAAAGAAAGAATCAACACATCGATGTACTTTTCCAGGAGAAACACCTTATACCAGTATGAAAAATTCAGAATCGTAATAAAGTGTCGAATGAACTAGCATAAGCTTCTGAAGATATAAATACAAATGATACCGCAGACGGATCTTTCAGTTGACTGCTGTAAATACCAACGTTTATTTTGTTGGAGAGAAAAACAAAAAAAAGACATTTATCATTTTCGTTTTCGTTTATCACCACCGAGCTTTTCTGCTCGTTTCTTCACATGTTTAGGTATTTTAGTTTTTCTTCGTTCTCGTTTTTGTTCCCGAATAGCTTGTTTTCGCAATCGTTTCGAGTTTGGAGATTCGTCACGCGGACGTACATTGCCTTGGACAGCGCTTGATTCTTGTGATGGGATTTCCTCGGCAGCTGATGCATAATCACTTGCATCGCTGTCGTCGTCGCTAGATGTTTCACTGTCACTCGACGATTGATCATCGTCGCTTGCAAGTATAGTTGGCACCAAACGAGCACCTGTCATCGATTCATTCATACCTAAGATTGTTGACGCTTGCCGAAGATCCTTTGATGTTGTCTCGCAATAATCATCTAATGTTTGAGGAATAAAGATCTGTTGGAAAACGCGTTCGTCAACTTCGTCAGTTGTTTCATCCGACCGTCTATTCGTTGCTTGTTCAATCATTTTATCAAGATACGCTTGTTCGTTAGAATCAGTGATTGTAGGATCGGTGATGTAGTTGAATAGTTGCTGCATTGTCAAGAGATTTTTCAGTGTGTATCGTTTAGCGAAATAGTCAGTCACATTTCGACAATCCATCCGAAGAAATTCTAATGCATTGGGATGAGCCTGCTCTACAGACTGGGACACATCAATAACGTATAATTGATTTTTGGAATCAAGAAGTAGATTGAATTCCGATAAATCTGCATGGATTAATTTGCATTTAACGAACATAATACGCATGTAATGAATTAACTGAAGATATAGAGCAAATGCCTGAGTTTCATCTAATAGAGGAGAATCTTTTAGTTTTGCAGCTGGCCAACCATTCTCGCCTAAAACAGAGAGAGCATTTGAATTTCACTCTCAGATACTCAAGTGAGGCTCTCACCGATAAATTCCATGACTAGAACGTGATTTTTCAAGGCAATGGGCTTTGGACACGGCACACCATTTGAGTGCAATCGTGATAGATTTCGATATTCTTTTTCTGCCCATAAACGCACCATTTTTCTTGGATTGTGCCTTGAATATCCATGTCGGAAACGGTACTCTCCTGTCACGTATCGATCGCGATCTTTAAAAACTAAAATAGATGTTTTGTAAACTTTGATGGCACGATGTTCGTCGGCGCTGGTTCGAGCATGATAAACATTTGCTTCTTTTCCAGTTGATATACATCCATTGATTTCTTCAACTAGACCTTGTTGAAGAAATTTGAATAGAATCAAACGTGTTCGTGGATCGAGAACTAGTTCAACAGTAGCACGATCATGTTTATCTTTCGAACGATACTTTCCATCATCGACATGGCCACTACGAGGTGAATATGGACTGATATCTATCTTATCGACATATCTTCAAAGAGAAACAGATGTTTGCTTACGCACTCGTGAGCACATGCACGGGTTTTACTTTGATAGAGTCTTATTGGTCGGTTGGAAATGTTTCATCGAATGTTGAACAGTTCCATTGATTGTTTCACCTGCTTCTTTAAGGTTTTCATACTTAATCTCGTCATCGTAACTGTCACTGTCACTTTCCATCGGTTGTTCTTCAGCAAGTTTGTTTTCGGTCATGTCTATATAAAAAGAACAGAAGCAAATCTTACGCAATTACATTCATCTATGACGTAATATGAAAAACTGATGAAATTTTCTTTTATTCCGGTAAAGAAGAACGAGTAAAACATATCTAACAAGTAGGTTTTATTCATGCTCTATTTATATACACAAAACAGAAAAATAACAACGGGTTCAGACGTTAAGAGGCATATGTGAAGAATTTCGCAATGTGCAATGACACTGTTCATTATGAGAAGAACTTTTTTCCGTATCAGCTAGTGGATGATGAAGGCATTTTTAATTTTGGCTTGGCAGTTAATCCATCAAAACGTTTATAAGTATAATTAATAAATAACCAATCATGAACTTGAACTTCACTGTCCTTGGCCGGTGATGCTGAAATGCAGAACCAAAGAAAATTATAAATTAGTCGACTTCTCGCGTAGAAACATACGTAATTTGAGATCCACATCAGGAAAATCATCGAAGTTTGCCGTATCGTCAATGGACCGAACACGTGGCTGATAAGCTGCTGGTCGATCGCGTATATGATCCCAATCAACGCCCAAAAAGAACGAATGACTGCGAATATCTTCCAGTGAGCCTAAACGTCGGTCGGCATCAGTACAAAATCTAAAGCAAACCAAGATTTCTTTTTCATGTGTTGAGAACAACTCGTTTTTCCTACTTGAGAACCAGATCTTTTGCAACGTTTGATATTGGAATCTCCGGTGGAAAAACAAGTGTTTCACGATAATTCATGACTTTTTGGAATGTTTCTTGAGGATTTTCTGCACAAAACGGTGGGTAACCAATTAACATTTCGTACATGATGACACCCAACGACCACCAATCAGCTTTCTACCCTCAACAATGTTTGTTTTTTACACACTTGATAAGATTCTCAGTCACTCACATGATTATAACCACATTGTTTGAAAACTTCCGGTGCAATGTAATCTGGCGTACCAACAGTTGAATAGGCCTCGATTGGAGAATAAAGCTCATTATTTCAAGATGAAAGTACCGAAAAATAATCATACCAGGGCACGACGGTTTTTCTTCCATGTCTCAGCTCGCCGTTTGGAATCAACTGAAGTAGCTGCTAGAATGACATCGAAGCTATGAGATACAAGCGCATTGGATGGACATGATTATTTACTGAAATCTTGCGGTCGCATGCTTTGAATATCCCGATAGAATTCGGTTCGGTGTGCTTTTTTCAAACCTGTACATAAGCCAAAATCCGAAAGTTTAATATGACCCTAAACAAACAGTAATACGTGATTATCAGAATGATAATATTGAACAATTCGGAAGTAGTGTACATGGTAATCTTTTCAAATCGATTTCATGGTTAATTTGCCACTACTTTGATCAATAAAGCTCGCTTTCCTTCGGTTAAGTCCTATTCAAACATATTCTATCGAATAACAACAAAACAGAACAATGAGTCAGATTACATCTAATCTCTACCAATGATATCATTTCGCGTGTGTTCAAAAGAAAACAAAAAATCATCATGAAATATCACAACGAAATATTTTGGTATATGTATATATTTACTTTGGCATCAAGTAAAAGATTATCTGGCTTGATATCTCGATGAATAAATCCAAGTCGATGAATAGATTCAATCGCTTCGGCTGTTTCAGCAACATAAAATTGTGTCATATCTTCGCTGAAAATCTCCTTATGAATCAACAGTGTCATCAGATCACCTAAAGAAAAACGACCGACTCTCTTCATACATATCAATTTTCATACAAGCACGAACCTCCGGGAAGAAATTCCATGATCAAATATAAATTCCGTGCATCTTGAAATGAGTAAAACATTTTAACTGTCCATGTATGATCAGCTTCAACAAGAACATCGCGTTCCGCGCGAACATGTGCAACTTGTTCACGTAATAGCATATCTTCTTTTCGTAAGATTTTCATCGCATAAATATGGCCCGTATCGCGCTTTTGTACCAAACGAACCTAAGTTATGAATTTCGAGTTAAAAGAAGGGTTTCATTGAAATTCAAATGACTCACTTCTCCAAAAGCACCACGACCAATAACTTTCAATGGTTCGAAATCATCTGCACTCATCTTCACCCGTTTCAAACGTAGATATTCCGTTTCTTTCGTCGCATGCGAATGCCGTTTTTCCAGTTTCTAAACACAACAATAACAGAAAGTACTTCCACCAAAATCCATCCTTTCGACTTACCTCCTGTTCCGATAAACCTTCCACATTCATCACTTCTTCCAATCGACGATATCTACAAAAGCAAACTGCTTATTCATCCTAAACAGCAGAGAAAATCCAACATACCTCTCTTCCCGTTCTTCATATTGATTAATCAAATTGGCATAAAAATTCTCGATCGACAGTTTCGCTTTATGCACTTTTTCTTGTGTAATCGGTGTCGTGGCCATCTGAAAACAAAACAACACAAAACATTAGTATTTAGCAGATTTATTTTTTTTTTGTGTTCTTCCAAAAGAAACAACAATAAGAAATCACTCATTATACAACAGACAACGACAGAAAAGAAGCACAACATTTGATATTCATAGATGAGTTCGTGTCATGGAGAAGCTTTTTGTTAGGTAAGAGATATATCTGGCTAGCATAAGAGATAGAAGAGCAGACTAAAGAGAAAAGAGAAAAGTTAGAAGGACATTGCGCAAATATACATTCGAAATTTTTATCGATAGAAAATATCTGTAGAAGACAGTCACTTGTTGATTTCTATAGCGTCATTCGGCATAGTGGAAGCAAGGAAGCAGACAAACAAGGAGAAAAGTATCCTGAGCGTAAGAGCAGAAAACTCGAAAAAGATAAGAAAGATTCGCGTGCGATTAATTCTGACTATGATATTGAGGGCCAGCTGAAGCTGTATAATCGTCGAAGAATAAATGTAAATGCTAAACAAAGAAAAATAGTGATGCATTCATCGAGTAAAGATCACGACTTTACTTCAAAAGTTGGACGATTATCAGGCGACGAATCCCAACAACGTAACATATAATCATAGATCTTTTCCGGGCAATTCTCATGACGAGGCATTCGATAACCGCGTTGGATTTGATCCAGAACTTCACGATTAGCCATACCTAGACAACGAACGAGCTCAATCTGTTGTGTTGCTAAGTCAAATTGATCTTACCAGGATATGGTACTTGACCATGTGTCACAAGCTCATAGAGCAACACACCATATGACCAAACATCAGATTTGATTGTGAATTTACCATAGATAGCGGCTTCAGGAGCAGTCCATTTGATTGGAAATTTGGCTCCTAAACGAAAAAGGATAGATTCGTTTTCATTAATCAGAAAAGAAACTCACCCGCTTTGGCAACATATTGATCTTCGTTAATAATACGAGCCAAACCAAAATCAGCGATCTTAACGACACCATTTTCACCCACAAGAACATTTCGAGCAGCCAAATCTCGATGAATCTAAGTGAACAAACTCATGTCTATGGATAAGATTTCCTTTTCCTCATACATAGTGTTCATGTTCGAGATAAGCCATACCAAATGCGATCTAAATCATTGGAGCAAATCAAGATTACACTCATGTTAATAAAATTCAATCAAACCTGTGCAGCCATATCAACAAGTGCAGGTAATTTCAAGTCTCGTCCAGGTCCATCACGAAGAAAATCCAATAAACTTCCATTACACATCAATTCGGTGACGATATAGATTGGTTGATCTTCTGGTTCCGTACAAACCGCATACAATTGAACTAGTTTATCATGGCGTAACTTTTTCATAATGTTCGCTTCGTCAACAAACGCTTCGGTCGACATTGTTCCAGCCTTCATTGTTTTGATTGCGACATCGATTTTATTATTCCATTTGCCAGCCCAAACTTCGCCTAAACAAGTCATAGGTAAATAAATAAACAAAACAATCGAATGGAGAAGCCGATCATCTTACCAAACATTCCTTGACCAAGCTTTTTGACAAATTGAAGCGAATTTCGTGGCACTTCCCAAACATCTTTCGAGATTGTTGATGTTGTCGGTTTTGGTCGAGGACAGGGAAGCGTCAGTTGACAGCAGAGTCCATCCGAGTTTTCTAAAACAAAACCGAGCGTATGAAATCCGTTGTTTATTGCATCCTTGTAGTCGAGTTCGACTGTGTCATTCGATCTTGTAAACTTCTGTCTGCTACCTTGGACTTTCATCAAAGATATCACTTCTTACTTGTATAATGTTCAATTAATTCTTCCAGTGATTTGAATGCTCGACGCGTGGCAATATAAAAGCCAATTTTAGGATCCGGATAACGAATTTTGTAATGTTTGACATGTGGACCGCGTTGTTCATCGATATCACGAACAGATAATGAATATGGGCCTGAATCAATTTGAAAAAGAAAAGATGCATAAAATTTCCCAATGCGGAAAAAATACGAATGTGTATACCAGGAGCATTTTCTGATTGTCGAACGAGAAAAGTTCCGCGCGGATTCTGTGGAATTAATAGAAGACGTTCTGCTTCTTTGCGAAGAACATTCTTATGAAACCATCTAGCAAAAGAAAATACATTCATTAGTAGAAACCGAAACGATCTATTCTCACTCATTGACATCCAGTCCACCGTGTGGAGCAACATAAAGAGCTGGAATGTATCCTTTCAATCCACTCGAATAATGTTTCGCAAGCCACCAATCATTTTGACTAGAAATGACGAAAAAAAAAACAGTATGAAAAGAGTGGCACAATACGAAAAGAATCTAATAAACCTGTCATCAAGAATAATGAGTAAATCACCAACTCGAAATGTTAGATCTTCATCTGTACGTGCGTCATAGTCGTAGATAGCGACGTAGACTTTATCAGTTGTAGAGATATTTTTTTGTCGATTATTATCATTACCTGTAAACATTGAGAAATGATAAAGAGAGCAGAAAAACAAGAATAACAAACCATTTATGTGTGATTTAATAATCTGATTTTCTGAGGAAATAGGACCATCTTTGGGTTTGTTTGTTATTTGTAAACGTATATCATTCAATTCGGCGAGTGGTTGTGAAGTATTTTCCTTTGAAAACCAACAACCCATCGTATCTGTATCTGTTTTTTATCTTTGTTATAGCCACCGCATTATCTACAAACTAAACAAGTAATTGAACATATTCTCATCTGGTTGAATAATCAACCCACGCAAAATACTCAAAAAAGAGAGAAAAGAGAACAAAAGATCATCTGTCTGTTCGTTGAAGTACACAGATCGATCGACCATTCAGCAGTTTTTTTAATCAGCAATTAAATCTATGTTAATACATCGAGAACCAATCACATGAACATGCTATGTAGAGGGCGCCAGATATTTGCCATCGTGACGTCTATCTTTTCTGTTTGGCATTCAGTGTGTATATAAGCGTCAAATGTCAATCAAAACGATGAGATTATTGAATTTCATCTTAATATCAGAAAGCACTCATATCGATACGATGTAAGAAGGAAAGAAGAAAAGGTAATTCAGATCTTAATCGAGCTTTATTGTAAGAAAAATAACAAAACTGACTGAAGAAAATTCGTTGAAATGTGTTTTGTCTTTTTCGTATGACACTCGGTTCGAATTTAACTGACAGCATCGATGCGTTGAATCTTTCCAACTGGACTAAATGTATAAACAGTATCGAAGGTTTTGTTCGCGTGTGAAATACGTGCACGTAGTAGATTATTCTTTGGATCTTCTGTTTCGCATTCGACAATCGTCCATTGCGATGTTGTTTTTCCGTCTTGTTCTTTTTTGTAATAGTCCCGAGCTTCGTTAATGTTACTCAGAACAACTGTGGAGTCAACTGTTTTTTGGACGTCGTCCTCGAGGTAATCATCTAGGTTACTCATGTTGGAACTTGTCAATTCATGAATGAATTTTTCTACGAAAGCTTTACGCGATAATTCCGACATGACCTAGAATGAGAGTTGAGTAACAAACGAAAAGAAGAATGTATATTTATATAGGCGAGATTGACTGCGTTTTCGCTCTTTCTGCACACAACGTGAGCAGACATTTTGTTTTTTTACGAGTTTCTTTTTCTGAAGGTGACAGGGTGCAGAAATGAGTTGATAAAGTGAACTTTAGTGAACACGTTCGCATATAAGATCAAGCGAGAATATGCGAGTATTTACTGTCATAAGAAAATAAGACTAAACAGATTAATCAAGTTCTATTGTGATACCAATCATCAAGTTTAATCGTGAGGTTAATCGTTCGCATAATCGTATTTCGCACGAAGTTTCTCACAACATTTGCCGAATGAAATCGTTCGGCATTTTCACGTGAATCAAGTATTTCACGAGTACCAAGTGGAATTCTTTCATTTTCGTATCGCATAAGAATTTCATTCAGTTCATCGTTCGTAATCGAGGTTCGATCTGCTATCGTGCCAAGTTTCTCGGTGAGATTCCAGGCTGCCATTAGTGCTGTATTCCCTCCTAGTGATTATACATATAATACGACTCAAATTAGAGACTATCGATAAATGTACCTTGTCCTCGGAAAGGAATCATTGCATGTGCAGAATCACCGACCAATGTGATTCTTCCAGTTTGCGATACACTAAAAACTACAGAGGTAAATTTCGATTCACGATCAGAATAACTCACCAATATCTTCCAGAAGCGTCTCGTTTCATTGGTTCGATATCTTTGAAAATCAGGCAATCTTGCATTTGTTCAATAGGTGTTCGCTGAACTAATATTTGAATCAACGGAAAGAATTTTTGAGAGTATTCCAAAGCTAAATCATGAAGTTTCTTCTTATCGTAGTCAGTTCGTTGACGAAGAAAATCTTCTTCCGAACGAATACTCAATGACCAATAGACCTCGTCGTGAAGAACGTGATGTGCATACCAACAACTAACTAAAAACAAGCAAATCTCTCCATTCGAGCTACTTTAGTTCGTGTACCATTTCGACCAGAAACTAATACACCCGAATTGTGAACGTATTCATGTTCGAACAGGTCATCATTGGTTCCGTCGGGAACCTTCTTGATTAGACCGACAATACCATTAAAGCCAACGGCTTGAGCCTCGTCACCGGTCAATTGTTTTCTGATAGGCGAATGTGCTCCGTCGGCTCCAATAAGAAGATCAGCTATTTCCATTTCATGTTCTGTTTCGTCAGCAAAATGCACATGAACTTTGTTGTCGATTTCCTCGAAGGATTTCACTCGTGCACCCCAAACAACTTCAATACCTTCCCGTACACAAGCTTGATAAAGTGCATCTCGTAGTTCTGGTCGTTTGAATCGCCTTCCATTCTCTGTTCCACGCACAAAAAGTAATGTACTCCCTAAAGCAAATAAACATAACTGTCGGGACTAGAATTCGAAGTGACGCGACCTGTTTCACCGTCTACTGCTCGAAAAGAAGGTTGAAACGAAATAGCGGAAAGTTCCGGTAAAAGACCAAGTTGTTTTATAAATTCAAGACCACCTTCTGGAGCTATCAATGAAACTGACCAGCCTTGATGCCGGACATGGCTGTCTTGATGAAAATCAATATTTCGAAGGAAAATGAATCAATCTACTCTTACTTTCTTCTCGTTCGTAGACTATTAAATTCTGGAATCCTTTCTGTTTCAAACCAATAGCTAATGAAAGGCCTGCTAGGCCACCACCTAATGAAAAACTTCACATAGTTTACGTCGATACAGCAAGATTTTTTACCAACGATTACGATACGAAACGTTTCCCCAAGTGTCATAAGGCAATTCTCTGTAACGAAATATGAATTAAGAAAAAAATTTTTACATACACTTGCTATTCTATATGATGTAGAGGCAATGACAAAAGACGCCGTGTTATATAAGAGTGACAGACTCATTCATACATTCGCTTCTCTCTAATCTATAGTAAGAAAGGCGTTATGTAACTAGTGGGTCAACAAGTCGATCGTGCACTTAAGTTTGAATTTAATGTTTCATCAATAAATTTTATTTTTCTGTCGAAAACAAAAAAAGAGGAACTCACAAATACATGAAAAGAAAATTTCCTTCGGAGATAATATATATATATAGATTTATATAACATCAAAAAGAAAACGAGCAAGAATAAACGTTATGATTGTACTTCAAGAACAGATGACGAGGAGTCGATCATGGTTTTCTTCTCTTTGTCTTTACTACGATGGCGTTTTTTGCTCTTTGAACTCGAATGTCGATGTTTCTTGTGATGCTTCTTATGCTTTTTTCCATTTTTGGTACTCTCATCTTGAGCTTTTCCCGATGATTCCTCCGCTACTGTTTCGATTTTCGATGAAAGCGTCGTTGGTATTGAAGGTGTTGTCGTCGTCGGGGTTGGCGCCGGAGAAGATTGCGATGCTGGTTGTTGTTGTTGTTGTTGTTGTTCTTTCTTCGACGATGATGATGATGACGTATTATTACGATCATCAGTACCTCGCGAACGACTCTTTGATCGACGACGGTCTCGACTATATGAAAGTATAGGTGATGATTCAAGATAACAACGCGGTCAATCTTCTTACCTGGAATGTGACGATTCTTCCATATAAACAAACGTCCGTTGTGTCGATTGTTGAACCGTTGGAGGTGGACGAGGCGAACGACGGCGTTCATAGTTTCGATTTGGCCGTGGTGAAGATCTATCCAAGGAAAAGAAAACGTCAAGACATAGATCTTGTCAATGAGAAACAATTCAATTTACCTTCGATATTTCGATGCCGACGACGAGTACTTATCTTTGATGTCAGCAGGGGGTGGTGGTGGTGGTCGACGTCGACTTTGATACGATGATGATCGTCGTTGACGACGATTGTCGCGGCTAGGCGACTTCTTGGTACGTCGACGACTTCGACTACGAGATGAACGACGATGACGATCGTGACGCGAACGTGAGGAACTACGAGAATCACTAGAACAAACGATTCAAATGATATTTTCATCTTCTTTTGTCTACGAAGGCGAAAGAATGTGCACTACCTGCTCGAATATGATGAATAAGAGGATGAACGCGAACGACGACGACTGGGTGAACCTTGCCTAGAGTTAGAAGAATTTAAAATTGGGAAAAGAAGGATATTACGAGAATGATTCTCTTACATTCGTTGAAAGTACCGTTGTTTCGTGTAGAATTCATTTTCAGATAGCGTTGTCGATATCGGCTGCGTTGCTGTTTGATGATGAGCAATAAAAGTTGATGTTGAAGTAAATGGAGCTGTAGGATGTGGATGAAAACCGGGCATAGTATAACCGTTTGTTGGAATATGTGGAGATGGAACGATTGGACGAGGAGGAGGAATAGGATGATGATGATGATGAACTGGTTGCACAGGTGGATATGGTTGATACGGATGAATACCTGCTGGTGGATATCGAACGCCCATCGGCGGGGGATAGTAATTTCTAAAAGGAGAAGAAAACTAGTTTTTTGAATGAACGAATAAGAGCATAAACGTACGGTTGCATGGCGTAAAGGCCATTTGCTGCAGCTGGAGGAACATGATGAGGATAGATAATGTTATGATGTGGAGGAGCTGGGTAATAATGTTGTACAACAGGATTGGCTGGAGCCATTGTAGTAGCAGGCGTTGGAGAAGTATAGATCGTATTTGAGTGTGTCATTTGAATTAGAGGTGTTTCAGGTTCTGTCTTTTCATCTAAATCAATCACATTGAAGTTGTAACAACACGAACCGATAAACATACTTTCAGCCATGCTAGATGAAGGTAAACTATCTGCTATTTCGTCGTTTGTATGAAAGTCTTTTCGACTAGAATAGAAAAATAAGAATCAGCATTTCGAAAGTTCTAGAAAAAAAAACACCAAGCGCTTGACTAACCTAGATACTGTTGGATCTGAATCGACTGTCTTTTCACTTTCGGATGGAACATCAACTGGTCGATTCGCGGCAACCGGCAATGGTGGTGATTGACTTTTCAGTTGCATTTTAATAATGATAGGTGCTGCTTTCGCCGACGAAATTGCTGGTTGAGAATTTGTCGAAAGAACAGCTGTATCGTATTCATCTGTTTCGTTTGAATTCGACCGATTGATTGATGTTGCTTCCGAATCTTGATCTACACTTGACGAAGGTGCAGTCGATTGTGGGTAGTAGGATTGATTCTGACTTTCATGCCAACGCTTAATGTGATTTCGTAAAAATAGATTGGGATTTATCTGATCAATAGCAACGTGCTGAGTGCGACAACTAGGACACTCATGGTCCGGACTTTCAATCAAAGCTGTGCGAATACCTTTGCGAGAAAAAAAAAGAAAGGACGATGAGATAGCGTACGAAACTAATTTATTGAACTTACAACTATCACAAAAACTATGACTACAACAAGGTGCAATCACAGCGTCAGTATAAACTCGTTTACATAAAGGACAAAGAAGATCATTGGGTGGTAGATCTTCATCAGCTGATTTGTTTGACGATAAATAGGATGGCAAAGCAGATTTGTCATCGTTTTGACGAGATGTTTGAGCTGAAGTATCCTCTTTCTTTCCTAATCGCTCCATATATAATTCTCTAGAAAGGCAAAAGAGATATTTTCATACGATCAATCTGTTTTTCACTTACACCATCTGTCTTGGTACAACCGAAGCACCAGTTTGATCTCGCAATGCACCGGGTATATGTTTCGAAATTGGTATAAGTCGATCACGTGGAATTCCCGTGGTCTTTTTCGGTAGTGGTTCACCGCGTGGATGACCAGCACCACGATGCGAACGATTTCCACGGGGATGATAGGACATCTGGTATGGTGCATGACGTGTAACAATATGAGATGAATGTGGTACAGATGGTCGTATTGGACCTGAAGTTCCCGCTTGTGTATTATCTCCTGGAGTTGAACTTGTATTCGACGTACTACCAGTCGAATTCGCATTGGATGTTTGCTGAAAAAGACAAAAAAGATAGGGGTTGAATGAGGATGAACAATGATCTTCGTACTGAAAATGAAGGACATTGACTTTTGATGTGGCCAGGTTGTTTACAATGGTGACATACAAATAAATTCGTTCTATAAGGTGGCTGTGGCATCCTAGAAGAACGAAGTCAGGAATTATTTTGATTGATTTCAACATTGGCTCTGGTACTTACACGTAACGAGCTTGAGAACCCATTTGAATTTCTTTGATTAAATCATCTTCCGTCATTTCTTTCGCCTGGCCATTGTTACTTGTTGTCTAAAATGGAGTCGTCAATAATATAGCATGAAAAAGTCGTATTTGAAATGTCAATTACTTCAGTGAGTTTCTCTAACGGAATCGCGTTTGTTTCGACAACCGATGATGAATTTCCCGTAGTCAATTGATTTTGATTGAAAATTGCAGGTAACAAAATACTAAAAAAAATCCAAATTTTCAACATCATTCTATTTTGAAATCTCTCGATAATCTCACTCTTTCACAATATCATCTGATGAAACAACAGGCTTTTGGGTAGATAATGGCGTCAATGTATCCACAATTCCACGAATACGTCGAGCCACAATAACACTTGCATTTCGAGGTATCAAATCTGAATTATCTCTGTATTCTAAATATGAAAAAAGTGAAAAACACATTGATTGTTAATCATAAATATTTGTTAGTGATGAAGAAAAATTTCAACTGACCTTCATGTGTATTGGCGTTGCTGATAATTAAGTCATAATCATCCTTGGGATGGTAAGTCCCTGAACGCGATGATTTTGCCGCGATTAAACGTTTCAGTTCTCCAAGAGAACATGACATACCATCAATTTTGACTGATTCAAAATTTTTGTCTGCTTTAAATCGATATCGAATAATCGACATGATTTTGGCAATAGACAAGTAGAAGATACAAGGATAACACAAATAAAACTGCTACAAGACGTTTATTTTCTTTTTTTTCCTTGTCCGTTGTTAGACGAGAAAGCAAAACTAGCAGAAAGATATGGACAAAAACAAAAACGAACGGCTTCGAATATTTAGGCAAACAAACAAATGAACAAAACACGCGAATGAATGTTTCTTGGGCAATCGTCGATGGTGATCTTGAAACTAATGTTGACGAAGGTGAAGATGAACGAGAGGGAGGAATCGTTGCAAGCGACGAAAAACGTTGATGACGGATAGAACCACTCGCGACGATCGATATTTTACAATCTATGAAAAATAATGAAGCGGGTGGTTAGAATGTGCATATATATCACGAGTAATGACGAGAGAGAAAGGATGGAATAAACCGTATGCATATGAATCATGCATGACAACAAATAAACAATTACCGTCATGCATAATCGTGACACGGCAGTCTCCGCCGTCGAATCATGTGAGAAAATTCAGGGAAATCATTTATTTTGTTTGTTTTCATCACTATTGAATTTTATTTTGCGAAAAGAATCCGGATTTGAAAATCTTTGCAGCGACATCTATTGGAGCTAATTGTCAGGGATGATGCGATATGAAGCTGCAATATGTTCTCTAGAGACTGGGAACTTTTTTTTCTTCTGTTACGATGCTCGATTTAGTTTAATTTAGAATGTAATAAGACGGAGTATTGAAAAGAAATGTATTTGAAACGGTTTATGAAAATTTACATGAACGCGTTAAGCAATTGTTTTCTCGTGTAGTTGGTAAATATCCGGTGAGAAAAAACCTACAAGTCATAATTCGTTTTAATGTCTATAAATAATACCTTTATTTCCTTTTTCTATTTATGATTTCATATATGCTTTTTAGATGTGTGATTAAGGACAGAAAATGTCTTTAACTCCTGAAGATTCACCGAAACCCGATGGTAAATAAAAATAACGCAGTTTTGTCGTGAATAGTCTATTGAGTGTTTCCTGTAGAATTCGATTGGGACTCTTATCTCATTGAAACAGAGAGCGAGGCAGCACCAGCGTGCAATTTTAAACAGGTAATACACATTTTTGTTTCTTTGCAAAGGTCTCATACATTTGATACTTTTCACATTTGTAAAGTCTTTAATTCCACCAGCGAATGAGTTTCACGTTGGAGAAAAGCTTGAAACAATTGACCCGCGAAATCGAGATTCATGGTGTGTTGGAACAATCATAGATAAAGATGGTCCACGACTACGTTTACGATTAGATGGTACAGATAATCGAAATGATTTTTGGCGACTCGTCGATTCCGGTGATATTCGTTGTTGTGGAACGACAGAAAAATTAGTATGTCTATCCGTAAAACAGCACGAGTAGGACTTGAATTGGATCTCTAGGGTGAACAAATTGTACCTCCGCTTGGTTTTCAACAAACTTCCACTCGGTGGGCTAAATATTTCGAAAAACATGTCAAAAATGGTCCATTTGCACATGAGTCATGTTTCAAATTGGTACAACATTAATTAGAAAAAGGAAACGTTTTCTGATCGATTTCGTGTTTGCTCTAGGAACCAGCTAAACCAGAAAAGAATCTCTTTAAAATAGGTCAAAAACTCGAAGCTGTCGATCCGAAACATCCCTATCTGATCTGTCCAGCTACTGTAACTAGTATAACGCCCGGTGATCATAAACTAGTCATATCGTTAGATGGTTGGAGTGCGGCGAATAATTTCAAAATTGACTATTCGTCGAGAGATATATTTCCAGTTGGATGGTGTAAATCGGTCGGAATCACTTTAACCAAAGTTGGTCACACTCGTAAGTTTTTCGATTCTGGAACATACTTGAGTGATATATGTATGCCTACTTTTGTTTAGTTCCACCTCGTTCATTGCATAAACACAATGAGCATGTGCAACAGAAAGTGGATAAAAGTAATACTTCATCGAGTAGAAGAGTCTCAGTTGATTACGACGAAAATACACAAAGTTATCCAATAGGTAAACTATACTCTGATATGATCCGTTATATTCTTGTTCGATGTTTCAGTAACTGTTTATTGGAACTACATCGGTGATAACGGTGGACTTTTATTAAATCCTCATAAGTTCTCTTCATTCATGCCAGCCATATTTGGTCCAAACCAATGTCATTTAGTGTTGAAGAAAATCTTTGATGCATGTATCAAATGTTCATTTCAACCGAAATCCTTTACTCATCGTCTTATGGATCTGTTTCCTTCGACGAGCGATAAAAAACTAAATTCTTCTCCAGAAGTTATACGTAAATATCTACTACATACTTTCCGACTTGATAATTCCATCTTGTTCTTGTCTAGTGGAAAATAATACAAGGTTACAACTGCCATCAATGGAAACTAAAGATGATTTCTGGGATATTCTACATGATTTTCAGAATGCTATCTTAGCTGAGGAGGATCTATTTGTTTCAATACCACCAGACTTTGCAATTGGCCAGAACAATAAGCGAAAGATCGATGAATCTCAAGAAGACAGTATTTTCTCAACAGATCGTCAACGTCGCCCTCGACATGTAGATGTTGAGGACGAACCTGCATATGACCTAAGTAAATGTGTTCATCGGCATTTTACTTTGAACAATAACATTTCTTTGTTGTATAGTTCAAAAAACACCGAATGATGTTGCAGAATTTATTCGAAATATCGATCCAAAATTCGACACTCTCGCTTCGCGTTTTCTCCAAGAAGTAGGCGATGATTCTCTCACACAGCTGTAAAATCTCAATCACTTATTTTTCTAGGAAATCGATGGAAAAGCTCTGGTACTTTTGACTACAGATACATTAATTAAACACATGGGTTTGAAACTTGGCCCATCACTTCAAATCATTCATCACATTGAAAAACTCAAGTCAAAGTTTAATTCTCGGTGAAATCAAGTACAGTTTTGCACTAGTTTTGAAAATCGTTTTAGTTGTACATACTTTCGTATGTTTTGTTTTTCCACAAATTCCTGGCAGGAATTAATTTTTGTTATGTGTCATGTTCCTAGTTTCCGCTTTATTTTGTATTTATCAATAAATGATCTTTTCGACCAGACCGAGTTTTTCTTTCAATGAAAACATTGTGCCACATTCGCATGCTTCTTTATTTTTAGTTTCTAATTAAAACTGCACGACGGCAAATCAAGGAAGGAAAAACATTGCTTCGAGACCGAAAATTCGAGGTTTTATTTTCTGGAAAAGAACCGTTAAACGTATTACATTTTACAAGCATTTAATCCAAGTCAATCAATCGCTCAACAAATGCTCGAGCATAATCTTTTGTTTGTTTATAATAAATTTCGTTATAAATATGACCATTATTATACCATTTCATAATCGATTCCTTGTCAAGACAATTTTGTTCGAGAAACAACTGAAATAAGATGGATATCACTTCGACTAAACAAGATAATTTCGTTGTAGATTGATGTAGAATTCTTTAACAGACTCACTTTGCCAGACATCATTCTTTTTATTTTCGGAAAGAAAAACTTCAATAGCAAATAGAATTTGCGCTTGAAAATTTTTATCTGATTGATAATGTTTGATAGCCGAGATCTTCTTCAGCAGCAACGATGTGTTTTTTTCTGACGAAGAGTCATTCCAAGCTTTCAAATAAGTTCGAACAATCATAATTACTCGATGTTTGACTTTACTACTATATTGCATCTAGAGTGAAGTCATTTCTGAATATGCTGATAGAATTGAAATGCATCTATCATACTTGAACATATTTATGAATAGCTTGATCGTTTGTAAGCGATATGTCTTTGAAGAATTTAACTAATTTTTTGAATGGCTTACGCATACGAACGTTTTCACGAGTTTTTGTAACTGATAGATTATTTTCTTCTTCGTTTAGATTACTTGTTGATGAAGTTGAACTGACACTTGTGACCTCTACAGAATATTACCAATTTTAAAGAGTAAAATGAGAAATGTCATCAACCTGTGAGTACAGTTCGGTGCGCATTTTGTTTAAAAAATGGTTCTGCCCATTCTTTGTTTACCTTCTGTTTTAAGATTAGATCGACAAAGGTATCGTTTTGATACCAATCAATTACATCAGATAAAGAAATACATTGATGCGTCGAAAAGAAATATAAAAGCATATTCATCATATCAGCTGAAATAGTCGAGTAAAATACTTAAGAAAAGAATTGCCTTGTTTTCTTACCATGTGAAGAGTCTTTCTTTTTGAGAAAATCGTCGAAGAATTGCATAGCAATAAGAACCTTTCGTTGGCATTGATTTCCATTAATATACTGTTTGATAGTCGTGATATGCTTTTTCAAAATTAACTCGGCATATCTCTCATGTTTTGCTTTTGTTTGATGCCAGGTTGTCAGATATGAATACACTAGTGTTATAAGACCATACTGTTCCATACTATCCTCATTCTTCATTTCAGTCTAAAAAAAATTGTTCAAAATGTCAAACAACATATCGTGAGAGAGATGTAGCTTAACCTGAATATACTGATTGATTCTAGTATGACTCTCTTTACCGATATCTCGAAACAAAGTGAAGAAATAATTACGTGGTTTCCAGGCCTTGACTTTTACCGTAGTCGGCGTTGTATTCGTGGTGGTAGTAGTAGTAGCGGAGTTTTCACTAGACTGTTGCTCATTTTTGGCTTTTAATACAAAAAAGAAAAATGATCAATCTCATTTCAGTTATTCAATATAAATTACGTACCTTGTTTGTTAACCTTGATTTCGTTTCCAGTCTTCACTCTAAACAACATCTACTTCATGTAATCTACTAAAAGGAAATGTGCAACATACTGATCGTCTTTCCATTTGAGAGAATCACTGTCTTTTTTGATCTTGTCAAGAGTGGTTTGGATCGTATCAAGTAATTGACGATTAACACTCTTTTTCGACAACATTTCCTCCAATGGTTGTTGTACTTGATCTTTCAATCGTTGATTTAATTCCAATTCAAGTTCTGCAAGCACTTGTTGTCGATTTCTAATTCTACCGATTCTTTCAACGTATTCACGTTCAATATCCGCGATCTTTTCTGAACGCCATTTCTTCCATTTTTTCTCCTCTTTCGTACGTTCTTCGGTTATGGCATTTGATGCATTCACTAAGACCGTGCTCACTTCATTCACTTCGTCTTTGACTTGCTGAATTTTGTTGAAAAGAGTCGTCTGGTGTACTCCCATATGATCGATGCATAAACGTCCCATACAATGAAGACATATAACCGATTGAAAATTCGAGCATGACTCTTCTTCACAAGTTGCCATTGCAAAGATATTCAACTATGAAATGACTGTTTTGCGTTTTACACGACTTTTTTCTTTCTCTCAGTTTTAATTTCTCGGTGACACGTGGATAAACCAAAGGAAGATAAAACACTTACGCGTAGCGCAGCTGAAAAGTAAATTATGTACGCGTTCGACCCGTTTAGATATTTATCCAACAGCACATGTTCCGTGTGGAAAGCAACACTAGTGCAAACTACATTATTCTTGATCAAACCTGTACAACCGATGCTTCCGGTGTCTCCTCTGCTGTTATTAAACACACAGTAGCAATTTCTTTCTTTGATGTCATACTTATTGACTGAATAAAGTGTAGTAAATACACTTTCGCTATTCAATTTTTAAAGATTTGTTCATCACCGTTTCTATACATCGAACATATTTGCATATATATTTTCCAATCAAACAAACTTCTTTCATTCTTTCTTGTCGTGAAAGAATGCTCGTTTGTCTATCTTCTTTCCGTCCATTCTCGAAACAAAATCACTGGACACCCGCTGCGTTCAAGACACAGACAAGTTCATCACACTCACTGTCTACTTACGACGACGACGACGTAACTAATGAAAATCGTACAACTGTATTATAACTTTTCAAATCATCAGAACATTGTGAGGATCTGTTCCTCCCTCTTATTTTGATTAGCAAATGAGAGTAATATTGATTTAATCTACGTTCATATGTATGCACACAATGTGATTAGTGTTATTATAATCGTCCAGACATGACTCAATTTTCGTTGTTTCTTTTACTCTCTATGATTTCTTCTCTCTCATAACGTATATGTATGTGTACGATCAATTTCATCTTGAATATCAACTAATTTGACCACAATAGGTACACACACATAGACTTGATGATCACATTATGAATCGATAAAGATCAGCAGAAATAATAGCAGACTAAACATATGAATAAGACGGCCTACTCATATCTAATTGTAGTCATTGAGTAGGACAAACGATTCCACCCGACAGACGCGTACACACATATAGTCATCAAGAAGAAAGAACTAATAAAAGTTGCTACTGCTATTACTAAATGTGAGCGTTCTTCTTCGATGATTATGTCTGCTAATGATCTCGTCTTCCTTTCCGTTCCGACCGTTCATTCAAGGTTGAAAAGATTTTTCCATGTATATATGTATGTACCCAACCGAAAAGAAAAGAAAAGAAAAGAATAGAGAGAATCTTCTTAACACTCATACTTATTGACAATATATAGCATAATTTACTTTTCTCTTCACTGGTCGAACGTAAGTATTGCGATTGAATTAATGATCGATTCCATTTGTGCCTCTTCAACAGTCGAATGATCAAGTAGCATAGACAGTTTAATTCTATTTTTCAATATCTCTGTCTGACCTTGAATCATTGTCATCGAATAAGGATCAACGAGAAAAGATCACATATGATGAGACTAAAAGGGAATTATGATGTTTATTCTGTAATATGAGATCTATTAGTAAGTAGAAGTCTACACATCAGTTAATTATATTTGAACTTCAGTTTCAAACTTCTATGATACTTTTCATGGTCGTCATGTCTATATTAACGTATGACATGCTTAGCTACTACCGATAATTATTTTTCAATAACGTGCGCACTTATTTGATGTGAGTGTGTGTGTTATGCATTGCATCATTTTGATTTCAACTCGATGTGTTTGTAGAAGAATGTCGATTAGCCTTCTTCTTCCCGTTCAGTTGACTTAGATGTGATGTGCGTGTTTGAACTGAACAACTTGTCGAATAGTTCATTTAGACAAGTGCACACTCGTTCTCAATCAGAATAGTAATCACGTACATTTTTCTTTCTCTCTTTTACCAGCTGTTTGTTGTTCACACCTGATCAGTCGATTCAATCGAAACATTGACATGGTGATGAATATCGCCTGTGCAATGTGACGGATGGACAAATACTCCCCTATGTTCGGGAATGAACATAGGCTGCTCACAACCAGTAGTAGCAGTAGTGGGATACGAACAAATTTAAGTGTATCTTTACGTAAGCGATCCTATCATACACTTGAACAAAGAAGCCCTTCATCTGTCTGTCAGAGAGAAAGAGAAATAAGGTACAAATTAATAAATATGTGTAAAGAATAACGAACTAGAGAAAGAAAGAAGATAAAAAATATTGCAAACGTCTTGTTCGTTCTCTCTCGTTATCGATGAAGGGAGGAGAAACGGCAGAATTTTTTTCTTTCTCTCGCGTTCGCTTCTGATACAGTATATAAAAAAAAGGGGATTTTTCCTGTTCAGTCTCAATCTCTTTGGCCAGCATGGAACATAAGTATACGAGGAAGGTTTACGAGATTACATCACGGAGATCAGATCTATTTCTCTCTCATATGTCTATAAATGTGAGTAGCTGCGAGTTTCATTTATTCCCATTCAACTGAATGTATCAGACAACTTCACCCACTCCTATTTGTTTATATAATCATTGAGCGCATCCATACATCATGCCTAGATGAGTATTTAAGTGCGCTTCTGATTTATTTCATTCAGCTGATGTTTCTCCTTGTCTGCATTGTTTGTCGCGTGAAGATTTTTATATCGTCAATTCTCATGAACTATTTTAGATATTAAATATGTCTCTCATATATATCATATTTATTTTCATACTGAGTAATGCTTCGTCAAACATAATCTTGTCAGACTATGGTAAGTTTCAATGTGTTGAAGAGGACTAGAACACATCGACTCGTATATTTGTCTGATTTTCAGAACAATGTAATGCACCATTAGGTATGGAGTCAGGCTCAATTTCAGATAGTGATTTGACCTCTAGTTCAACGCACGATATGAGCAGTGTTGGCCCTCAAATGGCAAGGTAAAATCACCAGTTTGCTTTTTTTAATAATGAATTGAACACGAAAGGAGAGAGAGAGAGAAGAAGAAGAAGAAAAAAAAGCAAGATCGATTGATCAAATCTGACACTTGATGAAGTTGATATAACATTTATTTTATTTGAAATAGGATACGCATTGAATTAGAAGGAGGAGCTTGGTGTCCAGATAAACCTATTGGACCGAAATCGTATGAATATATCCAAATTGAATTACATAAACTCTATTTTATCAATGCTATTGAAACTCAAGGTCGCTTTGACAATGGCCAAGGAAATGAATTTGCTGAGTATTATCAAGTTCAATATCAACGAGAGAACAATTCATCTCATTGGATCAATTATTACGAGAAAAAAACTAATAAAACTGTATGAACATGATTATTATTAGTTTTGAACGTGACCGATTATATTTCTCCTTGTACAATAGATTCTCAAAGGGAACATGAATACTTATTCTGCTGAAAAACATTTTCTGTCTCCTGCAATCATAGCCGCACGAATTCGAATTATCCCGTTCAGCGCGCGTTGGCGCACTATATGTATGCGAGTTGAACTTTACGGATGTCCCTTTCCGGGTAAGGCAATTCAACTGAATTCTTCTATCATTTAGTATTTACTTCTTTTTTTTTCAAGATGGTGTTATATCATATACAACTTCACCAAGTATTGACAAAGATCATGTTTATGATGGTAGGTCAATCTCTGCTTTTTTTTCTTCCATGTTATTTTGCTGCTTTTAGGTGGATTAGGAAAACTAACGGATGGAATTATCGGTAGCGATGAGAGTGCATGGCTTGCATGGAATAAATCACCTGCGAAAATCGACTTTTATTTCGATACGTATCGTCAGTTCTCAATCATTCGAATCTATTCGATGAATAATAAATATCGTTCGATTGAAATTAAATTCGATGATAATCCACCAATTGTACATAAAGCGACACCGATTGCTACATCAATATCCACGATTTTTCTCGATACAATCAACCTTGATAACTATGCAACGATGACCATTGGTAAACATGTTGAGGTTCTGGTAGAATTCGATAATGAATTTCTATTTTTGACCGAAATTAAATTTGATAATCAACCGACAACGATGGCGGAAATGCATACAATAACAACAACTTGTGAAACACGTAAGTAACTCGAATGGAATCGAAGGTCTGCAGATAAGAAATCAGACTTTCGAAAGTTAATTATTCGGATTACATAATAAACATCTTCTCTTATCCGTTTAGCATGTCTGGTATCTTATAATAATCTCACGTTGATAACCTCATCACCAGCGGTATCCCTCCACACATTAGAATGGTTAACAATGGCGATTATTTTGATTTTATCACTATGTTTCATACTCCTTATTATTTTATTGATACTTCGCATTCGTCATCGTTGTCTACGTAAAAAGAACAATCTTTACTATAAATGTTCTCAGTTAATTAACTCTACAAATGGTTCAGCAGTTGAAAAAGATCCGAATCAGAATACAAGAAAGAATCCTTATGATGATTTATCACCTGTCGAGTCCTACCTTTATCCAATAACGTCGACATCATCTTTAATAAATCCGAGTTCGCCATCCTCCCTCTTCAAAAACGAGCAATATGCGATCATTGATGGAAATGCCTACACACATCTTCCGACGAATAACGTAAAACAAAGATGTAATCGTGATTATGTAATTCTTTGTTTCCTTTTAGACATTTCATTACGCATCACTGGACATCGGTCAAGTTCCTTCGAAATTAGTCACGCTCTTTGATTGTATTGCACTACGAGAAAGCATTCCATCGAAAGTTCCAGATACACTTCCACCGTTTATTGACGAATCGAAACTGTACACTCTATGCAAAATATCCGAATCAAAATATGGAGAGATTATACTCGGTAAATACGCGTCGCGACCTGTTTTGATTAAAATAGTAAAAAAGAATTTTCTCGATTCAATCAGGTAAAATCGACGGATAAAGGCAATTCTTCTTGATTTAATTACAAATGTTTTTCTCTAGACAAAAGTTTCTATCGGAACTGAAGATTCTTGCTCGTTTGAACCATCATAATCTCGCTTGTATATGTGCTGTACAACTGGATTTACTTTGTCTAGTTCAGGAACATTCAGATTTTGGAACCTTGCAGAACTACTTTCGTACTCAAGTCAATGATACAACGTTTCAAAAGTAAGAAAAACCAACGATCGTCTTCTTTAGTTGAAGATTTACCTATCTCTATCTCTAGAAAAAATATTTATTTTTCTCATCAATTATCCAATGCATTGGAATATCTCTCTGATCTAAACATCATTCATAACGATGTCGCTGCAAGAAACTGTTTATTTTACCCTGATTATTCAATAAAATTAACTGATTGTGCAATTGCTCTACCACAATACGAGAAGGAATATTGGATATGTACAAATGGTGATAAACTTCCCTTGAGATGGATCGCACCGGAAGCATTAACTGTAAGCAATTCGCTTGAAAAAGTTCTTTCGAATTGTTAAACTTTCTCTTCGATTTCAGAACAACACAACTATAAAATCTGATATTTATTCCTTTGCTGTTACTCTATGGGAATTCTGGTGTCGATGTTCCACTCTACCGCATGCATCGTTAACCAACGAAGATCTCTATCAATATTTAGTCATGCGTCAGTCCTCGTACAAGATTGAAAATCCGAATGTCTCAATGTTTCGTTTGTCTCAACCACCGGAATGTCCCAAGGAGATCTATGATCTCCTATGTGAATGTTGGCACATCGATGGAAATAAACGTCCACATATATCGGACATCGCCCTCTATTTTCGACGTCAAATCAATGTTTCCTAGCAATGATATCCCTCTTTTTTCTCGTTGTACATGTGTATTTGTCTACAGATGAAAACTTCTATTGTAAAACGAAAAAAAAAATCATTAGTCTATTCTACGAACGAGAATCAAAAGTAGAATTCTACAAAACTTCTATTCACAGTTCCGTGCTTGGCTCGGTCACTTGCGAGCGCGGTAATTTTGAGCTTGCGGAGGAATAGGCAAGATTTTCATTGCCCATCGGTATATTTTTTCCAGCGTATAACAAAGCCGGATTTGCATCACTGAATGTCGTGCGTGGACGATGATAATATCGAACGTATTCTTCATAAGTCTGTCGAATACGTTTACCTGTCGGATCGACGAATTCTTTCTTCATTGTATTGCCAGTCGGACGTATTTCTCGAATGAGTTGATGATTCGCCGTTAAGTCATACCATTCATTTCGAATATAAACCGAACAATCGCGTAAACAAGCCCATCGATTCGGACAACAAGGTAAACAACCACAATACCAGAATGATGTGCACGCTTTTCGTGATGAATCTCGAATCGTACGCATGAGAAAGAACGATAACCACGGGTTGATAGCACGATTGATTAAACGAAGAGTTATCAATGGGATATCGATTGCATATAGAATATTTTGTGACGATAAGTTCGATTGAATGTCTGGGTTATAAATACGAACCAGACGATAGATATAATAAGGCAATTGACAAATAATAAACACAAGCACGTATAAAACAACCTAGAAAATAGAATGTTAATTTGACATTTACAATCGCATTTGAACATCGCTTACCATTTTGAACATGTTCGGATGTTCATCATCGTACGCTTTGAGATCGAACTGTTTATATGTGTCAATATCCAATTCAGTCAAATCAGTGTTGGCATTGGTTCTGTACTTATGTGATTTCGGTTGTCGGTGGACAACAAAGCGAATGATTAATAAAACAATCATCAAAAATATGGGTAAAGCATTGCCGAAGATGAAGTCCAACAGGTAAATTGTTTTAATTGGTAGCTGAACATTTTGTAGATCTAGCCAAGCTAATTCATTAATCTGTGTTTTATTCAATGTGCATTCATATGAACCGTAATTCAATGATTCTAATTGTTGATCGAAGAATAAGATCGGAATTAAAGCATAGCAAACAGCAAGCCAAAGCGAGAGTACGATGCAGATGCCTGTTATAAAACGACGGAGACCATAACCACATTTCTTACGTTTAACACAACGATCAAGACATAAAAAGACGATTGTATAAGCGAGAAGAAAGTCCATTATACGTAATATGTACATTTCTGATTTACACCATGAATCGTTCAGCCATTTGCCACCATTTAAAGCGAAATGCTCACCTAAGTCGGCGAATGAAACCATTTTGACAAGGTAAAATATCGACGACCATATTGTCCCTTCGACAATCAGATTCCAAACTAAGACATGAATACTTTTTCGTCCGTAGCGATCGGTACTAACGCATAACGAATAGAAATTCAAGACATTTCCAATGAGAGCAAAGGCAACGATGATTGTATAAACAATTGGTACGATGACACGAATGGGATACGCAATTTGAGGAAATATTTGGTCACTTGCCATGAAATATTTGTCAGCAGAACGAATTTATTTGTACAAAAGAACAGTAACTAACGTTGAATACATTACTTGGGTATGCAGTGTACTATGATCAAGAATAAACTTTTTTATTTGCCTTCAGCTCGTCGCCTGCCTAGTGCTGACTCATATACGCACACACACACAAATCTGTCTTGATTTTATTCTTCGTCTTTTTTCCTCATCGTCTGACGCGTTTAGTATTCTTCCCTTCATCTTTCTTTTACCATTCGCGGTTTAATGTCTTAAATGCAGGTAAGAATTTTTCTCTCCCCTTCTCCTCTGTTCTTCGTTCTTTTTCTTTTACACAGCAATGCCAACCGAGAAAAATGTTACCGCATCAGTTCTACATACAACAATTTAATGCAAAACAGGACACACACACACACACGCATTAACTGTTGAATAGAACTGAGATGGAAGATAAAATACTCATTGATTTCAAGGTTTTGTTGATAGTCAACAATATGGTAAATTATTATGGATAAATTTAACATCAATCGTTCGTGTTTCATCTACTATCTCACCTTGAGAAATCAACTTTAACCGATAGTCTCATTAAGAACAAGAACATGACTAAAGGTGTTACTTGTGTATGTCGTATATACAGCGGCAACAAAGAAATCTGACGTTTTTTTCGTGCAATATAATAGGTCATTCTATGATAATCTTATGTAAAACACATTCACTTCTTTTTCACTAACGAAGGCCATTAATAAATATCATACACTCACCGAAGGTGAGGATAAGGATCTATATTGCATGCATGTGTGAAGCTGGAATACCTTTGTCTAAGTCAAATCATTTTAAAGTGTTCTAACCTTGTTCGATTTCACAGATTGTATCGGTTTCAAGTATCAATAATGAAAGCGATATCACCACAGGAAACCATCGTGTATGGACACGAGATCATCATCAAATTTCGTCTTCGACGTCTCCTATATGCGTCTGAGAAGCAGAGCGACGTTAAAATATTCTCCAAGATGTCACTAGTGTGACGATCGGATAATATGAATGGCAAAGTACATTACCTAATGAGAGAAATTCAAACCAATAGCCGACAGAATGAATATTTTTATTATTTTGAAGTTTCAGAATGGTCTTCTCAGATGAATAATCATCAGTATATTTCGTATAGATTTACATGTCTTTTCTGCTTAGTCAATATTTATTCGTTGCTAAGTCATTTCGTTTGTTGACTAAATTACTTCATATTTAGATGCTTCTCATCTGATGATATTCATGTGTATTTCGCTGTGATTATGGATGTCGGTTGCTAGTTGGTCAAATCATCGATAAGATTATATCGGAAGATGAATGCTGAAGATAAACTAACGACACCGATTCGTGTATCATCCTTGATCGGTGACAAATTGCCGTTGATCACTCGGGATGATTGTTCATACTATGGTCGAATGAATAGAACCGGTTTTGGCTTGATCAGATCTTATGAAGGAATTCCGGAAAATCTTCTTGTGAATATAGTTGTGTCGGCGGTATGAATAATAGATTCCGAATAAAATTTCATGTAAAGTAAACTTTAGGTACTTTTGTTACTCTTCGTGTATCTACGACGTCGTTTTTCCGATTCGAAAAGCATCGATGATGGCACAGAGTAAGATCGATGGAATGATTCGTATGGTAGATACATATTGTCTTTTCTTCTAGAATATCAACACTTCTGTATGGTCAGAGTACTCCGTTTCGAAATGTCGTTCGTGATGTAAGTTAATTTTCTAACTCATCACTGATCATTGATGTTCATTTTCGCAGGACAATGAGTCATGTCTCCATCGATATTTTGTGGTAACTAGAAAAACTATTCTTGTCTATAAAATATTTGATTGCTCTTTTACTCTTAGACACGGTGGCTATGGATTCGCGATCTGTTTATTATCAGGTATTAATAAATAACGACTTCTTGCAATTTCTGTTTTTCATTACGATATTTTCTTTCTAGTGATTGGGATGTCTATCGAAGTTGCTCACCAGACGCATATTATTATCTATTATTTCATACATATTTAATTGCATATTTACTTTTTATAACAATCTTTTCGTTAACGATTATTCTACCAGTTAATTTTCAAGGAACACAAGGTAAAATACTTACCGACATCGAATTTCATTACTAGCGATTCTCTCTCTTTCAGGAACAACCGAACAAAAATTTGCTCAATCAACAATTGCTAATCTTCCTCCTAAGTACGAATGATCTTTTCTTGTTGAAACCATTCGCAACAACAACATCATCTTTTAGTTCACCCTTACTTTGGTTTCATGCATGTGCATCGATCATATTTGTTATTGCCGGTATTATCGTTGCTTATTTGTATACAAATGCAACGCGATACTATGCGACAGAAGATATGGTATGTAAATCCGCTATTGCTTTCAGTGTACATTTTGTATCGATTGAATTAGTACGAAGACGAAGAATCAAAAGAAAAAGTAGAGTTTCGCGTTGTTTTGTAGCGTTTATTGTTGTTCGATTCTAGTTATAGGCATGTTGTTTTCTTCGAAGTAGATAATATACTCACTAGTATTCAATATAGCCGTTCATAATATTAACTCAGTTTCTTTTGTATTTAGGCCAGTCGAACATTGATGGTGCGCGGTATTCCGCATGAAGCATGTGACGAAGACAAGCTCAATGAATACTTTCGGTTAGTTGAGAAAGCACTTTAATAGTGAATTTTATTGTGTCTTCTCAGGGAAGCGTATCCAACGCTTTATATTACTCATTTAACTTTGGCGTATAACATAGCTCAATTACAACATGTTTATAAGCGTCGGTAGGTTTCTCATTAGCAAATCTAAGTTCGAATGTGGTCGAATTTTCCATGTTTACAGCGAACTTAATCTTCGTATTTGGCAACAGAGTAAGAAAATGTATCAAGAAAGTGGTAAACGACCGGTAGTATATAACAATACATGTGGACAGATGTGTGGCGTAAGTAAAACTGGTTGAATCTATTTGGAAGTTTCAAGATTTCTATGTTTGTTTGATTTAGTGCTGTGCAAAGGAGGTCTGCTTTAATCAGTATGAATTTACAGATTGATAATTTACGTTCGAATCATAGGTTGATGCAATTGAGTATTATGAAAAACTATACAATACATACAAAGATCGTGTGGAGGATGAATACTTGCATGTTCGACAGAAAAAATGTGGTTTAGCGTTTGTTACATTTGCAACACCAGAAGAAGCACATCGGTAAGTTGGAGTGCGTAACTATTTTGTAATTTTACTGTTGTATCTGTTTGATTTAGAGTTCGTTCGAGTTTTCAACCAACATGTTTTGTACCAGATCGTCGACCGAAAACATCCACAAGCAATTCTATAGGTGTTCATGAATGGACTGTTGGATTCGCTCCAAGTCCTAAAAATATCATTTGGTAAAAGTTGCTCTTTTCGACACCTGTGTTTCTAATTCGCTTTCATCTCTTAGGAAAAATATCCCGATGAGTGAAATTAGTCATTGGTTTCGCATCATCGTCGTCAATATCGTAAGTGTTGCTTAATCGATAAGAAACCTATCAATGCTGGCTTTTACTTTAGATTCTCGTGTTTTTCATGATATTTTTAACAACACCATCGGTTGTTTTGAGTACCATAGATAAGATCGCGAATAAATACCGTTCAATCGATCCATTAAAACGAGTTACGAAACAAATACAAGTTCCGGTTTTCCTAACATCTGTCATGCCTGTCTTGTTATTGCGTATATTTGCTGCCGCTATGCCGTCGCTTGTTAGCGTCACATCGCTACTGGAGAAGCAGTGGAAAAAATCAGCATTGGACAAATCGATGATGATTAAACTGTTTGTTTTCTTAGCCATGATGATCTTGATTCTGCCATCGTTAGGACTAACGAGTATCGAAGGTTTTCTTCGTTGGGTATTTGAAAATGAAGAAGGCGTTGCACATAACAGTCGAATTCGTTGGATGTAAGTGACAAGCGATTGCAGACAGTTTGAAAATAAACATTATTTCATTTTACTATGATTAGGTGCGTGTTTTTACCGGATAATGGTGCATTTTTTGTTAATTATATCATCACATCTGCATTTATTGGAACTGCGATTGAGTTGTTACGTTTAGCTGATCTTGTCTTTTACATCTATATTATTGTTACAGCTAAATCAACTGCAGAACGACGTGTTATTCGACATGTAAGTATCGCAAGATTTGACTTCTTTGAATAGAGTGTGAATCGTTTCAGGCATTACAATTTCCGTTTCGTTTCGGTGTGCAATATGCTTGGACATCTGCTGTTTTCTGTGTTATTGTTGCCTATTCAATTGCTTGTCCGTTAATAACGCCCGTTGGTAATAATTCATCTCGTGATTTCTATTGCATCTCTAAGAAATCCGTTTCAGGTTTAATCTACCTTCTTATAAAACGTGCAGTAGACAAATACAATCTTGTATTTGTGTATGATACAGAAATCGCAGATAAAAGTGTTCATCGTCTAGCAGGAAATTTCATTATCGTTGCATTGATCATTCAGCAATTGACGTTGCTATTCTTTGTTCTTGTTCGCTCAGGTTTGTTAACATTGAAAGACTCACATTCAAATCAATGGAATCTTTTTTTTTCAAGAAACATTAACCTATCTATCCATGACACTATTAGGCAGTTTTATTTTGACTGGTAAGCTTGATTTTTGTCAGAGAATATCTTTTATCATCAAAATGTTTCTTAGGTGGGATCTATTTTGGTTTCTCATGTTTCGATTGTTGTGGTCGGTGGAGTTCACGGAAATATTCATTATCAACATCAGTCATACCCGAGGTCAGCACTTATTTTCTCCCATTCACGATTCGATACAAACTATTAAAGAAACTATTCGGAAGAGTAAGAAATGACCGACGGAGAAGAAAAACAACATATCAGTTCGATTTTGCACCTTTTTTTTGGAACGGGTAAACGGCTTGCTTATGTAAAAATAGCAGAATTCGTCTAGAACTACGGAAATAACATTCGTTATAGTGTCGATAATCTGATTAGTGTTCAAAATCTAGAGCTAGTCCGTCGCGACGACTTCTGCTATGTAACGAAGTTCGATGACATGAACTATTTTGCATTATAATTTCCTGCTTACAGGAGTTTGTTTGTTTCTACACTTCGGCATTTTCTAATCGAAACTATTTTACACTTTCAGTCAGGAGAAAATCGCCAAAAATTAGATGAACTAGGTGAACTGGAAGAAATTGAAGGCCGCCAGAACAAACAACGTGCTACCTCGGTAATTATCATTGTTTCTAGGCATCATGTTCTTTCTTATAATTCACTCACTTTTTTAGCATTATATTCCAACGATATTAAACGCATGTATTGAAGAATTTGATATTCCACCAAGTCTAACGAAAATTCGTCGATGTTCGATACGTGACCCAACACAAATTGGTCTCTACGGAACAGTCGATCCAACTACTCAGCCGATGGTGGTTGGAACTGGTGATGAGAATGACTTGCTCATAGATTAGACAAAAATCTCTAAATAGGACTTCCCTATTTTATCGTTGTGCTTGTTGTGCTACTCAAGTATTGTATGTCAATGTGTTATACATCGATTATAATCGAAATTTTTGACAGAAACACTACTCAAATATTTGTTGTTGTTGTTTTTCTTTTTTCTAGTGAATAGTTGTGGTGGTACTTCACGATATCTGTATTTTAATCCGTATTTTTCATCATTTCAGATTTTCGAACTCCTCGATTTTGATTCAAATGGCGGATGACCTGAATGATGATGATTATTATCTTCAAGAAGAAGTTGGACCACAGGAAACGGAAGAACCAACGGAGAAAAAAGTGAAAACAAAGAAGAATCAGAAGAGTTCGACAATAAAGCGCGCAGTTGGCACATATTCTGATCTAGTTTCTACCATCCGTATTCATTACAAGAAAACGAAAAGTCAGTATGAACTTGATGAAGTAATTTCCATCTTCAACTCATCGATTTCTGCTCCCGTGCCATCGTCAATTCAATTACGTCTTGATGAATATCTGAATGAGTTGATTCCCAAGAGTAAATGGTCAAAACAATCGGAATTATCATCGGCACCCGTAGTTTTAATAATAGCGCAATCAGCATTACGTTGTATTGAATTAGGCAAGATGCTCAAGAATTGTTCTTCTGCAAAACTTTTTACATTTCATTATCTCTTTGCTAAGCACAAAAAGCTTTCGGAGCAAATTGAATTGCTCAACAAACCAACGACGCTGTTTAATATCATCATTGGTACACCGAAACGCGTCGATGATGTTCTCGATGGCAACTGTTTGAATATGAAACGATTGAAATTCGTTCTGATCGATTGGAATTACCAAAATATCAAACAGCAACGTTTAATTGACTTGAATCAGTTGAAAACGGAACTTTGTCATTTGTTATGTGAACAAAAAGTTTTGTTTAACCGATTTTTCAAAGAAAAAACTCAAATAGGCCTGTTCTAAGTAATTGTTTTGTTATTTGTTTCTATTTCAGATGGGTGGACCAGCGGATATTGATGGAAAATCACATTCGGAAACAGATAATTTCCTACCATGTAAATTCGTTATCGATGGGATAACCTATTCATCAGCAGAAAACTATTTTCAATGCGCGAAGACAACGAATCAAGCTGACAGAGACATGGTTCTGCGCTCCGGGCCAGGTACATCGGCTTGGGCTGCTGGTCAGCGCGTGAAAATTCGTGATGACTGGGAATCGATCAAGGTCGACGCGATGTACAAAGGCAACCTGGCAAAGTTTCAGCAAAATGACGAGTTACGACAAGCTTTGCTGAGTTCCGGCAACGGTTCAGTTCGTTTCACTGGTTCAACGGCTTTTTGGAACCATTGGAACGGGCTAATTATGGAAAGAATTCGTGCTGAATTACGTCAGAGTGGCGAAACTGATGCCCGTCATGCTGCTGAAATTCGCGACGCCATGGAGAAGTTCGCTCGTCAAGGCAAATAAAAACTGTGATACTTTGTTTTTACAAATATTTCATTTAATTTCGAAATAAAATGCGACTTTTTTAAAAATATTCACGTATTCACTCTTCATCTATCGGTCCGCACTATACAGTTCAAGCGAACTTACTTTGACCTCTCGTTGACACAATTTCGCATGTTAACGAATCTTCTGTCAAAAATTTGATCATAGTAAAAACAACGATGATAAGAATGCAGATCACAAAAGCATCTGTACGACGGGATGCATATTGGAAGCTCATAGATTGACTTTAAATTAGTTTCTAATTGACGCATCCTAAAATGATTCGGAAGTCATCGACTGATTATCAAAGATTGAATTTGTCATGAATTATTCGAAGAAATAGAAGTCATTCTCTTGATAATTTCTCCATCTCGTTAATTGAATTCATTCGTTCTACCCTCGGCATGTTTTTTTTTTCAAAGTCTACAGAGGTCCAGCTCTATCGAATGAAATACTCGCTCGTTCTTCGCAAGTCTTTCATATGAATGATTTATCGAGCATCTTTCCAGCGAGCCTCGTTTTCTCTATCTACAATTTTATTCGAAATGAGAACATCCGAGAAGAAGAGAGAAAAAAGAGAAAGAGAGAAAATAGAGAAGATAAATACTGAGAACTGTTAGTTGGATATCCGTTCATTTTTCTTCTATTATAAGTTGAAGTGAAACGCACTTTTGCATTGTATTCAACTTGACTCGGTAAGACGAAAAGATCAATGGTAGATAGCCAGACACAATTCCCTTTCTCCCTAATTATTTCTTTAGAGATGATGAAAAGGTAAATCAAAGTAGTGCTCAGAATACGCGGCAAAAAAAAGTAATTAGATTAGATGAGTAAGTTCAAAAATAGGATCCTTCTCGAAAATAACGAAAAAGAAAAACAAGTTAATCTTCAGAAGAAACCTTGGAGTTTTGGATTACTAACTTTGGCGGAAGACATTTACAAACAAACTCTTACATTTCCAGATAGTAATCTTTGAGAGTAGTTAGTTATTAATGCAAAACTCGCACCTCGTAAAGATGTAGAACCATGTGAATTCACAAAACTATTTCTCCGATGATGACGACTACAACTATAAAAATAACATTTCTGCATTCATCTATTTAATTAATCCAAACACCTTACCATCCTGATACGCTTTTTCTCTCTAGAAAATGAAAGGCATCACACGAGCACATATAATTATATCTCACTCTATCACTTCTCGTCCCTATTCATTTCAGATTAGAGCCTCATTGACATTTGTTCGTTTCAGCACAAAATGCATTCACGATCAGTTTTCATTCTTTGCACTCTTGCTGTTTTCTTATTGATGGTCTCGTCGTCAGTCACCGTCGCTGACGAAAATCAAGGAAGAAAACTGGCAAATGCCCCATGGCTCGGCGCTCCTCATTTTCAAGAATTAGCCAAACGTGGCCGATTTGTTTTCCGTGACGCGCCTCACGCTTATCATCAAGAATTCAAAGCCGATGAAATCGAAGACAGTGACGATCATCCGGCCAAACGTAATTGGCGCTTATAAACACAAATCTCCAAAACAAAAACACGAGAAAATCCAAGATTCAACCATGAACATAACTCAAACACACACACATATATTTTTCTTGTTGTTCAATATTAATCTTCTGTGCATTCTGAGAATCTTCTTCAATAAACTAAACCAAATAAACTATCATTGAAAAAAAAACCATCCGACTCGTTCTCTTTTCTCTTTCACGCGCTTCTCAATGATACTATAAATTTTAATTAGCTACTAAATAAATATTTTTGTCATCTATTTGGCAACTTGTTTTCCGTCAGCCGAAAAACAATCACACTTGCGAAGTACATCGCAATCGTAATTAAGGCGACATATGATTACCCGACATGTAAAAATGTAATTTATGTTTAGTATTTCAAAGCACGCCGTTTGCTGTTGATTTACGTCGTACAATGAGCATTCTTGTCAAGATAGACAATGCTATCGGATGTCATTTTGTTCGCATGATTTATAATTATCTTATTCTATGCAAGATCATCGAGTTTTATTCTGCCTGATTAAATAGACTTTGTTTTCGGGAAATTCTATCAAGTGTCAATGGATGTGGATAATTCTGACATCGGCGTTCTATTTACAAGCATGTCATCTAACGTGCAAATGTTTCTTCACACTTGCGCATCGTTCAAATATCTGTTTTAACCATACAGGCAAAATCGATCTTTTTCAAAGCAGTACTTCACATATATGTCATTTTCAAAAGTAGTACTAGTTATCCAAGAACAATTTCCTTTCGCTCACACGCACACTGCATTTGAGATATAATTCAAGTGCAAAATCATGTCCACTGGCGCCCTCTCTCTCTCTCTCTATCGTGAATGTGTACATGTTCAATTTTTTATTTTACTGTTTTTATTTGCTCTTCGCTGTGCGAACGACACAACGTAGAACATACTATCGGGGTTATTCATAACGAATTTCGAATTCACGATGACATCGAATCCACTAGATAAATATCCTCTCAATCGTCGAAAGCACTATGTGAATCGGAATTTTCAACTTTTCGATGATCTTAATAAGCACCGTGCTCGTGCTAAAATTGAACCAAATTCGAAAACTCGACATAAACCCGAATTTCTGCTTAGTATTCACCACAAAGAAAGTTTACAAGTTGATCATGGTTTACGATCATTAATGTCACTATTAAAAGAATGTCGAGGCAAAGAAGTGCATCATCCTGACCCGCGAACATCGTTACATATCAAAGGTCTTGATAACATTTATTACAAAACCCGAAAACCATTGCAAACTCATGATGTTTGCAAACGTTTTCAAGCTGGTATGCCTGTTTGGCTTTACTTCACAACAACTTGCGAAGCATTCGATGAAACGAAACGCACGAATGACAACGAAATTATTGACTATACACCGAAGGAACGTCTTCAGTACGGTTATCGTGGCCGTCTGCAACGTGAACAGATCAGAATCAAACAACAAAAACAAAACCTTTCGCCCATCGCAGTTGATCCAGCATTGAATTTAACGTCAACTCGCAAAAATGCACCACTGTCGACGATCTGTCATTTAGTAACACTTGGAACATTTCTTGACTGTGGAACATATGTTGCTCATGCCTCGACATTACCGGACATTGATAAATTTGAATTAGAATTTCGTTCGATGCCACATTCAATCCATTTACGATCGATTAGAAATAGCGATTATTTGAATACAGATGATGATTTACTCTATAATAAAACACTCTATTTCGTGACGATCGCGCATGAACATGCAGAATCGTATTTAGTTGTTAATCATCAAGATGATTTCATCGATTTGTTCATACCACTTCTTTATGCATTGAAGCCAATTCAAGAAATGGAATTAGATGAATTGGGTACCAGACAACGAACACGATCAACACGATTCCATCGATTCGATACGAAACATATTGCTGAATCATCAGTGATGCATGTTCGAATTCCATTATTGAATACGAGTAGCAAAATGATTAATGATTTAGCGAGCAATTTGCTGGAAAACAACGTGAAAGTTCTCTTTGGCAACATACAGATTGTTTATTTGCCAAGTGATTATGTCAATCCGTATGAAAATTTACAATTTGGAAATTATCTTTGTAACTATGCTTGGCATATGCTTAATTCATTAGGTTTGTCTTTCTCGGTAGTCGAATTTTGCTCTTTAACTCTTTATGTTTCACTTAGGTTATCGTCTAAAGGATAAACTTACCGATAAATTCGTTTCGAAATTAGTGGAGATCTCCAACGATTCGTCTTTGTTCTATCATACTTTGCGTGATCTGTGGAAAAGTTGTAAAGACAATCGCTTCATGGATATCTATATTGCTCTGTGCAATAATGCTGTGAAATACTCGGATATTGGTGCTCGATGGTTATTCGATTGCACAACACCGAATTATTGTTATGTTCCACGTGTGATTGTGACGCCAACACAGCTCTTACCGCAACCGATGCGTCCAATGAAGGAAAATCGTGTGTTACGTGGTGGAAGATTCGGCTCCTCGTTTGCCTTCTGTCGTGTTCTTTTGCGTGATGAAGATTTGATCACCATGTCAGCGGAAACAGTTGTGCAATGTCGCGAACATATCTTAAATTTGATTAAACAAGATCTAACGATTGCTCAAACAGATTACGAATATCTTCATTGTTCGAATTCTCAACTACGTGATCGGTCGTTTTGGTTCTATAAACCAAATAATGGAAATACAGCTGAGACGATTCGAAACTGGATGGGTGATTTTCGTTACGAATATTCGGTGTCATCGTATGTGACACGTATGGCATTATGTTTTACCGGTTCAATCAAGACCTTTACGATACAAAAATCGACTGAAGTTGAAGAAATTCCGGATGTCAAATCTCCCGATGGACGATATGTTTTTACAGATGGAATCGGCAAGATTAGCGAACCAATGATGCGTCGTGTTTTCGAAGCCTTGGACCTCAATCAAACATCAGGGTATTTGCCATGTGCTTTACAAATTCGAATGGCTGGAATGAAAGGTGTTTTAGTCAAAGCACCCGAATTGGGTAATTCATATCTTTCTTATTGAAATCTAACTGATCGATTGACTTTGATGTGCTAGGTACACGTGAAGTGATTCAAGTACGTCGATCTCAGATCAAATTTGAATGTGATCATTATGATTTGGAGGTGATTGATTATTCGAAATCGTGTCATTTGACATTGAATCGACAAGTGATTACATTGCTTTCATCACTCGGTGTGCAAGATGTCGCATTTTTGCATATACAAAACGAAGCGCGTCTTCGTGCTACAATGGCATTGTTGAAATGTCGAGAAGCGATTAGTTTGTTGGATAAAGTTCGATTTTTTGAATTTGAAAAAATTAGCAATGCGGGAAGTAAGTGAAATTCGACAGTGAATCAAAGGAAATGACTTGTATTTGTTTAGTTGATATTTCACAAGAGCCATTCTTTCGTTCGTTATTAATCGCAGCTTTTCGTGATCGACTTCGGTGTTTGAAACAACGTTCAAATATTTCGATACCAAAAACCTATGGCCGAGCCATGTTCGGTATTATTGATGAAAGTCGGACATTGCAATACGGCGAAGTCTTTATTCAATATACATCAAATAGTCAATTGGAATCAGAAATTGTACTTGGTTATGTGGCTGTAACGAAAAATCCTTGCTTATATCCAGGTGAGTTATGCCTGCTATTCTTTCTTTCCATCCATCTTGCATTTTAGGCGATATTCGGGTTTTGAAGGCAGTCGACATTCCACATTTACATCATCTACATGATTGTATCGTTTTTCCTTGTAATGGTAAGACGAGATTCGAAGTTTACATTGTCTCATTTGTATCGGTTGATGTTTCTATTAAGGCAATCGTCCACATACCGATGAAATTTCAGGCTCTGATCTCGATGGCGACGTTTACTGGGTTTGTTGGTTGCCGGATCTTGTTCCGCCGCGTGAAAATCAAATCGAACCATTGAATTACGATACATCCGAGAAGAAACTTCTCGATCATGCTGTCACAATGGACGACGTTGCTGAATTTCTAATTGACTACATGGCGAATGATTTCCTAGGTGAATTATGTAATGCACATTTAGCATGGGCAGATTTAGAATCAGCGACGAGTCCACGTTGTATTGAATTAGCACGCGATATCGCCGCTGTTGTTGATTATCCGAAAACAGGCGTGAATCCGGTTAATGATGAAAAACGTCGAGAATTTAAAGCACCGCGTTATCCTGATTTTATGGAGAAGGAAATTCGAACATATGCCAGTCGAAAGGTTCTGGGCAAAATCTACCGGCAAGCACGTTGTGCGTATGATTTACACGTTCAGTTGGAATATCTCGACGAGAAGCATTTCGTCGAAGTCGACGAAAATTTATTGATCGATGGTTTCGAAACGTACATTGAAGATGCTCGACGTCAGTACAGTCTGTATTGTAATAAATTACAACAGATTCTTGATCTGTATGATTATTCAACTGAAGCGGAATTGATCACAGGATGTCAACCGTTATTTCTCGATGAGAAACGTTCGTACGATGCAGCTGATGTTGCTGGACAAGATTTCAAACGCTTACGAACCGATACCCGACGAGAATTTCTCAATGAATTTATTCGTTACAACGAAAAGCAACAACGAAAACGAGATCGTGAAGCAACGCTCATCTCCGCAGATCCAAAAGTTGCACGTTTACAATTACAAAAAGCATCGGCATGGTATTATGTGGCTTATACAGAAGAACATGACGAACATGAACATTTGATTAAATCGAAATCGTTCGCGTGGATTATGTGGGACTTCCTCTGTGAAATTCGTTCGCGAAAAGAACGAATTCATCATCTATCGTCTCGAACGATTTCTGAAGCATTGAAATCATATTATATCACCATGGCAAATGTCAAGTCACGTTATATTTCCAATTACGAAAAAGCACGAACAAATCTTTTTAAATACTTAGTCGAAGATCAATGTGAGCATTTATTCGAACCAGCGTATTCATTTTTAAACATTCCTGAACTGACCGGAACACGCGTTCGAGTCATTATCGATTCGCATAACAATCTAGTCAAATCCAAGACAATCATCAGTCTAAATAAACAGCAATATGACATCGTTCGATTGAATGTGAATAAAATCAAGATATTCAATAAAGCCAATCGTTTCTATTGGAAATTACTGATGCAACAACCGGCGATTGCAACTGTCTTGGAAATAGCGCTGGATTGGGCAGCGAAACATCAATGTTTCACAAGAACGGATCGAGAAGGAAATAAAATTCTTGTGTTAAAACCTGAAATATTCTTTGAACGAGCTTTGAAAGCTCTGTTTAAAGATGTACCTGCATGTTATTTACCAGCATTTGATGATGACGATGACGACGACCCTCGATCAGGAAAACATGTCAACGGATCGATCGATGATGAGACAACAGTATCATCCTCGGATGATGATGAACGTGTCGATCGCGAACGACGGTTGAACGCCGATGTGTTTCTGACTTACGAACAATGGACGAATTATATGATTGATAAAGTAAAAACCATTGCTAGGATAACAGAAATGTTTATTGTACTTGTTGTAGTGGGATTTTCAAGCCATAGCTTACAATTTTCAAAAACTAATCCGTGTTTGTAATGATGAAAAAGACATTTGCTTTCTGAACGTTTGTCATGTTCTCTTGTTGGCATTACAAAAGATTGGAATCACGCGAAATCTGGACAATGCATCAGTTGATCTGAAAGATTCACTTGTCTATCGAGTAAGAAAACGTGATTGCTTTACTTGAATAAGAAAAGAAAAACGATTCTTCTCGGTGCTTCTAGTTGGATCAACAACCAAATCGAGCCCGACCGTCATCTGCATTAAATGAAAGTCTTTCCAAACCTGCATCTATTCCACCGGAATAAAATTTTTTGTTGCTTTTTTTTTCAATCTAGTCATTGATAAAGATGTTAAAATCTCTCTTTTTTTGTCCATTTTTGATTGTTTTCATTGTGCATATACATTTATGATGACCATGATGGTTTTTCCTTTTGAACAACATTGTTTTTTCAGTGTAATATAGTTACTTTAGTCGGAGTTGTTGTTATTTAAGAATAAATAGAACGAAAAATACAAAATTCTTTGCAAATAGTCACAACGAGGGTTTCCAACGAAGCGAAAGCTTGTTTCCGTTTTGCGAAATCTTGTAATCGGAAAGTAGCTTTTCTGTATCGATTAACTTTTTTACTTGGCCGACAAGCGCGTCTGTTTCGTTCAAGACACAACACTCAAAGTAATGAAGTTCACGAATATGAGTGGCATGTTTCATAAGAACTACTCGTACCAAGTTCTCTACTGCGCTTGCCTCGACCCAATTGACTTCGAAGTGTTCCATTCGAGGACAGAGCTTGATGAGAAAGTGTAGTAGGTCTAAATTCATCCATTGTCGCACTGTCTTAATACTATTGGTATTGATGATATGTTGAAGTGTTTCGGAATCTTCCTCATTTAGAGTAGACCATTGCTGAACGGGTAGGGTAGATACCTCCAATGATTGAAGATTCGGTAATGATTCTAGGATAGTAGTAAAACCGTAGGATGATATTTTAGAGAAAGATATGTGTAGATCACTGAACCGAACTGCGCGTACGATGGGAGCGAAATGTAATCTGAAATACGTAATTCGTTCAATACCCCGATGGTTTGTTATCGACAATTTCATTCCATTAGCAGAATTCATCTTCTGATCAACAGATTTCAGTGGTGGTTTTTGTATCAGGTAGGACATTTCACTATTGGCTATGCGTAGTTCAATAGTCCACGTTTGCGCGATCCACAATTTCGAAGTCAGTTGATGAATAAAAGCATTACGATGATTATTTCGAAAGTCAGCGTTAGTCACTACTGTGCAACATACGAGAAACTTACGTAAGTAAGGCATATTTTGTGAAACTAATTGCTTCCAACGATTTGGATCGATGTAATGTTGACTCTCGAAATGCTGAAGTTTTAACACTTTCACGGAAGAAGAGATTTGCTTGATAAAAGCTTCAAATTTGAAGAATCGCATCGCACAATAATCCATAGTAATATGAGTCAGATTTGGTAAGGATAAACAAACATCAGTTGTCAATTCGTTGTCTGACTCGATTAACATCTGACAGGTTAGATATTTTATATACGGTGTACAGCGAAGTATCGACGTCAGTATAGGTATCGTACATTTGTGACTGATAATCATTGTTTCTATATGACTTGGATGTTCAACAGTATCGCAAGGCTTTAAAACGTTAACTTCATCGTCTGTTGGTATCGACAGTGACAGATACTTCAACGAGGGCATTTGAAAAAACCGGTGGTAGATGTCATTAATCTGAGATTGATTGTCGTTTATATAACAAGTGAACTCATGAAGACTGGGTAAAAATGTCAAACTTGCCAAACGCACTTGAAGTTGTAACGAACTGATACCGTAAAGAATAATTGACCGTAGACGGAAGAATGATAAATCAATAGAACAATGTTGGAAAAAATGTTGTATGGAGTATGTATTCCACAGATGAATCGAGATGATTCGATGTTTATTTGGAAGGATAACATTCGTGCATATATATTCCACATTGGTCGTGGAATCATCCTGCATGGATATTTTCAGATTGTATTTAGATGATGTAAGAAGCTGTTGAAATCGACTATTGAGATTGGAAAATGCCTTGTGTGTAGAACATCCGTCGAGATAGTCGAATATTTCGTAATAAATTTCATTGGAAAAGTGCTCGAAACAAGTAATTAAGTTCGTTGTTCCTAAGTAGAACCACAATAATGGAGACTGAAATTATTTAAAAAACGATCTTACTTGGTATTTTATTGAGATTTTCATTCGAGCTTAACTGTCGTTTGACACTCATGTTATTGTAAATGTTTTTTCCTTAGCACAGAACAAGCAGTATAAAAAGCTGACGAGTTTACTTCAGACGATGACTCATATTCTTCTTCCTCCAATAGTAACGAACAAAACTCACCGTGCGTAAATTCGATGAAAATGTCTGCAATCCCGCTCATTGAATACTCTGTTGTACTAAAAGACAACGGTTTTACTGACTTCTCTTTCGAAAAAGAATGCATAACCTATGTTTAAGTGACCTAATACTCATTTTCTATGAAATAATTATCTCACCATCTAAAATCTATGACGCTGTTGAATTAATACTTCATTACAATATATACGTCGTATTCAAAAAACCTATTGTCTAGAAATCTCAAACCTCTGAATAATACCGGAAAACATAATGTTGTTGTCTATGTCAGAATTGGAGAGATTAGCAGAAAGGATCCGTATTGTTTCAATGTTAACCACGATTATTATTTACACGTGTCGTATTAGTTCGATTTTGCTCATGTATTTCGGACTGTTTCTCGGCAGTTTCTTTACTCTATTCCTTCTCTACGAATTATACTGTCGATCTCGACTACGCACATCAACAAATGTTCTTATCGTAATAATATTTTGTTCTGATTCTCTACGTGCAGTCGTTTGTGCTATATTAGAAACCGTTGTTTTAACTAAAACCTGGAACACATCAATAGCAAATTGTGAAAATGAAATACCTGTTATTCACTATAGTCCTGTTATAATAAACTCCTGCCGAGCAACTATGGCAATACGTTCTATTTTCAATGTAACACAACCATTCGGATTTGTTGCTATCGCATATGAACGTTTGTACATGTTATTGAATCGAAATGGAAATTCTAATATGAATGCTATTCGTTTAAAACACATTTTCATTTGGATTGCAGTCACATTTTTCTTTGGTATTGTATTTGGTGCGTATCACGCAATTGCATATCCACCTTCGAATACGTGCTACGGACAGTCGGATACAGCATCACGAGTCGCGATGATTATTCAACTATTCTGCATCTTTTGTGCTGCATTAATTGGAAGTCTGATTTATGTGAAAATATGTTTCACTGTGCGCAAACATCGGGCTAATCTGATTACACCAATCGCAGAGGATAGGAATATGAGAAAGCGTATTAGACGAATGAATACGTTAGCGAAAAAGAATATTCAGTTAACTAAGCAAGCATTTATTATTTTCCTTTCGTTTTTCTTCTGGCGTCTGCCCTCGACAGCTTTGGTTTTCCTAAATTTGATCATTGCTCAACAATTACGCTACAAAAATCGATGTTATCTCGAAGAATTTACTAATTTATCGATTCAGCTTATTTTTGTAGCGACAATCACTGATCCCTTGGTTTACATATGGACAAAATCAGTATTAAAACAAAACTTTCTACAACTTCGATTCCTCCCGCTTCGTTTTGCACGTAGCACAATAAATGACCGATGACTTTGACTGAATACAAATATTTCGTGCACGCTCATAGTTCTGTCAAAATATTCTTGTTTAAAACACACTGTTAAACTTCGCTCAAGACAATATCTTCGCATTGCCGTAGACGAACTTCACTCGATTTTTTAGTTCGTCATCAAGTTCTATATGTTGATTTGGTTGAAAATAGATCAAGATTTCTCGTAGTTGATTTCGGTTTCCCATTGTATATGACAGATCGTATGTACTGGCTACTAATAGATCGTAATCGATCACGAGACGGGATAGATTTGGTAGAAGTTTCAGTAAACGTTGAACATTGAGATAATCTTGATTGGTGACAATGATCAACGTATGAACAGTGAGCAGTTTCAGATCATCATGTTGATTTTCGTTATCCATCAGATGAAAATTCGAACCAATTTCTAAGATCTGTAGATTAACGAAGATCGATCCGAACACACGGAAAAACCGGTTGGTGTAAATAGGCTGTTGTTTATCATTGAGAAATATCCGTTTAATTCGTGGCATCGTCAATTGTAGATATTGATTGTTCACACGATAGTCAAGAAATTCATTCGTCAACGAACAATTAAAACTTCGACAATGAGATGGAGGCGAAACGATAGCACATGTTCGATAAAAAGAATTCGTGAAAAACATTACCGGTTGATCGCGTAGCCAAATCGATGTTTGAAATGAAGATAATAGAGCATTGGGATCAACAAACACATCACCAAGTGAATGACAGAAAAAATAGAAGTAAAATTCTTTTAAAAATCCTTTCCACGCTTCTAACATTTGTCCATCGATGATATAGTCAATCTTCAAATGTAATTTCAGAACGCTCAGTGTTGTTCGACATTGTTCAATTAAAAGATTCAGATCGTGAAAATCAATATCATTCGCGGACATGATTAATCGTTGTAATTTTAACGATAGATATCTCGTTTTCGAATAATCATAATCATATCTACCTGCTTTACCTAAAAAAGAAAATATACATCAATTTCATATGTTTTCATCCATGTTCGAAAAGATATACCTTCTCGAATACCAATATTTAGATATTCTAATTGCGGAAGATATTCCAATAAAATAAACAAATGATGTTGATATTCAACTGACAATGTCAATCGTTTCAACGTTTGACAAATTTGAAAATATTCACTATCAATGGATAAACATACACCATCGATAGTTAATGAATTCACTGTCGTCGAAGGATCATTATTGATGAATTCATTTAAAATTTCATGATCAACTTTTGAAAACAGTGTCGCATTTTGATATTCCATAGTTAAAGAAGAGATCTTTTGCTTGAAAGCTGGTAAATAGCATCGATAATGATCGTTTTGTGAAAGAATTCTCAAGTATATTGTTTTCAACTGCGTGAAATAAACAAGAACATTATCAGAAGAATCGAAAATCCAATCGAGTTGTGTATCGTTGAATTTCAATGTTTTGACTATCGATGGAACTAATTGAAAGTTTGATGTACACCATAGTTGAGCATTGTTCGTCGTTGATAAATTTAATCGTTCGATGTATGGAACACACAAATTGTAAAATCTGAGATTCAGATTCAAAAAGCTGTAGATAATTTCATCCGAATGAAGATATGACAATATATTGTGTAGTAATTCGTTTGGTAAAAGCTCGAAAGTGAACATTGAGATAAATCTGAGAATATGATATTCTAAGAAGATGGAGGAAATATGCACTGTACAACCTATAAATGTATCCGGAAACAAATGGAAGCGGAGAATATTATTCATCGGGAATAAGAACATCATATCGTCTGAAGATAAAAATCCACTTTTCTTTCGTTCTTTGCTTATCCTTCGCTCGCTGTTGATATCTGGAATTATATGACGAAATTAGTCTTTTACAAGATGAAGAAGTAAAGAACTTCTTCTTTTCTATGTCCACGTGTTTGTGAGCGAGTATACATAGATAAACGAAAATCTGTTGCTGTAGAATTATTCAGAGACAATCAGTCATGGAGAGATGTGAAGAAGAAGTATGTTCGAACTTTCAATCCGTGATTTGTCTGCATTGTATGCAACGATTATGTATGGATCACTTGGAAGTGCATCAAACGATGCTTTCGGACAGCATCAAACAAGTCAAAAACGACGTGATGGATTTACATATGGCGTTAACTGATGCATCGAAAGCTATCGTTGAAGAACGTACGAAGCAAGAGCAGAAATGTGAAATTTGGCGTTCGAAAAGACTCGCTACTATCGAACGTGAATATGGCCATAACATGAGATTGATCAAAAGTCGACAATTAGTACTCGAAGAAGTTGAAGGTGAATTAAATCAACGATTGAAAGTTGAAGTACAACAACCATTGGAAGAGATGTCTTCGAAGCCGAATGTTAATCCTGAATTACTCGGTGTAATTCAATCAACCCTTGACACGATTAAAACCAACAGTAAATCGTTCACGTGGAAAAAGGATCAGTAGGTTGTCGTTTATTTTTCTACAAATCAACTGGAGAATTTGTTATTATTTAGTACGAATACAGATGAGAGTGCAAGTATGTATGTCAGAACAGTGAGATGCAATGGGTTTGTTTTTTCGATATATTTTCTAGCGAAAAAACCAAAGAAAGTCAAACTTGATGCAGCCGCCATCGGATCAGCAGAAAAGGTTAGAAAATGGAAGCCAAGTCATAAATCAATTAGTTTATTTCGTGATATTGGTCCAATGAGTGAGGCAAAAATCAACGAACATTTTCAGGTTACAAAGCAATATATCTCTCCATATAATTTTCGCACAGAACATCATCTCTAGACGCAGAAGGCAAGTGAAAACTCAATGAAACAGTATGGCCTTGTTGTAATGGTAAATGCATATCTTCAAACATGGCATTCGATAAAAGTAGAAAAGGGCAAATACAAAGAATTAATTTTAAGACGACATATATCGACTATTAAAAAACATGTTGTTGGAAGAGAATGTAAACGAAAAGTTTTAGTTGCCATGCAGTTCTTTTTTGAAACGCTCACACGAATGACCGCGTTAGAGAGTAAAGGAAGATCGTTTTTTTTTTCATCAAAAATATTATATTTCGTTTTTAGAAACGGAGATGATGACAATGTTATTGGAGTGGTTTCTTCGACATCAGTGTATTTCACTACCAGAAGTAATTGATTGGTATCAAAAGGAGACTTTCGTTGACCATATGATTGGAAGAGTCGTTCACAAAAACTGGACGGAATCGTTTCTCAGTCAACACGGATATCGAACTGAACCTTTAGGTAGATGATTCGAACTGCTATGGCTCATTCTTTCAAATATTTCTAAATCATAGGAACACTAACACGAACAAACTCAGTCACATCAACGAATAGTTCGGAAGAAACGAGTGAATTGATTTCTGAACTTCCTGAATATGTTCGTATTCGTAAACCGTACAGAAAGTTAGTTAACCTATTCAAAGATACATCGAATGTAAATGATCCTGCCATCTATGAATATGTTCGGGTGAGAAATTCTAGTTGAGTCATTGCAAATTTGTTAAGAAAAGATTCTCTTCCCAGAAAATTTGCGAGAAGAATATGACTCAACGGGTAATTATGGTTGTTCGAAGTTATTTGAAAGCTTGGAACGAATCATTACCAGAAGAAAAAGCAAACTTATTGTCGAGTAAAATCTCGGCTATTCTTCATTACCAATCAGATCGGAATTTTCAAAGGCAAATTCTATTTGCTATCGAAGTCTTTCTCTCAGAATGTAAAAAGAATTATGCTTGGCGAAGTGAGTCTACTAAGTAATTCTCTTTCAAATCATATCAAGCTTTTAACGTTTAGTGCAAACCGTATCTATGTTATTCCAGTTCTTTCTTGATCAACAGTGTATCGATAAGGAATCAATTGTGAAATGGTATGAAGACGGACACATATATAATGATGTTTATTATGAACAAACAAAAACCTTTGCTCGATCATTTGTTGAACGATTGACCGCGTTGAATTAAATGGTTGTAGCATGATATATGTTTACGATTTACTTGTGCAAAAATAAACTCTGAAAATTTCACGCACTGCTTGAAATTACGACAGAGCGAAGAAAGAAATGATAATCGAAACACTATTTAATATCATCATCAAACACAATTTTCACTATCGTCTCGTCTCATTTCGTAGAATAAAGAATTCATCAGCACCAATGATTTCATGTTTCATCTATGAACGTCACCTATAGAGCGAAATTGTTATCCAATAACTTTGCACATACATTGATTGGCTAACACATTACAAAACTGCTATTGTTATACAAATATACATTCATTCACTAGATAGATCTTACATTTTATCTTTCCTTGCTGAACTCTTCATCTGATCTTAATACGAAACAATGGCTCTCTGGGGTAAGACCTTTCACAAATCAAAAACATACTAATAATCTCCAATCGATCAAAGAACAAGGAGGTGGTAGTGGTTTTCAACAACGTAAAGCTGGTGGTAGCGGTGATAATGATACAGGCAGTGGCCAGGTTAGTTCGTTTGATTAATATCGAGTTTGTTCATTTGCCAATTGCAGCGTTCGACAGTAAAAGGCGTGCTGACGTGTACAGTCGCTACGATTCTCAATGCAAAACATTCCGAGTCGGACAATTGTTTTGTATATAAACATTTGAAATTCAACACAGTGATGGTGATGGGTTTGATTCGTGAGGCGAACCATGAGGCGAATGGTAGTTTAGCTACATACCAAATCGACGATCATTCAGGTGGTTTACTAGAAATCAAATGGTGGCATGACGTATGTTTGTCTTGTTTTCTCGAGAAGAAAAGATGACATAAGTTTTACCCTTTAGGATTCCGGTGAGCCAATGAAACCATTGACTTATATCAAAGTTGTGGGTCAAGTCAAAACATTCAATAATAAAGTTCATGTCGTTGCTCATCACATCAACAAAATGCAATCATTAAATGAATTACTTGCCCATTCGATCGAATGCGTTCATGCGAGTATGAGCATCCGAAAACAGGGCGAATTGGTACGATATTTAGAATGACGAATCCTTTCAATAACACTATATTCTTCATTACTTAGACTGGAACTGGAATGACATCGAATACTAGTCATACCAGTGGTCAAACTCAACAATCATCGGCAATAGCAAACGGCTTTACACCTGTTCAAAATGCTGTTCTTAACGTTTTGAAAACAGTAACATCTATGACTGGTTATAGTGTAACAGAAATATGTAAACAATTGAAACAATTCAGTGAAAATCAAGTCAAGTGAGTTGTCACATATTCAATGGCCGGACATGCATATAACTTTTGTTTTAGACAAGCTTTGGAATTTCTTTCGGGTGAAGGACATATCTATTCGACAACTGATGATGATCATTTTCGTGCTGCTAGCAACTAAATCTTATTTTGTTCTTACTCAGATTCTTCTTTTTTACTATATATATATATGTTCTTGTCAGATGAGCTATAAAGATTTACAATAAAACCTCAAATCTATTTTTCTTCAGATTGACTAGTTGTGAATACAGAGCGATGGATCTTGATCCGATGATTAACATTTCACAAGACGAAAATACTTATTCTGACTATGATGATCGACCGATTCGACCAATGGATCAAGATGCATTAAATGAAGCACTAGCACGATTACCTATCCTTGTCGACGAAGATGAACTATCAAACCATTCCGAGTCAAGCTCAAGGTATTGTCTTGCAGATGAGCAACATGAATGTCTATGTTTGTATATGTTTTAGTGTTAAAGCTCGTCGACAACCAGTTCTGGCTTATTCGACAAGACGTAAAGACTTTACTGGAGTAAATGTCAGCAGTTCAGTGCTAAATACCACTCAGACACCGATGAATAATAAACGAAAGTTAACTGGAAATACACCAACAAATAAATATATCAAACGTGAGTTGAATACAAGAGTGTATAGATGAGTTTTAGGTTGTTTTCGTTTCAGAATTAGATTCTCGGCATGACTTAATCCAATTAAAAGAAGAAAACAAGATTCTAGAAGAGGTAAATCTAACTTCTCCGTATGAACTATAAAATATCTTTATACTTTAGGGTAAAGCAAATTTACAACTAGAATGTGTTTTGTTAAAAAAAGTAATATTCTAACGATTCATAATGTGAAAAACGATTAGTGTTCGTTTACTTCTAGTTACACGAAAATGAAATAGAATTGTTAAACCGAGAACATCAACAAGCAATAGAAGCACTCGCTCAAGGTAGGACAAATCTCACTAGCAAAGGATACCTTACGAACTCTTTCATTTCTAGAACATAATCTACAACGCGAACAATTTCTTGCATCTCTTGCTGAGAAAGAACAATTACTTGCTCAAACCGTGAGTTAACTATCCGCATTTTGATCTTACACATCTATTGTTCTGATCTTTAGAATCTTGAACTTGACAATCTTCGAAATGATCACACTATGCTGTTATTAGAGAAAGAAACACTTGACAATGTACGTCCATATGAAGACTTTCATGGGAAAATACATCTTTTATCTTTAGATTGTTGCTGAATATGCGTTGATCAAGCAAGAAATGAACAATAAGCTACTCGAGAGTGAAACAACAATCAAGTATAGACTTTAGAATATGAGATCGGAAATAGATGATCAGCAATTTGTCTTTAGGAATCTGCGACAAGAAATTGAAAATTTGTCAAAACCATCGCAACCGATGAAACAAATAAGTATAAGCAACGATCGAATGGTACCAAAAGAGTCATCAAGTATAAGCGAAATCTTTGCTCTATTTACATTTTCAATCGTTTGTTTTCATCATTTTCCAGCAGCTAATCGACCACGGGTGGTGAAAAACGAACAAAACCGTCCGAAGTAAGTCTTCTTCATTTACACTATTTTCAATCTGTGCCATTTGCTTTCAATTAGACCAATTACTAAAGTTCCAGCTGGCCGAGGGTTAATTACCGCATTGTCTACTACAGCTTCTAACTTAAACAAGTAAGTGCTCTGTTTTGTTGATTGTGATATACATTGAATTTCCTTGAAGACCGGCATTTTCAACGGCTACAAAATTGAATGGTAACATTGACGATAAGAAGAAAGTGGTTAAACAGTCGAATCCATCATCTGCACGTTTGAAACCGAAAATAGTCCCGATCAAATGATAATTGAATTCAGTCCGATGTACTACCCTCAAGCAAATGAATTGTTCAATGTCAGATATTTTTCGCTAATCCTTTGTTGTTGTTGTTTTTTTTTATTTGTATAATTAGATGTAGAATGTCGTCTTTTATTTATTGTACAGATGCGTTTCTTTTCTGCGTCATGTTGTTCATGCGATTGTATATAAAAGAAGGAAAGGGTGTTTTTCTGAGGGAAAAGATCTGGTTTTGTCTCTCGGTCTTTTCTTCTTTTTCGATAAATTTAGCTGATTAATCATAAGCACACATGAATTTCTTTTTTCATATCTGCTACGACTTCAACATGTCCGATAAGGTTTCATTCGAATGTGAGAAGAAAAATGCATTTATCAACGTGTATATTTCTTGAGAAAGAGAAAACTAGATATTGATATAAAGTAGATTCAGTGTCAAATAGAGTGAGAAAGAGAAAAAGAAAGATATGTAGCGCTGTTTTCATCTCCTTATTCAGTAGACGTGTCTTTGTTTGTCATTAAACTGCGACAGGTTGTTGATATTGTGATCGAAATACTTCAGCGTGTGGTTGATAAAATTTGTGACCAGTTGGTTCCGCGTGAGCAAAAGCGAAATTACTACGTGGCGTACTGAATTGATGAATGAAAACAGTGATTTTCGAAATCAAGAAAAAACATGCGAACTTACTCAAGGAAACAGGCTGGACACGGTTCAACTTCCTTTCTTGTATATTCAGTTTTATACATAGTTGCATCATCGAACGGTGCGGTGGAGCGATAAGCAACACCATCAGGTTTATAAGATCGTTGAGCACCACCTTCATGCTGAATATAGTGACCTATAAGAGAAATACTTTCATCTAAATTTCATTAAGCTTTTCTTTTCTCACCTCTGTATGTTGACATTCCTTCGAATGGTACACTTGGTGGTACATAGCCATTATTTGCTCGTATTGCCGCTTGTCGTCCTTCAGGCCACTGTTTGTAATCGCCTAAATATGTTGTGCTACCTTCAAATCTGGCATCCGTTCCGTGTCTTTCGACTGGACGAATGGCTGTTGTTTTTGCGTATGGCTTAGGTGTGAATTCAGAATTGTACATTGTATTCAAATCCATATCACCGGGTAATGGACGATATTCATCGGGTCTATGCGTTTGTATTGCTTGAACTTCCCATGGTTTATAATCAGTTTTATTAGTTGTCGTATCATCGAAACGAGCATTTGATCGAAAACCTTGTTCATCCGGTTTCATTGAACGTGTTCGGTCGGCTACAAAACAGATTCAATGTACACAGGTACAACTTTCGATCGATGATTTTTACCATCTTTAGGTGTGAAATCTCGTCGATGTGTTGTCAACGAATCTAATGAAACTCCACTGGGAACATATTCTTCTCGTGTGCGTTGGTAACGTTCTTGCATGGGATGTTGAATGTAATCTGATCGATAACCTGTTCGATCATCGAACGGATCTTGAGATTGTAAAATGGATTGATCAGGTCGAATAGCCTGACGCATTCCTCCTTCATGTTTCAAATAATCCGTTGTGTATGTACTTTCACCTCGGAATGGAGCGGATGGTGGAACCTACATAGTATAGTTGGGAAAAAAAATAGCCAAATGTTTATCTATCAATGGTTCTTACATAACCGCCATCGTGTCGAATAGCTTCAGTTCGAGCCGATTCCCATTTACGATAATCAGCTAAAGAAAAGGATCTATCAGTTAAACAATACTTCAGACATGATAGATCTTACTGCGATAGGTTGGATCACCCTCGAATGGAGCCTGTGCTGTTCGATGATCTTCATGTCTAATCATTTGCGCACGTTCACCACCTTTCGCTAGAATCATCACCAACAATCTATTAAAAGCGTTTCTATCCCGCTGTGGTCTCTTACGTGTATATTCCTGATTATAACTAGTTAACGAATCGAAATCGCCTTGGCGAACATAAACTTCTTCCGGTTTATATGACTGCGTTTTATAAATAGAATGCGTAATGAAATCATGTCTAAATGGCACACCAAGAAATATGGAATTTCTGATAAAAGAAATCGAAGTCATACTTATGCGTTGTTTCATCATCCAATCGTGCTGTACTCAATTGTAGATTATACTCAGGTTTAAACGATTGTCGCACGCCGCCTTCTCGTGGAATGAATTCTGATCGGTATTCAGTGATCGCACAATCTTGATCACCTTTACCGATGATACCATAGGGGCGATGAGGACATCGATGTTTCCTAGGCACAATAAAAGCAACAGCTGTGATTGTTATACAAGAATGAAGACAACACTGTTATTCCACATGATTCAGGTTTTCATTTCCGAGAGATTCTAATTGTTGCAATTATTATCTACTACCTACCCGCAGGTGCAAATTTGACAGATACATAATTTTGTCATTGTTTACAGTTACTTATGGCAATTTAGTAGTTTATAAACCGGAATAATAATGACGATGGTAGTAGAGAAAAGTGCAGCAACAGCACAGGCAACGACACACTCGTACTGTTCTCTTTTAACAAAAACACATCTATAAAAAAAAAAGGGAGTGGAGAAATAGAAAAATAAGTCGTTCTTCTTTTCATGTGCGTGATTGTTTTTTTTCGAATAAACTAATGGACTTTTTTTCTCGTGTAACGAATACGTCAACGACAGGAAGAGGAATATCAAGACTTGAATTCTTTCTTAGGTTACTTTTGTTATTGTTGTTGCTGTTGGCGTGAACTATTGATAGTTACTATGAAAAATAGACTTTTTTCAACTGTTTGTTGCGTAGCAATGGACATAAAAACAGAAAATTGCAGTTAAAATCCTTTTGATCGTTTCAGTACGCCATCTGTTACAGAAAAAAGAGATATAAGAAGATCGTTTTATTTCAAAAGGTCAAATGGTAAATGTTCGGCAAGTGTTTTAATCGTGAAGTAAAACGTTAGCGTAGTTTTCCATCATTTTCGACTGTGTTTTATTTCTCTGTAAACATCGTTCGTTAATGAGCTGTTTGGCTAATTGCTGATGATGATGTTCGGAAGAATGAACTGCGGAATGAATTAAAAGTAAATAGAACAAATCACGTTGGGCATTGGATCCACCGATTTGATAGATTTTATTGCGAATTGGATATAAAAGTTCGACCACTCGAGAATAATTTTTCGCTTTGAATTCATCCATTGCTTGAAAGATATATTTTCCAACTTGACGGTAAACGGAACTGCTTTCGAAATCCGATGTCTCGTACGATTCTTTTAGCGTACGAAGAAAATCTTTCCGATGCTCTTCATCTGCATAATCATCTAAGATAAAATAGATATGAAGATCATTGAAGATCAATGTGTGGTCGTGTAGATGATCATGTAGGAATTTTTTTAATAGTGCCGAAGTATAAATGGTCGAAGAATTTTGTCCTGCAAGTCGAAGACGATAAATTAATGAGGCAATATCAACGAAATCTAACATAATCAAATCGCAATCACGACTCAATATATGCTTGGTTAAGATTTCTTCGGCAACTTCTCGTTGTCCACGTTCGATTTCATATAAAGCCCAATGCCAATCGATATGTGGTTTGATAACGTCGCTGGTGCTCCACTCGTGTTGAGTTTTTTTCAAAATTTCAATACCTTGCGATACTTCGCCTGCATATTCTATAGCATGTGCTAATGCATGCGTTGCCCAACCATCGTGTGGATTGAGTTCTAATCCATACAGAGCTTCTTTTTTCGATCGCTCGACCATGTTTGTTTCGCCTAAACCGAATGCATACATTCCGTACAGGTAAGATTTCAATGGACGATCCGACGATGTTTCCCAGATGGGTAGAACGCGTGCAATCGAATCACGAAGCATCTCTCGATCACCAATATAAAAGTAAGTATCCGATGAGAATTTGATTGCCAGCATGTCAAATGGATAGAGCACGAGCAGTTGTTCCCATGTGTCGGCAGCTTTCGAAAAACTGCCCGATGACCATTGAAGAAGAGCTTGTGTGTGTAGCTTGATATATGGATTTGATGACGTTGCATTTCCCAGTGATTCAAGCACTTTCGCATGACTAGATGCAGATGGTGATGCAGTAGCTAATAATTCTAAACCAGTAGCAAGTATTTGGCTAGTGACACACGTTGGATCAGATGCAAGAAGACGAGAAAGTGTCGATTCGACACCACCCATCTGTTTATCATTATACCTAAAGAAACAAAATAAATCCGTCATCATTCTAAATTCGGTTTACGAACCAGCCGGTGTATTGTGTAAGAGTGGCATCGAATAACTTGGCTGTTTCATTGCTAGTGGTATCTATTGGAATTCCATCTTCATGTAAACATTTCACATCGCGCCATTGGTCACGAAACGGCATGATCTAGCTTTGTAATCTTTCCGAGGATATGTAAGATAAACGAAAACAAGAGGTGTGTTATGGGTGCAAATGACGAGAACAGACATTAGTATTGCAGAACACGTGTGTTCGATAAGATATAAGAGCGCAATAGACGAAATGTATACATGTTGTTTTCTCTTTCTTTTCATATCTTGTATATATATATTCAACGGAAAATCCATGTTAACAACAATGAATGACATTGAAAGGAAGAAGATGAAAACGTGTCTTTTTCGTTATGAGTATAATGCATATGTCACAACGATTACTGTAATTGTGCAAGTCAGGTGAAACACGTGGCATGTCACATATTCTTTGTTGAATCAAAGAAAAAACTTAACTACTCAAGGTTTTTTAGATACGGAAATATAAATGCTCGAATGAATACTGGCGAGAAATCAAGTTATTTTTATTGTGATGTTTGCAATCGTACATTCCGACATGGAACTTATCGCTACAATTGTACCATCTGTAGAAATTACGATCTATGCGCAGAATGTGTAACGATACAAAGTCCACCACATCCTCATCCATTCGTTGTTGAACTGGCCTTCGGCGAAGGTGAAAAGAAAGTCTGTACAGATGGAGGCATGCGAGCAGCTATTTATAATGCTATGGAAATGTATTGTGATCGACACTGTCTGGGTGTGCGTGATATCGACAAAGATAATCCAGAGAACTATTCTAATTCTTATTCCTGGTTAACATACAAGCAGATAGGTGATCGAGCGATCAATTTCGGTCATGGATTGAGACGATTGATTGAACCACGTAGTTATCTTGCTATCTGCGCCTCGAATAGACCAGAATGGGTTATTACTGACTGGGCATGTCTATTCCACGATATTGTTAGTGTGCCAATCTACGCTTTAACAAGTGATCGTGATACAACTTTTATTCTTAATAATACAGCAGTGTCTGTTGTCGTTTGTGATAAGCAAATGTTACCGAAATTCCTTAAGGTACATTCCGAATGTCCATCACTTCGGCATATTATCTATATGGATTCTGTATCTCCACTCGTTTTGGATCAGTCTCCTACGGTTCAGATTCATTCTATGAACGTTCTCGAACAGGCGGGTCTTCATCAACAATTTTCATATCCAATTGCTCAACCAGCTGACTGTATCACGATTATCTATACCAGTGGAAGTTCAGGTTTTCCAAAAGGAGTGATGATATCGGATAGCGCTTTGCGAGCTGTTTTTCCTGGATATCCATCTCCTTACTCCGGTGAATCGATCATGCTGTCATATCAACCTTTATCATGGTATGGTGGCCGTAACAGCTTATATGGAACATTTTTATCGGGTGGACGTGCAGGATTTTCTACGAGTGATCCCGCTCGACTCATGGAGGAACTTGCTCTCGTGAGACCCACACTATTTCCAGCTCCGCCAAGTATCTGGAATAAAATTTACTCCGAATTTAAAACAGCGCTTTCATCCGTTCCTACCGACGATCCACAAGTATATAAACAAAAAGAAGAAGAACTTCTTCAAGAATTTTCTCGGCTTATTCCACGCCGATGCGATTTAATTGCAATTGTTGGAGCATTGATCAGTCCTACTATACTTGACTTTATCAAACGATGCTTCAAACAGTGTCGAATTGAGGATGCGTATGGAATTACCGAATGCGGTGGTATTGCGTTCAATAATGAACTAACGCCTTCTATCTCCTATCGTGTTGAATCTGTTCCTGAAATGGGTTTTACTACCGATGATAAACCGTTTCCACGTGGTGAACTTCTAACGAAAACTCCTCAAATGTTCTCTGGTTATGTGAACAATCCTCAAGAAACACGAGCAGCTTTCACAGACGATGGTTTTTTTCGAACTGGCGATATTGTTGAACTACGTCAAAGTTCATCGAAACAACCTGAAATTCGTATTCTTGATCGAAAGAAAAACTTTTTCAAACTTGCACAAGGACAATTCGTCTCGCCGGAGCATTTGCAAGGCGTCTTCACACAGAGTTCATTCATCGATCAGATCTATATTCACGGTGATCTTCTGGAAGATGGTGTCACCGCTGTGATCGTACCAAACAAAGAACTCGCTCAAACATTTGCCAAAGAGAATCACATTATTGATTTAGAATCCGATCCAAAGTTTTACAATATCATTATGCGTGAATTGCTCTCTATTGGTTCGAAAGAATCGCTTCGAAAACATGAAATTCCAGTACGAATCATCATTGATTTTGAACCATTCTCTGTGGAAAACGGTCTTCTTACATCATCAATGAAACCATGCCGTCCAAAACTGGCTGCAAAATATATTGATCGTCTGAAAACAACGAACAGTTTAGAAAATCGTTTGAAATCAATCATTGAAACAGTAACCGGTGAAACATTATCAACCGACAATGACATCGGATTTTTAACCAGCGGTGGTAATTCGTTAACAGCCATACGTTTATCTCGCATGATTCGTGAAGATCTTGGTGTCAGTCTCCCAGTGAATGTTTTATTTGAACCAGATATGAATCTAAAACGTTTAACAGAACTGGCTCGAAATCCCACATTTACATCGGACGATTCCATTATTAGTCGAATGCTACATGATGCAGTACTTGAACCTACGGGTATTGCTGGAAAAGCAATAAAAACAGTGAATTCTCCATCGTTAGTTTTCATAACTGGCACAACAGGATTCGTCGGTGCATTCTTACTTGCAGAATTACTTCGAAAGTATCCTGATCATTGTAAATTCGTATGTTTAGTTCGATGTTTAGCATCAGTCGATCCGATGAGTCGAATTCGAGAGAATCTCCGTTTTCTTCATTTATGGCAAGACCAATATTACGAACGCATCGTGCCTCTTCGTGGTGATCTTGCCCAATCGAAATTCGGGCTTGATGATGCAACGTACGATGCACTCGCCCAACAAACAGATGTTATTTTCAGTTGTGGTGCGTCAGTAAATTTCGTCCTTCCCTACAATCAACTCTACGGCGCAAATGTTTGTGGTACTCGCGAAATGATTCGTTTGGCGACTCATACATCCTACCTTATTCCTGTACAGTATATTTCCACTATAAGTGTCTTATCGTCAGGGATTGTGGACGAAGTACACATCGATCAGATTGCGCCTAATAGTTTAACCAATGGTTATGGACAAACGAAGTGGGTAGCAGAGAAACTAATGGCTAAAGCTCAACATCACGGTTTGCCTGTTGTTATCTACCGTTTAGGTTCGATGTGTAGTGATAGTACCACTGGAGCATGCAATCCCTACGATATCAATACGATTATAGTCGCTGCTAGTCTGAAGACTCATTGTTACCCAGTGGGGTCTTTGAATAGGAAATTATATACACTACCCGTCGACTTTGCTGTAAAAAGTATTGTTCATTTAAGTATGACTCGTTCGGATATTTACGAAAATGTTTATCATGTTCTGCATCCAAATGGTGGAGTACCATTCAAGAGTGTCATTGTCAATGCCGATAAAGGTCATATAAAAATGGATGAAGTTTCTCTTGAAGAATGGAGATCAAGACTCGTCAAACAGACAGTATCTAATCGTTCACTCGAATCACTTGTTGACTTTCCATTAGGCAATTTATTCATTCATGAATCTCCTCTATCTTCCAAACAATTCTATGCCATCGTTTCTGAACAAGATATTCCAATCATGGATGATACATATGTTACTAAATGGCTGACATTTATCCTCGAACATGTCATCGATCAATAATTGCATTTTTTTGTATTCCTAAATATCATGTATTCATAATAAAGGATAAATACGCGTGTATATCAGAAAATCAATTTTCATAAAACTCCAGCGACATCTGAATATAGCGCGTCATTTAGTGGTGTATGCATCTGTCCTCTTGCATCAACATATGAATCACATTACGAGTATTGATATCGGACGGAGAAGCGAAGCACACAAGTACTTTGCTAATTAGCATTGTAGTCACTTATCTATTTCGTTCGTCAAACGTGTTTTCTCTTTGGAAAATGACGAGCAAATCAAGTAAATTGAATAACAATCAACGACATAGTCATGATGATTCTGATGACTCAAATCAAAATTTGAGTGAAGAAGAAGTAAGAGGGCGAGAGAGGCAGTTTACTTATCTGTTGACCATCTGTTCGTCGTGTATTTTAGTGCGCATCATTAAGAAAGCAATGCGATGAAGTGACAAAAGAAAATACTCAATTGAAAGAGGAAATGCTGATATTGAGAAAAACCATTCAAGAATTGGAAGATTGGAACGGTGATTTCTCAGGCGGATCAAATACAACATCTTCTTTACAATCAACTATCGATTCTTTGACTTCACGGAATCGACAACTAGAAAATGACTTGCAACGTTTACAACTTCAACAGCGAAATAATCAACTAGCGCTTGAACGTTTGGATGAATACGAAGAAACCATATCTCAATTGCAAGATGAACTCGATCAAGAACGTTCGAACAAGAAGAAGTCTCAAAGTGGGAATAAAACTATTCTCTTTTCATCTCATCATTGTCATTTCTTCTAGCTGATAAAGATGAAGATGTTAATCATCTTCTTTTCACAGAAGAACGAAAGCGCGTTGAAGAATTATCTCATCATTTAGAAGCTGTACGTCGCGAATCCGAAGAGAAAAGCTTACAAATAGAAAATGAACGAGACGCTCTTCGAAACTTCAAACACGATCAATTGAAGGTTAGAAAAACATACATCTTTTCTTCCTAGTCTTTACAAATCAAAAAAACTTTGTGCGCACATAGGAACAAGAAAATCTTCGTAAAATGCACGATCATCAATTAGCTGAGTTGAATGAACAAATCCAATCGTTAGAAAACAATAAAATTGATTTGATTAATCAATTGGATGAACTACGACAACAATTACAATCAAGAGAAACGCAAATTCGATCATTTCAGGTTATAACGATAAAGTTCAAAAGGTAACTAACAGGATTTGATGTGTTTTGTAGTCTTCCACTGCGACACCTGGTTCGCCTCCCATGATATCTTCCTCGACTCATGATCGTCAATCCGAAGATGATAAGCAACAGTTAACTTCCATCTATGAGCAATTACTCACACTTCTACCTGGTGAATATTCACTGTCAGATAATGTAGCATTGTCGTTGGTAGAACGTTTTACAAATCTTTTCGAACAGTTTTCCTCTTACTTCGGAGCATTATCGATAGTACAAGAAGAACTTGATTCGTTAAAACAAATACTCATTGAAAAACAAGACGAACTTGAAAAACTTCGCATGCATTTGGAAGAGCAACAAACTGTGACAAAGAAAACTCATTTCTATGAAAGTGATGATGAAGGCGAGCAAGAATTAGAAGAAATTCTTGATTTTCACCAACGAGCACCATCGCGACAATCATTGGCGTCGGTCACACCTGGAGAGAAGCAACAGCTAATCGCCCAGAATGAACTTCTCTCGACTCTACTAACAGAAAAAGAACAAGAATTGATCTTTTTACAACAAACCGAGAAAACACGAGAAGAATTTATGGAAAATCTCCGATTGAATCTACACAAATCAGAAACAGAGAAAGAAATGAAACAAACTGAACTGAATGANTATTGGTTCGAAAGAATCGCTTCGAAAACATGAAATTCCAGTACGAATCATCATTGATTTTGAACCATTCTCTGTGGAAAACGGTCTTCTTACATCATCAATGAAACCATGCCGTCCAAAATTGGCTGCAAAATATATTGATCGTCTGAAAACGACGAACAGTATAGAAAATCGTTTGAAATCAATCATTGAAACAGTAACCGGTGAAACATTATCAACCGACAATGACATCGGATTTTTAACCAACGGTGGTAATTCGTTAACAGCTATACGTTTATCTCGCATGATTCGTGAAGATCTTGGTGTCAGTCTCCCAGTGAATGTTTTATTTGAACCAGATATGAATCTAAAACGTTTAACAGAACTGGCTCGAAATCCTACATTTACATCGGAAGATTCCATTATTAGTCGAATGCTACATGACGCAGCACTTGAACCTACGGGTATTGCTGGAAAAACAATAAAAACAGTGAATTCTCCATCGCTAGTTTTCATAACTGGCACAACAGGATTCGTCGGTGCATTCTTACTTGCAGAATTATTTCGAAAGTATCCTGTTCATTGTAAATTCGTATGTTTAGTTCGATGTTTAGCATCCGTCGATCCGATGAGTCGAATTCGGGAGAATCTCCGTTTTCTTCATTTATGGCAAGACCAATATTATGAACGCATCGTGCCTCTTCGTGGTGATCTTGCCCAATCGAAATTTGGGCTTGATGATGCAACGTACGATGCGCTCGCCCAACAAACAGATGTTATTTTTAGTTGTGGTGCGTCAGTAAATTTCGTCCTTCCCTACAATCAACTCTACGGATCAAATGTTTGTGGTACTCGCGAAATGATTCGTTTAGCGACTCATACATCCTACCTTATTCCTGTACAGTATATTTCCACTATTAGTGCCTTACCGTCAGAGATTGTGGACGAAGTACACATCGATCAGATTGCGCCTAATGGTTTAACCAATGGTTATGGACAAACGAAATGGGTAGCAGAGAAACTAATGGCTAAAGCTCAACATCACGGTTTGCCCGTTGTTATCTACCGTTTAGGTTCGATGTGTAGTGATAGTACCACTGGAGCATGCAATCCCTACGATATCAATACGATTATAGTCGCTGCTAGTCTGAAGACTCATTGTTACCCAGTGGGGTCTTTGAATAGGAAATTATATACACTACCCGTCGACTTTGCTGTAAAAAGTATTGTTCATCTAAGTATGACTCGTTCGGATATTTACGGGAATGTTTATCATGTTCTGCATCCGAATGGTGGAGTACCATTCGAGAGTGTCGTTGTCAGTGCCGATAAAGGTCATATAAAAATGAATGAAGTTTCTCTTGAAGAATGGAGATCAAGACTCGTCAAACAGACAGTATCTAATCGTTCACTGGAATCACTTGTTGACTTTCCATTAGGCAATTTATTTATCCATGAATCTCCTCTATCATCCAAACAATTCTATACCATCGTCTCTGAACAAGATATTCCAACCATGGATGATACATATGTTACCAAATGGCTGACATTTATCCTCGAACATGTCATACATCAATAATTACATTTTTTTGTATTCCTAAATACCATGTATTCATAATAAAGGATAAATACGCATGTATATCAGAAAATCAATTTTCATAAAACTCCAGCGACATCTGAATACAGCGCGTCATTCAGTGGTGTATGCATCTGTCCTCTTGCATCAACATATGAATCATATTACGAGTATTGATATCGAACGGAGAAGCGAAGCACACAAGTACTTTGCTAATTAGCATTGTAGTCACTTATCTATTTCGTTCGTCAAACGTTTTTTCTCTTTGGAAAATGACGAGCGAATCAAGTAAATTGAATAACAATCAACGACATAGTCATGATGACTCGAATCAAAATTTGAGTGAAGAAGAAGTAAGAGGGCGAGAGAGGCAGTTTGCTTATCTGTTGACCATCTGTTCGTCGTGTATTTTAGTGCGCATCATTAAGAAAGCAATGCGATGAAGTGACAAAAGAAAATACTCAATTGAAAGAGGAAATGCTGATATTGAGAAAAACCATTCAAGAATTGGAAGATTGGAACGGTGATTTCTCAGGCGGATCAGATACAACATCTTCTTTACAATCAACTATCGATTCTTTGACTTCACGGAATCGACAATTAGAAAATGACTTGCAACGTTTACAACTTCAACAGCGAAATAATCAACTAGCACTTGAACGTTTGGATGAATACGAAGAAACCATATCTCAATTGCAAGATGAACTCGATCAAGAACGTTCGAATAAGAAGAAGTCTCAAAGTGGGAATAAAAATATTCTCTTTTCATCTCATCAGTGTCGTTTCTTCTAGCTGATAAAGATGAAGATGTTAATCATCTTCTTTTCACAGAAGAACGAAAGCGCGTAGAAGAATTATCTCATCATTTAGAAGCTGTACGTCGCGAATCCGAAGAGAAAAGCTTGCAAATAGAAAATGAACGAGACGCTCTGCGAAACTTCAAACACGATCAATTGAAGGTTAGAAAAACATACATCTATTCCTCGTACTCTTTACAAATAAAAAAAAACTTTGTGCGCGCATAGGAGCAAGAAAATCTTCGTAAGATGCACGATCATCAATTAGCTGAGTTGAATGAACAAATCCAATCGTTAGAAAGCAATAAAATTGATTTGATTAATCAACTGGATGAACTACAACAACAATTGCAATCAAGAGAAACGCAAATTCGATCATTTCAGGTTATAACGATAAAGTTCAAAAGGTAACTAACAGGATTTGATTTGTTTTGTAGTCTTCCACTGCGACACCTGGTTCGCCTCCCATGATGTCTTCCTCGACTCATGATCGTCAATCCGAAGATGATAGACAACAGTTAACTTCCATCTATGAACAATTACTCACACTTCTACCTGGTGAATATTCACTGTCAGATAATGTAGCATTGTCGTTGGTAGAACGTTTTACAAATTTTTTCGAACAGTTTGCCTCCTACTTCGGAGCATTATCGATAGTACAAGAAGAACTTGATTCGTTAAAACAAATACTCATTGAAAAACAAGACGAACTTGAAAAACTACGCACGCATTTTGAAGAGCAACAGTCTGTGACAAAGAAAACTCATTTCTATGAAAGTGATGATGAAGGCGAGCAAGAATTAGAAGAAATTCTTGATTTTCATCAGCGAGCACCATCGCGACAATCATTGGCGTCGGTCACACCTGGAGAGAAGCAACAGCTAATCGCCCAGAATGAACTTCTCTCGACTCTACTAACAGAAAAAGAACAAGAATTGATCTTTTTACAACAAACCGAGAAAACACGAGAAGAACTCATGGAAAATCTACGACTGAATCTACACAAATCAGAAACGGAGAAAGAAATGAAACAAACTGAATTGAATGATATACGAAATGTCTTGGATGAGAAATTACGCGAAAACTCCTCGTTGAAGAAGGAGAAAATGTATTTTATTGAAAAATTATCTGAATTCGAACGTGAACGACAAGAGATCATCCACATCGCACCGAAACAAGCATCGCCCGCACCATTAACAATACAAGGAATATCTCAAGAACAGTACAACGAACTTCTTGAAGCATCTCAACGTCAACATGAAGAATCTCTAGCCTATTACAATGAATACACTCGAATCGTTACACTCTACAATGAATTGAACACAAAGTACAGTCAACTTCAGATCGACTATGAATCTATTCAAACGTTGATTCAACAGAAAAACGAAGCTTATTTGCAATGTCAAAATGAATTGAATACATTTCAAAATCTATTATATCACCAAAAGAAGAAATCGGATGATAATGATCTATTAACTGCGAAATTAAATGAACGGGAACAGCAATTGCAAGAAATGGTTGCGAAGAAGAATGAATTGATAACAAGACAAGAGGAATTGGAATTATCAGTGAAAGTGCTAGAAGAAAATAGTTTACGATGGAAATCGAGTCAGCAGTTGTTCGATCAAATACAAATCGATTTGAAACGTACCGCACACGAACGAGATTTGGCCATTGTTGAGAAAAAACAATTGGAAAATGAAATCCAAGCCAATCGAGAGAAGGTTAGACACCATCGTTTTCTATTTCACTTGGAAATTTTTGTTTAGCTTTCGAAATTAGAAGCAAATACACATCAAGACTCAACCATTGCTCGTTTAATAGATGAAAACAACGAAATCCGTCAATGTTTGGAAAGCGCCAATGAAGTGTTGAAAACAAAAGACTTACTCATTAGTGAACTTCAAAGTGATATTGATACTAAAGCACAACAGATCATTGCTTGCCAAGAAAATTTTCAATCATCAAATAGTACACGGGTAGAGAAGCAATTGGTGAAAAATATTCTTCTGTCGTACTTTCAAACACCGATTGATAAACAACAAGAAGTAATTCCGATCCTAGGTGCACTAGTAGAATTTACTCAGGATGAATACGACAAAGCGATGAATGCGATATCGAATAATTATGCTAATAGTACTAGTTCCGGTTGGTTAAGTAGTTGGCTTGGTGGTGGATATCCTGTTCGAACAAAACCTTCATCGAGTACTCAGCCTGATAAGGTTTGTCAATGCAATAGAAAGTCTTCGTTTTAGGAAAGTTTTTCTTTTAGTCATTTGCTGAATTATTGATTCAATATGTTGATCAACAATCGCCAACCACACTCAACCCCGATGTATCGAATGCGAAGAGCTCTACGGATGAGCAGTCTAATACAGAACAGAATACGAGCCCTTCTACCCAATCATCATCGATAAATACTGACAAACTTTTAACAATTTGATTTCAGAGTTTTTAACCTGTTCTCTCCCTGTTTATAAATATATACACACTTGTCATTTGTGTAGGAATACATTTTTTCTTCATGCGGACACAATTATTTTTCATTTAACTCACCAGCTCACTGCTTCCTACCTTCTTCTCCAAAATCCAGACGGTTTCACCGTCCGTGATTATCATTTCTATACCCAATATCTCGTACGTATTCCAGAACTAGAAGTCCAATCTATGACCTTTTAAAGTGATGTTTAACCAATGGTATCAAGTATGATTTCTCAACTCTTTTGTGAGAACCAATACTAGAGGTAAGAGATGTATACTGTTTTCATAAGATCTTAGGTTACAATCGCCATATTTCGCCTCATCCAGCGATACTTCTCTCCGATGAGATTAGCTCACAGCTTCGTATTTCCACCCTCCTTTCGTGCAATTCGCCACATGCACATTTCGCATGAATCCAGCAATTTCCCATTGTTCCTCAATCGCCGATTAAAACCAACTATTACATCGTTCAAACACCATCAAAACATATTTTTAGCCAGTATTCTTCTCACTAAGTAAACCAGAAAACACCCTAAAGTCTTTCAATATTCAGTTCTTTTATCCCATACTTCGTTTATTTCCTAACGCGTTTCAAAATAAAAAATCTACTCTTTTCTCCGCAGAAAATCTAAAAAAATAATTCCAAGTTTCCGTTGCGCTCACTCGCGCTTCTTAAGTCTTGGGCACCCTTCTCGCCGATTTTGTTGCTTCCGAGTACGAGTGTGGTGAGTGTCTGCATGAAGATAGAAGTGCTGAGAGGTGAAAGAGAGAAGGACGGAGGGATGCAGAGATCGTTGGACTCACAGTGTTGTGTCGAAGTGCATCACTCACGTATTGGGCACCCGCGTCGCCGATTTGATTGAAGGAGAGGTAGAGTGCGGTGAGTGTCTGCATGAAGATAGAAGTAGTGAGATGTGAAAGAGGGAGGGACGTATGCAGAGATCGTTGGACTCACGGTGTTGTGTCGAAGTGCATCACTCACGTATTGGGCACCCGCGTCGCCGATTTTATTCCGCGAGAGGTCGAGTGCGGTGAGTGTCTGCATGAAGATAGAACTGGTGAGATGTGAAAGAGGGAGGGAGGGATGCAGAGATCGTTGGACTCACGGTGTTGTGTCGAAGTGCATCACTCACGTATTGGGCACCCGCGTCGCCGATTTCATTCCACGAGAGGTTGAGTATGGTGAGTGTCTGAATGAAGATAGAAGTGGTGAGAGGTGAAAGAGGGAGGGAGGGATAAAGAGATCGTTGGACTCACGGTGTTGTGTCGAAGTGCATCACTCACGTATTGGGCACCCGCGTCGCCGATTTGATTTCTAGAGAGGTAGAGTGTGGTGAGTGTCTGCATGAAGATAGAAGTGGTGAGATGTGAAAGAGAGAAGGGCGGAGGGATGCAGAAATCGTTGGACTCACGGTGTTGTGTCGAAGTGCATCACTCACGTATTGGGCACCCTTCTCGCCGATTTGATTTCTAGAGAGGTGGAGTGTGGTGAGTGTCTGCATGAATATAGAAGTGGTGAGATGTGAAAGAGAGAAGGACGGAGGGATGCAGAAATCGTTGGACTCACGGTGTTGTGTCGAAGTGCATCACTCACGTATTGGGCACCCGCGTCGCCGATTTCATTGTCGTAGAGGTCGAGTACGGTGAGTGTCTGCATGAAGATACAAGTGGTGAGATGTGAAAGAGGGAGGGAGGGATAAAGAGATCGTTGGACTCACGGTGTTGTGTCGAAGTGCATCACTCACGTATTGGGCACCCGCGTCGCCGATTTTATTCCACGAGAGGTTGAGTGTGGTGAGTGTCTGCATGAAGATACAAGTGGTGAGATGTGTAGGAAGGATGGAGGGATGCAGAGATCGTTGGAGTCACGGTGTGTTTAGGAATATGGGATCAGAATTTCTCGAGTTATGTGCTGAATTGGGCTCTCTGTCAGTTTTAAGTGTGGGTGTAGTTTTGCATGAGAACATCCTGCCGAGTGTTTTAAATAGTTGGAAGGGATCGTAGTGGCCTGAACATGTGATTACATCACTCTTGTGTGCTCAAGCGAGATTCAGTTTTTAATCCAGAGTGATTGGAAATAATCGGCATGTATCGTTCTTCGACGATGATTTTATGAAGTCATGGAAGGTGGTGCTCACCTGTAGAAAAGGTAGCTGACGACGAACGGTTAATGTCATGTGTTTTTTGGTAATTATTCGATTGATATAATTCTTTTCACTGGTACGAAATGATCCCTAGGAATTAGGGAATCTCGAACGCGATGAATCAAAATTTTTGAAGATAGGCAGAAATGGCACGGAAAGGCTGGAAAAAATTCAGCTGTAAAACATATGAATGCTTTTTTTTAGGTTAATGACCCATATATTTCAACCTATCTTCTCGAGGACATTTGCAAGATTGCGGACGTCTCTGTCGTCAGCGAACGTCCTTCCATCATTTTAGAACCTATTTCTAAAACTAAGCCAAGGAATGAGACGTTGTTTATTATATTGGTAACAGGTATCTTCTTCTAAGTACATCTCTTGATCGATAAATTTATCTCTCGATTCCGTGTGTCCCTCACTTGTTCAATAAAAAGTCGACGTTACTCACATTGTTTTCTTGTATTGCGTAGTAAGCTACGATTTCCATATCTTTATTGGTCAGACTATTACCGCGTAAGTCTAATTTAGTTTTGCCCTTTTGATTAGCAATTTGTTGTTCCAGATGTGCATTGCGATATACAGGTTTGGATACCAGTTTATGGCACGATTCTGCTGTTGGTGGAGCTGTGGTTTTATTGGCGGTGCTGCTTGCATTTTCTTTGGGAACTGAAGCTGTAACAAGGAGTCAAAGTAAAAATTAAGAAGATTAATAATCAGAACCTATTTCTGAGTGTAATGAAAGAATGAATGTTAATGATTGTTAACTCTCTGTTTTGTTTTCAAAACCACATATGATTTTATCAGAGAATAGAGATGCCTTGCACACTAATCACAGTATGTCACTTGCAACACTTACAAATATATTAGTCATACCCCACGAAGAAAGACATCATATACCAGAAATTCATACTATCTGCTCAAAGAACTAACAAGCAAAAAGTCGTAACTCTCATTTTCTACATCATTCAACTATTATATCAGTTCTTCTGAATGACTTGACAACGGACGCGTCCTCCTCCCATCATATCCTTATATCTCCGACTCCAAAAACATGCTTCGGATTTTAATTACCTGCTGATGGTGAACTTTGTAGTAAAGAACCAACAACTGGTGGCAACTGCATTAGTGCATGTGGTGGTCGAGTTTCTTTCAGTTGGATTATACGAAGATCACCCTGGTCGAGACAGCTCATCACTTCGAACTGTGTGGCAGCAAGAACCAATACTTCGCTTTCTTCTGGAAAATAAGAGTGTTTGCGAATGTCTCTTGCTGATTCACATTTTATAGTGAAGATAGTTCTAGCACCTGTTTTACCCAAAAACAGATCTGATTGAAGAACTTCGACATGACTGGTAGATGATGAGAAACCCCACCAAACAACTGTTTCACCCTTTATATATCGATCACTCATGTTTAGTTTTACACCTCTGTAGATAGTTTCGTTGAGTGGTGGAAGTCGAAGTAATGCATTGAGAAAAAGTCTCAAATAAGAATACCATGGTTTTAGCTTTTGTTGTCGATTTGCTGATCGTAATGTTTGATTGAGAACATTGTACAAGCATTCTTCTAGTGGCTCCCATGACATTGTATAGAGCATAATCGAAGCGGATTCATCTTGTGTTAAGTTATCAGCAGGTTTCTTGCATCTTTGTTTGGCCACATAGACATGACTTTGCACTTCTGGTAGAATAGAGACCAAGGGTTCTAACGCTTGTTCGAGTGACACTAGTGGCATTTCAGCATAACCACTAATAGGGGCCAGGAACTCGAGAGGTTCATTGATAATGTCAGTCATTCGCAACATGCGTTGTGGAGTCGTTTCGTTTCCTCCAGCTACAGCCATCTTTTATACAGGTAGAAAATTGTTTAAAACTGATAAATGATGATTATGTTCTAGAAAAACTAGTGGGAAAGAATTCAATCTGCAAATTGTGAGCAGTTGTTTTATTGCTAGTTGTTAGTATCTGTCCATATTTCTGATCGGTGTACAAATGTCATTCACGTCCTTTCCCGCACAATAAAATATAGGGAAAAACATCATATTTTTTTTATTAGCAACAACGATACGATTTGAGTGTCTTCATGTTCAACGCGATCTCTTCCAATATGCGTACTTTCAATTCATGTAAACTTACTTAGTTATCTGCAAAAAAAAGTTCTCACTTAAAATGCACCAACAATTAACACTACGAATCGGCGAAAATCGTGCTGCCTATATAGTCGAGCACTTTTATTTGTTTGTCTTACTTGCTTACCAGTAGTTGGTAAAGAAATCTTTCTTCCTTCTTATACATATGGACAAGGTGCATTTGTTTTTGTTACTACATCGGTGAAATAACAAATGTTTTAAAAGGTTTCTAATACATCGTTGGGATGTATTTTTAATGCAACAATAACTATCGTGTACAAACGTCTTTCTTAGTGAATGTCTGAAGACAGAGGGAAATCTTCGTTGAGTTTTGTTATTTCATTTCTATCAATTCTTAAAATAGAGGAATGAATTTGCATGCTGAATTTCTTTGTTTTCACCGTATTCTATGAATTATTTTTCATCTTGCAAACTGAAGCTCTCGCCTGTGTGTGTGTGTGCGTGCACAAAATGAAATCTTATTGGCTGTTGTTTGATCCTATTGTTATCGATGTATTGTAACCCGAATAGAGGTTGAGTAAGTTGTTATGATTGGTGTAGGAAGATTAACCATTAGTAACATTCCCAAATGTGCTCCCTTTTTTCTTCGTGTGAAATTGTCCATCCATCATCGTTTATTGTAACATCAGTAAGTCGAAAATAAAACGCTGTATGCGCCAGAT